TTATATTATTGAATAATTAGCATATTTCACAGGGAAAATGCTTATAGAAAATCAGTTATTATGAATGCCAATATTTGCGCACTGGTGCACTAAAGCATCCAGCTTGCTCATAGATGCAATAAAATAATTAACTGGCTGATTCCACGGGAGCCGCACTTGGGGCTGAACTCTCTTGCTGTTCCATTCCACCACCTTGTGGTTCAGGGCTTGAAGCCTCCTGTTCTATGGCGGGTGCACTCTCAGCTTGACTCTCTTGCTGTTCCGCTCCACCGCTTTGTTCAGGATTTGAAGAGCCTTCGCCCGCGTCTTCAGATTGTCCTTCTCCCTTTTCGTTCTCAGCATTTCCCTCTTGAGCCTCTTGTTCAGCCCTCTCTCTAGCCTCTCGTTCTTCCTTTTCTTTAGGATCTTCTTCATCTGCCTGTTCTCCTTGGTCCTCACCTTTTTCCTCACCTTGGTCCTGCTGTTCTGGCTCTGTCTGAGTTCCTTGTTCTTGACTTTGATTTGAATCCGTTTGAGTTCCTTGATCCTCGCCTTGTCCTTCGCCTTGGCCCTCGCCTTGTCCCTGCTCTTGCTGGGGTCCTTGCTCCTGTTGTTGCTGTGGCTGCTGCTTCTGCCCTTGATTATTTGGGTTTGCTCCACCGCCCTGCTGCTGTTGCTGCTGCTGTCCTTGAGAGCTTGGCATAATCATGCCCATTATTCCTTCATTACCACCATCACTAGATCTGCTCTTATACCACCTGTATATTATATATAAAACAATTCCAATAATAAGTAGTAAAAGAATGATTCCTAGTATTGTTTTCCATCTGCTTGATTTCCTATCACCGTCTGCCATTTTATCTTATCAAAATCAAATTCCTTATATAGATAATCTGCAGATTAATACCAATCAGAGCACTCTGATTATACCAATTACAAAACTATCTATTCTTCAACAATCAAATCAATATATGATAGCGCAGCCAAAATAGATTGACCAATCATTTTCTTTAATATTCATTCTATAGAATTACTCTAAAATTTATCTATGCGAAATTATCCAATATCCATTAGAAGATATCCAATTCGATGCCAACTAGTTATTTATCTGGTTAATTCACCACTACCAAGGCAAAACCAATCAATACCAGGCAGCACACCTATTGTTTAAAGATGCACAGAATTCATTGAAACTGTGCTGGGCTACTTTAAAATAGTTCTTTTATTGGGGGCTGCCACCCAATAGGCATAGTATATTCTACAACAGCTTTATTTTCTAGAATTTAAAAGAAGAAGATTTCTTGTCTGTTTTCTCATTCTTATGCACACTGCTTGACTGTGGCTTGTCTGAGCCCGTTTCATCATCGCCTTTAAATGCCTTCTTTAAGTAGTACGTAGGCGGCTTTGGTGAATTAGTTGGAGCACCCCAGAAGTAAACTAATATCTTCCTAATGATACCCGGGAATCCATAGTAGAATGCCACAATGCCAATTACGCATATGAAAAACAGAATATAAATAGGAGTGCGCCCAAATTTCATCTTTGAGAAATTAACATCTGCCATATGATCACATATTTAATTTGCGCTATAAATAGTTATGATTGACCTATGATATTATATGCATTCTCTGATTTGTCTATTAAATATATTATTTATGGTCCAGTTAATCTGCAAGATTCAAAGTATGCACCTCTTCTTCTCATAGAGAGAAACCTTTAAATAAAATCCTCATTTTATTGTGAATAAGTCTGCTGCTTCTCTGGATTTTGAGTGTTCTGTGGTGTGAATCTAATGCGTTGTATATTTCTATCTTTAAGCCTGGATGTATAGCCAGAATAACTCTGGAGAATTATTCTTTAAGAATCTTAAAGAGAATAACTCAAAGCATTTAGAATTTTAGTATCTCATAGTGTGGATTAAATACTAGATAGTCCTCAGCTGCATATATATAGTTTATTGCGGTGGCTTTATGTAATAGAACATCTAAGATGCTTCTGCTAGATGGGGATATAACTGTTCATAGCTTGGAGGTGATTCTGCATCTGCGGCAGTACCCGTATATCCTGCATGTGTGTGTGTATTTTCAATTTCCTGTCTGCAGACACTAGAGTAAGCAGGCGGCGGATAATCAGCAGTCACCGTGTGCTGTGCCTGGCTTGGCAGGCTGGGATTGCTGCGAGTCATGCTTTCTTCGAAAGGGGCTGAGGGAAGTATTCTCGTCTGATAGTCTGAATTATTTAATGAATCTTCCTCTAAGCTAGCTAATGATTGGTCTGGATCAGAGTGTCTATCTTCCATACGAGGAGTAGTTTCCTCATTATTGGGGGTCAGATCTCTATGTGAAGGATTTCCATCAGTGCTCCTTTTCTCCAAGCTCTCTGAGCTGTTGTTGATTGATATTTTTAGTCCAGGGAATTTTGGGAATACACCACCAGGCCAGATTCCACCTCTGATTAAATATACTAGAATTATAACAATCCCCAGAAGGATCACAATTAACGTCTTTCTATTAAGTATTTTTTTCGGTTGACTTTGTTGTGTTCTCATTTACTATAATTTTTTGCAAATATTTTACTACATATATGCTTACGGGGCTAGTTATATTAAACCATAAGAAGAGGGGGAATTATCCTATCTAGAGAGTACTAGCCCTGTCGTGTATTCTTGTTGAATATTATTCTTATTTCAAGGATTTCTGTAGTATATACTAAGTGAGTTTAAAGTGTTCTATTTAAATTACTGTCCTAGTGCCTTCAATCTTAATATTTTACAGATAAATTAATCCTATGATGCGTCTATTAATCTTATTGGTCTACTGTGTCTGCACACGCCTATTAAAATATTTAATTTTCTGCTAAAAAAAGTATGAATCAAGAAACGAGCATCATTAGAGTAGAAATTGCTAAGAATGAAATAGAACTGCATCTTAGAAACTGTTTGGATGATATAGTAAAATACTACAAGTGCTTTGGTAAAGCCGGGATCTACTATGTTCTGAAGCAAGTATACAGTGGGACAATCAGTATTTTTAGTGATGTACCAGTTGATCAAAAGAGTGTTTTGGTTATTGTGGAGGATGCTATAGTTAAAAAGTGCATGGAAAATATGCTGTTCTTGGTTGATCCAAATTCTTCTGTGTCCAGTGATACTAAAGTAATAGAACTATTGGAAAATCATCTAGATAATGGTAGTTTTGATCTTTCTGATGAAATTGGTAGTATGCCTGTGCTTGAGCATATAAACAGGCTGTGTATGGATTTTAAAAAGGCAGGCATTGATATAAACATATATTTAAAGTCAATGGCTGAATTTAGTCGCACTAGTCTGAATAATATTATCCCTTTGGAGCAGCTCAACTCAATTGCAAACTACTACTCATCCGTTGTGGATAAAAAGAGTGAAGACAACAAGAAGTACACGGGTTACACTCTGGATGAGCTGTATGCGAAAACTGGAAGTGGGAAGTACTTATTGGACGAAGGATTGGAGTACATAGCAAAGAACCAAGGGATTCTAATGGATCTATACAACGCAGTCGCGAATGGGCAGAGGGACGTACAAGAGAATTCTGCTATCAGCCGTGGCTTAAGCATAATGACCCCAGAGAACATGAAATTACTCTCTTCCATGCACCATCACAGAGAGCAGATTCTGGCAGCTGAGAAAGTCGTAAGTGATCTGCACGAGGTAATGTTGTCATACTACCAGGATGTCTATGCTTTGCAGAAGGAAATTGAAGGAGATCTAGGCCTAGAAATAATTAATGAATATATTGATGAGGCCGTTGAGTCTCCTATTTCCACATTGTGCTACCAACTAAAGCTGTTATATCCAAGGTTTGACTGCACCCCGTATATTAACGCACTGCAAGCACATATTGAAAAGCCCCTGAAGGCCCCCTTGCAGCAGCCAGAATCACAGGGAGAGGACCAGAAAGAGGGTATACCGCGAAAGATTCCATCAGCATCAATCACTGAGTCAGAAGATGAATCCACAATAGAGCGAAGAAGAGTTCTAGTCAAGACACTTATTGGTTACTACAGAGAGACATGCGATTATCTAAGTGAGAGAATTGATATGTGTAAGTCGCTTACCCCATACCAGATAAAATATATACGGGATAAGCTGCAGACAATCTCTTCTCCTATTATACCTTTAGATGTACCGAAAGTGACTCTGTCTACTATGTATCGAGCTGCCATGGATCGATACAAAAATATCTCTAAGAAGACAAAGAAGATACTTTTCTTCTTGGCATTTATCTTCTTTGTATGCTTTGGTACATACATATTTATCGAGTCCATACACATGGATCACCAGTTATTTATGTAAGTCAGGCATAAACCATTCAAAAAAGACTGTCAAGGTGCAGATAAATAAAACCTTCATAAACACACTTCTTTTAGAAATAAATCTGTTTTTCTATTCTACCTCTCTATGGAATACTGCAGACTAACTTTTTATAGAGATGTTTCAATAAAGTTTCCCATTTTTCAACCTACTGTCCAGAGGCATGAGTGCGCGCACAGAAGAGACACAGAGCAGGATATAAATTCACAGAACAGAATGCATGTGCAGGCAGCAGCACTGAATGTGCAATATATTTGAAGAAGACTATTTATTAACCTACCGGGAACTTATTATATAAAGAAAGCCACAATAAAAAGAACACCTCCTAAACAAAGAACCTTCAGCATAATATTTCCCGCACCTGTGCTAATAACAGAAGAAGAAGTCTCAGTATCAGATGTTACTATTCCACTGTCCTTCTTCTCGTTCCTTGCAAGCTGCTTGATCGATTCAACCACCTTCTGAGTAGAGGGCCTGTCCACCTCCTCATTCATAGAAAGAAGGTTTTTGTCTTTACTCCTAGCCACTCTCCGTGCACCCTCCTTCTTACTATCTGTAGCAACCGAGCTAAGACCAGTGTTCAGGTTGTAGTCCATGTACTTAAAGCCGTGGGAGATAAGCAGCCGAATCATCTTCTCAATGCTGGACACTGTGTACGAGTACTTATCTCGCAGTACAAATATCATGCTGTCTGTCTTTGGGGAGTACACTTCACTTGTGAGTGCGTCACTTAGAGTGCTAATAAACTCTGGGTCTGCAAAGTCAAACACATCGTATGTTGGCTCACAGACATACATCCCTAGCTCCATGCAGTACTCAATGTCATCAGAGTAGTAGCCAAGTCTTGGCAGGCGAGCAGAGGATGGCATTACGCCGATCATCTTCTTGTATCTCTCCACATGGGTGGATATCTTCTTTCTTGCCTCCTCCATGGTCACATCTGTCAGGGACACGTCGCTTTGAATAGATATTCCAACTATGTGCCCGTCCTTTAGTATCTGGGTGACAATGGGAATGGACTCTTTTGTTATTTTGAACGGGTCAAGATAGAACCCACAGACCTTCTTGTACTTCTTCAGGATTCTCAGCAGCTCAAGAGTGTTCTCAGTCGGCCCTCCATCAAAAGTAAAGGAGAAGGAGCCAATGTACCGCCCCTCCTTAATAGTGAGCTCGTCCTTCAGTGCTTCCTCTCGAATACGCACAGTCTCACTGAGCAGATCATCCAGTGCATTTGAGTCTGAGTCCATCATAATATCTGCAATGATATTTCTAAGAATAGCTGATTCTGTATTTGGGTCTTCATACACATCACTAACGTACCCAATTGGAGCACTGTATGCAGGGAAGTACGGCTGGCTGTCTAAAGTGGTTACAAACCCATTGCTGTCAACAATTGGCACTGCAATATCTCCATGTACTCCGTCTAGTAGAGAACTATTACGACTAGACAGTGGGTTGAACCCGCTGTTATTAGTTAACTTCAACAAACTCTTATCATTTAGCAGCTCCATAAGCCTCTCATTGGGGGTCATTTCGGGTTTCACTTCATCCGTTGAGTCTGAGTAGAACACAGGCACATAGTCCTGCTCCACTGAGTCCCAGGTGTATTCATCCTCTTCATCCGCAGCATTCATGGGCATAAATGAGTTCCTGTTGTTAGCTGCGCCTGACATGCGGGTCTGACTTACTGGTGCAGACCTATTGCTGGGCTGGAACTGTGCCTGGTTCTGGCTTGGGTTAGAAAGTGGCGCTGTTCTTGGTGCAGTGTATCCTGAAGTGGTTAGCAATGGTGTAGTATTCAGTGTCCTTGGCTGCGATGGCATAGTTGTCACTGGTGCAGTGTATCCCGCAGTGGAGTATCCTGCACCATATGGCACTGAAGTAGTCTGCGTTGGTGCAGTGTACACTGAAGTGGTTGTCAATGGTGTACTGTACACTGAAGTAGTTGTCGTTGGTGCAGTATAGACTGAAGTGGAATATGCCTTGCTAGGTGAAATTGGTGCAGTGTATGCTGAAGTAGTAGTGGTTGGTGCAGTATAAACCGAAGTGGTTGTCATTGGTGCACTACTACTAGGGACTGATGCACTGTACTCTGAGGTGGTCTGCGTTGAAACAGACACAGCTGAAGCAGATGGTGCCTTACTTATTTTAGCATATGACATAGTTGGTGCTGGTTTAGAATATGCTGTGTACGTTTTAGATGACGGCGTATCTTCTTGTAAAGCCATTAGCCTGGCAGACAGCTCGTTTGGGTCTACTGGTGTTGAATACTCTGACCATGAATCATATGCCTTTGAAGGCTGACCTTTTGAAGCTTGTGACTTTGAAGCCTGTATCTTTGAAGCCTGTGCTTTTGATGCTTGTGACTTTGAAGCCTGTGCTTTTGATGCTTGTGCCTTTGATGCCTGTGCTGAGTTTGTCTCTTTACTGGCTTTCACTGTTGATTCTTTCTTTTTGTCACTGCTAGCTGCTGCTTTCTTAGCTTTAGACTTAGGAGGGCGCTCTCTGCCCGTTGCTGCAGCTGATGCTGCTCGATCTTTAAGTAACTGCTCTGCTCTCCTCAACCTCTCCTTATTAGAGAGATCGTCATCACAATCTTCCACTAAATATGCATCGCGTGATCGTTCTGGATCAAAGCCAGCCCAGTGTATGCCTATCTCTTTCCCGTAATGTGAGTCGTTTGCTGGGTCCATGAAGATTGAATTTGAGACATCGTCATCCGTTGCGTCTGTTGATGTAAAATTCGGCAGTTCCATGCTGCTCCATGTTTCTCCTCCGTCGTAGGAACTTGACAGTGAGTCTATACGCCCACGTGGCTGAATGGAAGGGCGCGAATTCAATTGGTCTGTTGTAGCTGCTACTGATGCTAGTGTAAATAGCCACAAAATGATTCGCATTATATTTGATCAAAATGATCCGCGTTATATACTTTATGTATTTCCCTTTTAGGAAAATAATTCATTATCACTTTTTATGGAATTATCCCTTTACATCATTTATTATACAACGAAAAAGGAAAAACTAAATATAAAAAAACTATAAATACCCTGTAAAAATTATACAAAAGGCCTCTAAAAGGACTAAATACATGAATGGCCAGTGAGTAATATATGGATGTGATAAGGATACCTATAAACTCTACTGATCACAGAGAACAAAATAACACGCATACTATTTCTTAAGAAATCTATATCACTTCTGTGCCCTCCACTGCTGGTGTGCATTAGTCAATGCCTTGTGGTACTGGCTGACTTGTTATTTGCATACAATCTTTTAATTGTGCTAGTATTTCAGACGGTTAATTATATGGATACTTCTGGAAGTATTTGTATGTGCAGTGTCTGATGCCTTTATTAATGCAAGTGGTGTATATCTGTCTATTACTGTATATATATGTGGTTTGCATGGTATACAAATAGTATAAGAGTATTTGAGTTATAATAGGTTATACATGGCTGTATGCGTACTGTAATGAGTGCATTCTTTAGCTCTATTAGGGGGCGCTCTTTCTTGCAAGGTTATTTAGCTGCTGCAGTTGAAAAGTAGAATATAACGGTATTTTGTGCATATCCTTATAAGACTTCGCTGTAATTATAGTGGCTTTTATTAACAGGCTATTAAGTGCTGTGGGTGCTATCATCTGCATATATACTGATAGAGTGCTACTTATTATCCATTCTATCTAGTTCCTTCTGGATCTCATCTTTCTCTTTCTCTAATTGCTGTATGCTCTCATAGAATCTCTTCTTAAGAATGGGATTTGTAATTCTTTCCACCTGCTCCTTCTTCTCCTTGATTTTATCCATAATCTCCTGAATAAGCCTCTCCTTCTCTCTTCTCTCCTCTGTGTTGCTGTCTATCTCTACCTCTATGGTGGCCTGCACGTTCTTCTCGCTTTCCAGGAGGTTCAGCTCTATTTCTGCTGCAAGTGAAGATGTATCCTCTTCTTCCTCCTCGCTTCCATCCTTGTTAAGTATCTGGACATCCACCCGAATTGCCTCTTTGTCCTTCTCCAGAAGCGCAGCCACTTCGTTCTCTATTTCCTCAACTATTGGTGCCTTCGTCAGCCTTTTTCTGAATCTTCTTGTTTTCACGTACTTCATGGGTGGTGTGATTCCTGATATGCTTTCCTTCTCCAGCTCTGATAGATCAATATCCTTGTCTGTGAATATGAACATTTTGGATATGTCGGCTATTTTTATAAACTGCCTATTGTCCAGTGTCTTGTGCGACTCAATTATGCATGGAAGATCAATTATGATTCCTCTGTACGTCTTGTTCTCGTACGTTAGTGTTCCCTCCTTGGCACCAACCATTTTTATCACCAGCTTATGGATCAGCCCTTTTTTAACGTCCTCGCTGACTTTTCTTCGTATGCTTTCAGGCGGCCTTATAATAAACTGGTCTTCCATGCGAAAAATAAAAGTGGAAAAGTAAAATAATTTGCTGTGTCTGCTGGAGGGCATTCTGGCATATATAGACTAGCTACGCACTCGGATATCATATAAGTGCAAGATATATATTGTATAATCTCTTCAACTACATGGTAGTTATGTCTGTTCCTTGTTTAGGCAATACTTGCATTCTGCGTCTTTAAATATTCACAGATGCCTCTTTTAATGAGTCTAGCAGATGAACTTTCATACAAAAGATCTGGTAGCTTTGGTGCTCTTTTGTTTTGTGCTTTCTCTCTGGACTCTTTCTCTTAGAAAATCCCATGGTCTTGAAATATGAGTATTTTGTGCCTTTTGCAAGTATTAGTTAAAGTGCCTATAATAATATGGGAAGAAAAGAGGTAAAATCCATGAGAATGAAGCTAATCTAACTGAATCATTTATTTAATTATTATGGCAGCGAGTAATAATAGACTTGATTTTTATTGAATCTACATTCTCTGTTTATAAATTCATTTTAGAGCAATCTTCGCATATAATCATCTGCTTGCAAAATATATAAGAAATATCTTGCTTTTCTTGCAGACCAAAAATCAGCAACTCTTTGTTTATATACTGCTGATGGTCACCCAAACCTGTTTAGCAGAGATATTTAATGTGCATATACCAGGTGCCATAGTATATGCAAGTCATAGCTTCAGATACCCATATCTATGTATTGTTACAACTCTTTATTGCAGAAACTAAAATATACGCTGCAGAGCACCTTGCTTCTTTTCGCTCTGCTTATTCCTCATCCCACTCTTCATCAATCCATGTAAAGCCAGGCACAGTTGTTCTTCCACTTTCGTTATCTATGCTCACAGTTTCTTCTATTTCTGGCTCCTTGATCTTTTGCTTTTCTTCTATTTCTAGCTGTATAACATACTCTTTGTTTCTTATTTTGTCCCAGTCTATGTTGGCTAGCCATGGGTGTGCAGCTATTTCTTTATGGCATATTCTTTTTGTAGGGTCTTTCTTTGTCAGCTTGCTGATGATGTCCACTATGTGCGCATCTATATCTGGGTACTCTATCTCCTCGTAGAGTATCTTGTTTTTCAGATCATCCTCGTCCTCGTTGTCAGTTATTCTATGCGGTGTGTGCCCCACAACCATTTCATACAGAAGTATACCAAGAGTGTAGTAGTCGTATTTGCTTGTGTATCTCTTGGAGCTTTTTGTGTGCGTAAGAGCCTCTGGTGGCATGTACTCCAGCGTGCCCGATGTGTTGTTTATGGCGGGGCTGTCGCTGCTAGACTCTACTGATATATCCAAGTCGCACAGAAGTATGTGGTTGTTTGGCCCAATAAGAATGTTTTCCGGCTTTATGTCTCTGTATATAATGTTTTTGCTGTGCATATGCTCCAGAACAATCAGAAGCTCGCAGAAGTATATTTTAATTGCATACTGTGGAAGTATGCTCAAAATAGTAAACAGGTCAAATCTGTAGTATGGGAGAATCAGAAAGAGCTCTGTCTGAGACTGAAAAGAAAGCAGAAGAGTGATAAGAAAAGGCGACTTCTTCAACTTAACAAGAAGGTTCCTCTCGTTGATGATGTTTTTGGTGTTCTTGGACTTCTTTATGATCTTGCATGCATATAGGCGATTGGACTGGTTATACCGCACTAGATACACCTTGGAGGTGCTCTGTCCCAGGAGCCGGATACGCGTAAAGTCGCTTTCCTTTATCTTTACTTTGCTCTTTGTTACTTTAATCTGCATCTCCATGTTCCGGGTCACTATGATTCGGTCCTTTACACTGTACGGTATTTTATTTATGTATATTACACTTGTATTGCTGAATATATCGTATTTGGTCGATAGATTTGTTGGGCTCAGTACAACTTCCATTGTGTTGTACTCTACTCTGACTGATTTGTTGTATCTCATGTGCGTTAGAGATATCTCAATGACACCCATTGAAATTGGCTCTTTTTCTCCTGGTGCGAAGTACTCTGTTATAGAAGAAAGAAATTTCATAGAATTCAGTAGGGGATAGAAACAGAAGAAATATAAATAAATAAATGCGTGCGCTAAAGATAAACAATAACAGATCAAAATATATATTATAATTCTTGTCAGATAGAAAGTGCGTTAATGCCAAAAAATCCATGCAAATTTATTTAGGAACTTCCATACTGCATTCGCTGTAATTTTCTATAATTCTTAGCAGGAAGTATTTTTCTGTAAAAGACTCTTATCCATAGGAAACAGCAATTTCAGTATATATTGCCACTTTCCATGTATACAGCACTTTTTAGTGGCATAGTGCAATAACAGAGCTCCATGTGCTCTGTTTAGAATCTAACAGCATATATGCTATCATTTACTCTGCCGCCACGAAACAGAATACATAATAATTGAATCTGTCTCTTTGAGAGGCTAAGTAAAATAGCATTCTAATTAGTTTAAATAGATTTATTAAGATAGAATGTCTCCTTTTCAAACTATCTAAACAAATTGAGTTTAAAACAAAGACAGTGCTTAAAATGACATCTTCTAAGAAACTAACAGAGAGTATAGTTATAGAGTATGTAAAAATATTATTTCCTCAAAACATTCTTACTATGACAGTAGGTTCCAAAATACAATTGTGGTAAGATCTCAGATCATTATTCTGAGACCACAATAATCCATCAATGATAATTTCACTTTCTGAAAGATTCTTCGTATACCAGAAGACTACTCTACTAAATTGTAAGAAAATATTGAAATAAGTGGCACAAGTCAACAATAAGAAATACACCCAACACAAATACAAAAGGCTGCAGTCAGCAGAGTCCTCCGCAGAGTTATGATAATAAAACTTTCTTCCTAACTACTCTATATATTTTATACTACTATCTCCTGGCTGAAATGTTGCCTCCTTTTAGGCCTGTCACCTTCTGTTATTTATTTTACTTATGAATACATGCTATATATTTTACACTTTTTCTACTTTCCATATATATGTAAAAAATAAACTCTTCTGTATTTTGTGTGTAAATATTAGATAGAAGGCTTATTTCCTCTAAAAAAAGACGAAAGCACAGGAAAATCAAAAAAACTGCACAATTCAAAGACCCAGCCGGGCGCTGACACCACACAGAGGAGCTTAATACACAAAACAGGCTATGTATGCCCAGCACATAGAGAGCACAACCAGAGTGCCACAGCAGCAATACTATAGATTATACCAAAGGAAGAATACACGTATAGCAGCATGTAAATACATTCATGTAAGCACACTATAAACAGCACACTCTTGCTCCACAGTCAACTTACAGCCACAGCAAATGAGTGCTTGTGCTGTATTGCAATACTGCAGGTCATCCGGGCTGTTTATGCATGGAGCAGCACAGTAGCATCACCACAACACACACTCTGCTCTGTAGTAGTAAAGTATACAAGTAGAGGACAGAAGTAGAAAACAGTGTGCAGAAATAAAATAAAAAAGGAGTAAATGCATGTGTCTTTATTGTTTTTTGTGTTGTTAATATACGCGTAGAGACAGTTCATTTAGAGGAGTTTAATAGGAGCTTAGGATATTCAGGCCTGTCTGCGGGGTTGTTTTATCTGTTTGTGCAGGCAGGATGGGCTTATGTGTGTGCCAGGAATACTATGCGAAGAGTTTAAAGTGCTTCTTGCTAGGCGCCCAGATTTCAGTGCGGGCCGTGATGAGTTTAACTTACCTTGATGAATTTAAGTTATCCGAAGAGCTTAAGTTGTCTCGATGAAGTTAAAGGCACCTCGAAGAGCTTAAGGTATCTGCCTGTGCGCGAGTGCACACATAGGAGAACTAGCAAGTGATTCCTGTGTTTCCTTTGGAATATTTTTACAGATTTATGCTCTATTTATACTTATATTTTGGAAAATAGACCTTAATTTAACCGTTCTGGATGCCTGCAATCTCCCCCAAAGCGCGCATATACTTTTTAATATACAAGAAGACTCGCTCTAACGTGAGTATAGACCGGTCTATGAGGGGTAGGACTCCAATATGCCCGAGTAAGGGTAAATTGCGCAGGGTTCGCGCAGCCTGGCTGTGTGCCTCACACACAGAGGGTATAGCGCAGAGCACAGATGCTATACTCTGATATGCAGTATATAAGCAGTGAATATAAACAGACCGGCTGGATTGAATATCTAATACTGCACTACTAGCCAGAGTACAGACAGAGTTGAGAGATGTGGGCGCACTCTTTTTGTTGCTCTCTTTATGGCATGTGCAAGTTATAGAGAGTAGGGCCCTTTCACAGAACAGTCTGCAGCCTCTGCCTCTCGGACACAGCTACCCTTCTAGGAGCTCTGCCGTACACACACATATGCAGAGTGTCTCTGCCCTCGCTGCAGTATGGATGCGCACACCCTTTCTGGGCAGGAGACCCATCTCAAAAAAAACACCTGAGAAAATATTTTTTGCAGGGGCGCTCTACAGGGCAAAACACAGGAATTTCGGGGAAAATGCCCCCTTCCTTCGGTTTGCAGGGGCAAAAAAGTGCGGGGAGAGAAATTGCTGACGAAAAAGGAAAAAAATAAAATGCGGTCTATAAATACGCGAAAACTCTGTCTTTTATTCGCAGTGCGAGAGACTTCTCAGCCACAGACGCATAACAGTCGGGTCTGGAAACACTCAGTGCTGTGGGTCAGCGCGGATGTAAAGCACCACTGGCGGGCATTTGGGCTGGCAGGGAAGTGGTGTGGGGGCCAGTAGGCCGAGGCCCCCTTATATATTAATCTCTTCATTGGCACAAGAACCTTGGGCAGGGCTGGCATATAGGTATATAGTACTTAGAAAAGAACAAGAATGTTGTTAAGGAGAAAGAAAGTGCTGTGTAGAATGCTTGTAGTATAAAAGAGGAGGCTAGTGGATTATAGCATATGTCTTAAGAAACACTTTATATGTAGTGCATTTACAAAAAAGCCAAGTTTTCCTTAATTAGAATTAGTTGACATCTAAGCATAGTAGCAGTTCACTTTTCATTGTATACATATGCCTGCATGACATAACAAAATATCTTCTAACTATCTTTAAACCTACTTAGTGTACACCAAGTTGTTTGGGTATAAAATATATAGAAAAAAGGCAGCTCAAAGGAAAACATTCAGATTTTTCTTAAAGTATAATATCATTATATGTTTCATTTGTGGGGTTTATTTAACAGCGAATCTACTATAGTCTATATTGTGTCCACACACTTATATATATGTATGATTTACATATAATTCGGGTTATATACATGCATACACAAAGTACAGCAAATTGGTATCTTATAATACTTAAGCTACTTCCTTGATGCATTGTAGCCTTGTTATGAATATTTGAACTAGCTAGTTTTCTGGACTATTGCCTGTATATATAACTTGCCATATTCTTTTGTTTTGTGCTAGAAAACAAACTGCTGAAATTGGCATAGAGAAGAACTAGGGCAGAAAAATCAACTGTCATAAGATTTATTATCAGAAAAAAACTGACTAAAGCATAATTTAGCATTATTAGGCATGATTGTCAGGTTAGAGAAATATTTGTAGAGTGCATTTGTACATGTATGAAAATGAAGTACTTTGAGAGATATGTCTATGTTATTTGCACTTTTTCACACAGGATCACAATTTCTTTCACTTATAGAGAGAAGTGCTAGTCCATAATTTCACCTATTTTCCTAGCATATTTTGTATTATAGAATCTTATAGGAGCCACTGAACTCAAAAGAAAATTTTATACAAAAGTTCTCTCTAGTAAACAAAAAGGTTCTAAATACATCCCAAAAGCCAGGCTGATATCTAACACGTATATCTAAAAATCACTTTAGTAGTTTGCTGGAAAAAGTAGTTTAGACAATCATTAGTTTAATCTGCTGCGTTCTAGAAAAGCTATCTGCGGTGATATCCTGTGGTGGGGTTTATGTGTATGTAAACATAATATAAAAAGACTACAAACAGTGAATAAGGAAGAGAGAGTATGTACTTGTATATGTAGCGAAGACACAGACTTTGTAGGAGGCTACTTCTGGGGAGAACTATGTATAGTATATATAGCTCAAATAAGAATGCATGTGTATAGACCCCAAGTGGGTTCCACATAGAGCTTGCCATCTATTATTACATACACATATTTGTAACTATGTATATATGCAACAAATAAAGAAATTTCCTATACAACGGCTAGCATGGGATGTATTTATAATTTTCTTTGCAATATTTTTTTGTATAATGGAGTTGGAATGTAGTCTTTCAAACCTCGCAAGCATTATTGGAGTATTGAAAAAGAATGCGACGCCGCAGGAGCAAGAAAAATTGCTGCCTTATATAGAAAACTCAGACAGACTAAATATGGTATTTCAGAGGCTGCAGGAAGAAGACTCGTTGGGAAGATTCTATTGCTTAATTCTTCTGCAAAAAAGTCTTGGCATGCGACGGACAGAATATGATTTGGACGAGTTTTTGTCCAAAATTCAGTATTTAATGGAGTCTATCAATTTCACAAGCTCCGTTGAGATATCCAAAATGGCATCGCTGTACTCAACAGCCGCGCTGTTTTACTGGCCAGTTAAAATGCCGCATTTTGTCGGCACGCTGTACTCGCTTATCATGAACAGAAGCAATCTATGCATGCCCGTGCTCAAGAACTTTCTGCAGCTTGTGAACAACTCTTTGGACGTTACCGAAGAAAGAAGATACGAGCTGAAAAAGTCAATCGGCAAGATAGAAAACGATCTTATGCTGAAGATGTACCAGTATGGCACAAGAACCGATATGCTTGAGCTCATTCTGCTGATGAACCAGATAGACATCATTAATGAGAGCGTCTTTGTGGAAATGTTTAAAACGCTTGATGGAAGCAGCGAGACACTGCAGGTTCTGCCGTTTTTCATTGAAAACATCAACATTAATAACAACAGCAATATATTCTACACAGTTTTGGCGTATCTGTGCTCTACAAAAAGCATGCTCTCGATAGAGTTCATCAGCAACAATATAAACATAATAGAGAACACCAACAATAAAGACGTTCTGCTTGTATATAAGATAGTCACGGATGCTGTGCAGCGAATTGACATCTTTGACGCGCCGGAGGTCGATAGAATTCTAAAGGTATTCCTAAGGCTGATCAAGTATTACTTTAAGGATAAAAATTCAAAAGACTTTAAGGATCTTTGCATCATTATGCCAGCAGATTATGATACATACATTCTGAATATAATCAACACAGCAGGAAGGTTTGCAACGGGCGAGGACGAGAGCAAGTCAATAAACGACTCTATGCTTGCAATAGTTGGAGCGCTGGCAGGCGAAATGCGGGAGGAGACCACAGCTTTGTTTAGAAAATACTATATAACGCTGCCAGTAGGTGTTTTGGAGGTTCTGATCAAGTGCATTTTATACCCGATTCCAACAGGGAATGCGTATCTGGATCTAAAGCAGAGCATTTCCTTTAAGAACTGTGGGGACATATCTCGGCTAATTGGGGAGGTAGATCTTAAAACAGCAAAAGAGTGCGCTGCAGTTCGAGAGGCTCTGGAGATCCTCTATGCAGAGGTGCTGATGCAGGAAGAGCAGGTGATTGCCCTATACAAAAGATGCCTGATGATAAACAACTATTATAGCATTGACCTGGCTGTTTCAATAGGAGTGATTCTAAACAGAGACGATCTTATTGTAAATTCAGTTCAGGAGTTCACAGGAAAAGGAGTGGTTGCGTTTATCAGCATAGTGGAGAAGTGTAGTAGGCTTGTTTACAAGCTGTTTGAGCAGTTCAAAGGGCACGTCCTTCAAAAGAGCGGAGACATGATAAACGAAATTGAGGCGGCATGCAAGCTGCTGGAAATGGAGACATCCCGAGTGAAAGGAAATAGCAAGTATAAAGTGGATGCAATTGACGTGTTTGGCAGAGAAATACTTGAGAAAATATTCCTGCGCATTGATGTAGGGTTCTTTGTAGAGCTTCGAAAGATTACTAAATTGCTCCCATATCTGAAAGACAGAGTGCATGAGGCATTTATACAGAAAATCTGGGCCCGGATGAAGAATGAGCTAGAGCAGCAGATGGCTTCTGGAGAGTATGAAAACAATAATGCAATGCAGAGCATAATAAGCACAATCGCTGCAGAGTGCAAAACCGCGCAGGAGGCGCAGGTTCTGTACGAAATCGTTGAAAATGATGAGTACTCAGCAAGAGGCGTGCTGTCCGGGATAAAGAATGTTTTAGACAATATTGAAAGAAATGAGTACTATAATCAGGTGATGAGTGCAATGATAAGCATTTTAGTAAGTATCTATGTGTCACACTCGGATGAAAACACACGTGCAACAGTTGTAGGATTGATAATAGAGAACAATGACCGCATCCTAACAATGCAGATGATGTACGAGGTAGATCTGGCCGAAATATATGCAGTGAAAGAAAAGAGAGTGGTAATGAAGAAGGTACTTCGGCAGATTGAAGGGATCAGTGAGAAACAGGGTGCGCTACTGAAAAAGCCAAAAAAGATCGAGGCTAGCGAGGATCGATGGAGCGAAATAACAACGCCCTTTATGTAGAAACATCTATTAATAAATGCAGCGGGTGATATATTAGTATTTCTTTAAGCATCTTCTCTATATCGCGCTACCTATATATTGCAGTGTATTTAAATAAAGTTTTGCATATTATGGGCTCTAATGAGCGAAAGCTACTTTAGTTTTGCGAAGTATTGAAACTGTATATATTGGAGTGCTCTATGCACCGGAAAGCACCAAAGGGGTATCTTTTATTGGGCACAGCAGTTTAAACTAGAAATGGAAGCGCAGTGAACTGATTGGTTAAATAGAAAATCAAAAGAGCAAACAGTTTCTCTTGTTGACTGTTTAAGCGAGATGGAATTTTAAGCTAAGTTTAGCAATAGCTTTCCTTAAGAGATCAAGTAGCAAGAAAATTAAAATAATTTGTATATCGATCGATGCTACTAAGAGTAGAAATTTGGCAGTTTAAGATTCCAAATTAGACAATACTCAAAATGTTTAGACAAATAAGAAGTATTCTTCAGAGTAGAGCTATGGACAAAAGGGAAAGAGAAACTAAAAACGAAGTTAATAATGTATATCCACTAGTTAAACAATTGGTAGCAGGTAAGAATTGTGCGTGGGTATAACTATAGATTGTACAGCATGTAAACAAAGGCATATTAAATATAGAGACAGATATTTTATGAGGTTACAGCAATGCTGCTGCATGCTTTAGCAGTACAGCTAGTAGCCAAGCAAAAAGCACTTTTCAATAAACCTATAGGACTTCAAGAATTGCGTTTGCATAGAGCTCTTTTCTTTTTGCTGCTACTCTGTGCTGTCTTGTATATGCGTACTTATTTATTTTCCAAATGTCTTTTTATGCATCTGTGGTTTGCATACAGCATGCTATAAAACACAATAAAATTTTTAAGCTAGTGAGTTGGATGCAGTCGGTGAGTGAAGCAATAAAAATACAGCCTGTGTACAACACGCAAGGCATCTGTATGATAGACGGTGTGCTTTACACGGGGTATGAAAACGTGCTTTTTGGAAGCAATGGACAAAACTCTGTTGTCCTGCAGCTTGAGCTAGAGAGCGAAATAGTAAAAATATTCCAAGTGTACAACAAAATTTTGATATCAACAATTACTGGAAAGGTGTATCTATACAATCCAGAAGAGAAAGAAGCAAGGCCAGCCTGCGTGTTTAGCAATATGGTCATCAAAAGCATTGACTTAGATGGCGAAGCAATCCTTATAGGAACAGCGGATGGGCTGATTATACTTAGCGACATAAATGGCTACGGAGTGACAATGACCAAAAAGCTGGAGGGCACAGCTACTGCAGTTAGGTTCGTGCAGATGAAAGGTGCAAAGAGAAAGTACACTACAAGTAACAAGCTTATGGTGGCAGGTGATGTGATGGGGACAATTACAATGTATACCACAGCAGGGGATGTAGTTTACCGGGAGGCAAACTGCCATTCTGGAAATGTTGTATTCATTGGAGAGCTGGGTGACAGAATTCTCAGCTGCGGGATGGACGGATTCATAATAGAGCACTCTATAGGAGAGGAAACGATAGTTCGAAACATCAGTGGAGCCATGCAAGATGGAATTAGCGCGTGTGCTGTATACAATAACAGGATGATTCTGTGCGGAAAAGACATGTTTGTAACTCTGTCTGAAAATCTAAAGATTATTAGCAAAAAAGCCATGGACATCCCGTCTATAGAGAGCTTTGATATTTTTGGAGAGTACTGTGTGATTACCACCGAAGAGCATGATATTTTGGTGGCTAGCATTGTTGAGGATGAGCTGGTGGTTGAAAAGGTTATTGTTGGCAACAATGATGAGATCACGGATCTTTTGGTGCTGGATAGCATTGTTGTGGTCAGCACAAACAGCAGATACATTCGCACAATTAGCAAAAGCGACATTGAGCGAGAGAGTGCAAACGAAAAGGCAGACCACAAGGTGTTTTCAGGAGAGCTGGTTAAGTCGCAGAATGAGGAATATGTGCTCTCTATGTGCGGGACGAACAAGGCATTTTATACAGGCAGCAAAGACGGAGTTATCTCGCAGTTTAGTGTGATTTCTGGGAATATACGAGACAGCGTGAAGCTAGTGCATAGCATATCAGTAGAGGCGCCGATCACTGCAATGTGCATCTACCAGGACACTCTGATCACTGGAACAGAGCAAGGAATCATAAGTGGATGGAAAGTGTCAAGCAAGCTTGAGCAGATATTTACAGCAGCAGCAAGCACCACAGAAATAACAGGAATAGTTGTGAATAACAAAAAGATCCACTGCACCAGCAAGAACAAGGAGATTAAAGTGATAAACATGAGCGGCGGGGTAGACAGCGCAGTGTCTGGCCATAAGAAAGGGCTGTGGTCAATATCAGAGCACAGCCAGATGCTTCTCACAGGATCAAGCGATAAGACTGCAAGGTTGTGGAAGGGCGATATTAACAGCACGCTGCAGCACAACACCTCTGTGGTCAGAACACTTCTTACAGAGAGGGCAATAACCGCAACATCTGATGGAGTTGTACGCATTTGGAACATAACGAATTACAAAGAGCTTGGCGCACTCCGGATTACAGAAGCCAAAGACGAGAGGATCTGGGCAATAAAGCGGTACAGAGACACTCTTTACATTGTGTCTGCAGGACCTGCCATTGTAATCATCAAGGACAACACGCTGGAAGTAGAGAAGATGAAGGAGCAGACGCAGAAAGAGGAGTACGTTGCAAAGCAGCATGCTCTGATATTCATGAAGAAAGGAGAGTATGTGCATGCAGCTGTGGAATACTATAAGCTGAATCTAGAGAAAGACCTAAGAAGCACACTCAGGAAGATTGATGAATCAATGGACATATCGCTGCTTATGGATGCACTTCTTCTTGATGTTCCAAAGTTCGTCAAATACATTGTAAAGTGGGCCAAATCTCCGCCTCTATTTACTATCACGCAGCGCATTCTCAAGGACGCCATTGAAAAAAGAACTGTGATTCCAAGGAAAGAGGCAGAGGATCTTTCGCAGACACTTGCAAGAACAGCCGAGCTGTTTAATGCAGCATACTAATAGATAGAAGAGCATGCACAAAGATGCTACTTGGGACACCCAATGGTTTAGAAGCTACCATACATTAGAAGATATAATAAAATCCATTATTGAAAGAAGCTCTTAGAATTTAGTCTCCTTATACTATACAGTGGCCTATAACCCGATATAAACCCGAATAAATATTCTAAGCCTAGCATACTAGGTCTTTGCAGTTGTAACTGAAAATACGCCTGCTTTAACACCCAGCTATGTAGCTGTAAACTATAAACTGCATTAAAAATCGCACAACTCTTTTATTTTTATCCACTAGAATGTGTACGGCAGTTGCCTAGTCATCAAACTTAATTGACTTGACTGCAGTGTCTATTTTCCCCAGCTTAACCACTCCTCTCTTCAGCTTTTTTTTCTCTCTGTTAAAGTTCTTTCCTTTGTGCGGCTTTAAATGTCCTCCAGACCGCTTTGAGTGCGTAAGAAGTTCCTGCTGTGCTCTTGCCATGCGATAAATTTTTTACGCGTTGAGCTGAGGATAAATTCTTATTCTTAGAGTCTTTGCACTCTATCTGCATACTCTGAATGTTTTTATTAATAGACTATTCTCTTTGCATATGCCGCTTAAAGCCACATCTGTACAAAATATCCTGCAGTCTAAGCATCCTCAATCTCTGGGGCTTTTTTACTGCAATTTTCGCAGCGCGCCCTGTTTTGCTGTGTGAGGTGTCTGCACTCTTCGCACACGCCATATCCATCTGGCAGTGCATTTAGACAGTTTGAGCATGCAGCATACGCCGAATATTTTTTAATTTCTAGCACCTCCAAAAAACAAAGCGTTAGCCACTTGGTGTTTCTTCTCGCCACGATTTTGCTATCTGTTTTGCAGATTGAGCAGACAATCGAAGAGTCTTTTTCTTCTACGTCTGCAGAGCTTTGGCGGTTTATTTCTTTAATGAGCATACACACAAACAGTATAATTTGTATTTGTTTTAATTTCAAATTTTACACATGGACAGAGTGCATAGTAAATGTGCACACTCTAAACATGTTGGGATACTAGACACAATTGAAATCGGAAGGGGCGGGTGGATATGGATACTTATCAGTCTCCTGGTCTTAAACTACCAGATTTGGATGAACAACACGCTTTACACGATTCTTTGCATGGTTGCTGATGAGTCAATGAAATGCCTGAAAAGGTACTCTATTTTGACGTTCTTTCTTTTGAATGTCACTCGTTGGATCATTTTGTACTTTGTATCAGAGCAGCTAAGCTCAGTCATTGTGTACGGCGTTATTTCTCTGTGCATTGGCATGGAGTCGATTATGGGAATTTCCGGCGCAAGCGGATTTATTGGAGTTATCATGCGCTACTTAAGCGTAATGCAGCTGATGAAGGGGATTTCGTACATACTTGCGCGGCGGGAGGTCGCCATACTAGGAATGGACGACGAGCTGATTGAAAAGCCCAAAGAGGAAATATCGCTTCTTCGCTTTATTCTATTTCCCACCATGTGCTACCAGCAGGAGTATCCAGTGGCCGCTTCTGTTTCAAAGTACATGGTATGCATGTATCTCCTCATGCTTCTTCCTCTCATATTATTCACGTACTACTGCTTTAGCATTAAGTGCTATTTCTTTGGAAATTGTTTCTGGAAAGAGCCAACAGTTGACACATATATTAAGATATTTATGTGGTGCAATTTGGGATGGATATCGGGGTTTATCATGGTGTTTATTGTATTTTTTGGGCTCTTGAGTGAAATCACGCGATTCAACGACCGTTCATTCTTTGAGGCATGGTGGAACGCCTCGGTATCGAACTACTGGAGAAAGTGGAACTCGCAGGTGCACAGATGGATAAAGAGACATGTGCACAGAGCACTAATCAAGAAGAACATAACAGTAAGAAGCAGCAGAATAACTATTTTCCTGGTAAGCGGGCTGGTGCATGAATACATCATTGGAGACGTACTTAAATACCGAGGAATTGGGTTCTTGTCCATGGCATCGCAGGTGCCACTTGACTCCTTTATTAAACTTGGGAATAACTGGGTCAAGCTGAACCAGGAAATTGCAGTTACATTTGCCTTTAATTTTATTGGGGCGCCTGCCTTGGTGCTGGTTTCTGTAATGCCCAGAGACTTCTTTAGCCTTAAAATGAAGTAATAGATAAACTATTTAACTCAAATAAACAACATTTGTCTTAAAAGAGTCGATTCTTTTTTTGAAATACTAAACTTTGTGTTAGTTGTTCCTGTCCTCTATATATAGATGTTTAGTGTTATCATATTGATCTAGTTATAAGTTCCAGAAGCTGTGCACCAATCATGTTGGTAGACACTTAAACACCGATTCTTATACTAATAAGGATAAAAGCCTAAGTTATGAAGTATATATGTATATACAAACCAAGCCCCTTTTGGTGTGTAGACAAAAAAGCAAATCTGAAAGCCAATAACCAGTATTATTTACATTTCTAGTGAAGGAAAAAGAGTTTTTTATCCTTGAGACAAGGAAGCCAAGAACTAATTGTCTATTAATATGATATTCAGAAGAGAGTTATTTGCATGTGCATACTGCTTCTTGTATTTGTTTGGTGCTAAGTATTTGTGGCTGAGGTTTATTCACTCCTGGCGCGCGCTGTATTTTACATACTCTTTCACAAGTATAACACAGCAGCACTATGATTTCTGACCCTATACACCCATTTGAAGATCTTTATGCGCTAGAAGGGTGTAAATACCTCCATATATTCATTCGTGTATTGTCTCTTCTACAGGAGAATGGTTCTTTAAATATGTGTGTTTTTGCGATTTTCCAAGATCTTTCCATAATAAAAGTAAATCAACACCACTTTCTAAAAAAATGTATACGTGAAGAATTATTTAAATAAAATCATTTAGAAATAATTTGAAGAGAAGCCTTTATTATAAGTGAGTAAAAAACCTTTTCAAGTTGAAATATGTCTAATTCAATGCATTCAATGCAGGTTTACTAAGATATAAGTATATTTTAAATTTAATTGAGGTAAAATTCCCACTTTCATTAACCCTGTGACCAAAGTACATTAATGATAAATGCACTTTCCGGACGATTCCTCGTATATCAGAAACTGACTATATAATAGTAAGAATAATTCAAAAGAAGAGGCAATATTCTAGACTATTATCTCCAGACTAGCTCGTCACCCCCTTTTGGGCATGCGAATAATTATTGAGTAAACTAATTGGGGTGCCCAAGAGAGAACCGTGCTTCAGCGAGAAGATAGCAGTCTAGAATAAATAATATAGTTGACAAGAGTGTTTATTCATATATTTCTGTAGATGTCTGGGTGTTCAGTGATTGTTTATCTTTGTACTTGGTTTTTTCTTGGTAATTTATATGTGCTGCCTTTTTTAAATATTTACATGCAATTATATAGCGTTCTTTTGATTCATATATTTTCCGAAGTTTTCCCTTTATATTAGCAATCCTGTGGTCTTGAATTGGAAAGGTGGGAATTTTGCCACAGTATCTGACAGTATGTTTGGCTTGATTACATCAGATCTTATTATTCTTTTGTACAGAATTATGCTATTTCTTTTAATATGTAGGAATATCAACGTATCTACTAGGCAAGTAAGGGCTTACATATATTCATGGCGCACAAATTCCTTTTCTAATAACTTCCCTTAGCATACGGATTATTTCCAGAGCCCCCCAGCATCTCCATTATTCGATCACCTCAGTAATAATTTCCTGCTAGACTACACTTCTTACAAAACATCTGTGGTTTATGATTATTCTCAAATGATTTTGCATTCTGTTTCTTATTTTTTGCATTATCTTTCTTCTTTTTAGCAAGCTCATCTATTCGTATGCAATCCAAATATAAACGCTTCAGAGCATCATCCTTGTTCTTATTTTTAAATTTCCAAGTCTGTAAAAATTCTTGTGGATAAGCATTGTAGTTCTTTATAAACTCTGTTTCTACGTCCTCCCAGGAATAAGGCGTATACAGTACATAAGGCAGGAACCTATTAAACCAATGCACCCATGACCCATTTCCTTTCTGGGGAGGATTTACAAACTGTGACACTTTCTCATTGTCTATGTAGGATAGCAGTTCTTCTATGGCAGCGTCATAATCCTTATTCTGCCAATTCCTAAAATGAGTTCCAAAATTTGCAATATAAGACTGAAATTGAATGTAAATTCTTTTTTCAGCTGAATTACGGCGGCTTGATAGTTCTTCTTCAATTAAAAATATCTTCTGGCCAGGATTTAAAGAAGACCATCCTGGGATACAATAATCCATAATCTCTAACCTATATCTGACTTTCTCACTTCCTTTCTGCAAAGGGAGAAGTTTTAGATTTCTAGAAATGACATCTAATCCATATTCATCTCTGCTATACATAGAAGCTACGCATCCACAATGTGTATCTATATATACACCTTAGCCCCTATCATATTGATCTAAACATACGTTCTAGAAAGCATCCATTTATCACATTGATAGATAATTAATTATTCATCCATAGAGCAATGGAATTACGAGTGTAAGTTGCAAAGCAACTTTATGTAGACAATAGAGCTACTTGTGGTGTATTAGCCTACAGCAGAAACATGGAAGGCAATGCCCAGAGTACATTCAAATTGACAATCCAGGAAACTGACTCTTTGTTTTTGAGACATAGAAGTCAACATCTCTTTAACTCAGCTGGCAAATAAAGACTAGAGTTAAATTCCTCCGTGATAGAATCCACTAATTAGAAGTGACTAGTGAATGTGATCCCTCCTATATTTACACAATAACGTTGTTTAAACAAGCAGGAGAAGGCATATATATTGGCCAAAAGACAAGTCTGGAGTAGTTATCCACCAACGGCATTCTTTGCTGGGCTGGGGAAAGGGATTTATGCCTCCTGAGACAAAGAATTTCAATAATTATAAATAACAACTGTTTTACATAAAAATAACAGTTTAAATATGAAAAGCTTACAAGTATCAGGCATAAAAAATATTTTTTTACGAAGTCGAATTATGAGAATTAGACTTCTGATTTTAGGACTCAGGCTATATAGCGTATCAGCAGTAGGAATAGAAGAAAAAGAAAAAAATCTCAACATGATAAAAGAATCTTTTGAAAGTGCTATAGAGAGCCATGCGCAGATGAAAGATAGGATGCAGGTAATGACTGCAGGTTATAAGCAGTTATATAAAAGTAGAACATCTGAGTTTTCAAAATTTGATGAAAAGTCCAATAAGATTGAAAAGATAGTATCTGAGATAGAACAGAAGATAGAGCATTGCAGCAGCATAAAAAGCTCTGGAAATGCATTATCAAATAGAAACTCTGCAGAGACGGAAGAGTATACTACAAATCAAGAATATAGTACAGATGAAGAATACACTACTGCAGGGGAAGAGGAATACGTTACAGGAGATGAGGACGGCAATGAAAGAAAAAAAAGTAATCATCATGTCCCTTCAAGGGAGAGTATTGATTGCAATGAAAACTTCTTAAATACTCTGGCTGCATCTATTACAAATTTGGAGAGAGAGCTATCCCCTTTGAGAAGCACATATGTGCATTACATGAAGAAGTGCCTGAACTATAAGTCTACAGAGAAAACCACATTGTATAAGATGTGTCTTGCTGGATGCCCTTTTGCAGAGACGCTTGTTTACTTTGGCGTTCTGAAGTCTAAAAACGAATATTCCAGTTGGCAAGCACAGCCTTCTAATCTAAACTTTTTAAAGGACGAGTTTAACGGTAGAGTAGATATAGCGAGGATCAGGAAGTTTTGCAAAGAGCTTTGGCAGAATACTCAAATCAAAAGGATGCCTTTAGTAGAGGCTCTAGATGAAGGATACTCTACTATTCTTGGTGGGATGTTCAAATCAGATAGAATAAGCAAGGAGAAGATTTGTCAGATTCTTGATGACTACAATGATATATATGCAGGGCTTCCCATTGAAAGAGATAGCCTTTCCTCAACTGATATAGTCAACATACTTGCCTTCAAAGTGCACTTATCTGGAGTAGACAAGAAGGTATACTCAGCCTCCAATCGATTCTGCAATGCGATTATAAACACAATTGAGTACATGATAAAAACAAACAATCTGGCGCGCGCGAAGATTAACATCAAAAGCATGGCTGATCTATGCCAAAGCCTCATGCATGGAAGGGAATTCAACAATTCTGCGGATTCTGCTGTAGACATTGAGGTGGAGGACTCTATGTTCAACAAAGTGTGCAAATTAACTAGAGATCTACGTATTATCGATGTATACACCAATGAGAGTATCTGTATGTATCTTGCAATGCATCCTGCCTATCATCTGCTTAAAATCATCGATGTTACCACTGAAAAGATAGAAAGCAAGGATTCATACAGAGCATGTATAAAGATAGCCCCTATTCATAGTATACGGAGAAAATCTACTGCTCGAATTTCACCAATGCTAATGCTATTGGTAGATGCACAGTCAATTGAATTTACATCACCTGAAAACACTCCAAAGAACCTGGCTGATTTAATTAAACGACTATCAGATGGCCTAAAGTTGCCATATTGCAGTCAAGTATAGTTTATACTAGATAAATGACACGCATGAAATATACGTTTTCTAGCCTTTTCATCCCCAAAACATGTGTCTTTCCTTAAATGAGAAATGTAAGTGTAACTGCCAATTTCTTTCATGTTTAATTCTTGCTAAGCCCTCATAATGTCTCTTCTTTGTTTATACACAGTGCCTCTTTTAACCTAGGCTCTCAGATTAACTCATCTGATGGAAATTTTTCTGAGGTTTATGCATAGAGAATGAAAATAAATAAAGAGCACAGAAATATGCAAAAATAGAAGCTAATTTATTATGCCAATACAAGTTTATAGATGAGTGTGTCATAAATGTAAGAGTTTATGTGCGAAAAACAAGTCTTTTTATAGTTCTACATTGCGACAAAAGTCCTGCTAGACTCTTCAGAGTACATCTTATCTGCTATTACTTTAAGAGCACATAGCTTTTTTATTTGGTTTTCAAGCGCCATTTGTATGGAGAGCATTATAAGAGGGCGGACTTTTTCTATTTTTCTTTGTGTTTTAAGTATTTCCCCAAGAAGCCTCTGCTTGCTAATAAAGAACTTTTTTTCAACTGTAGTTATATAATACTTGCTCTTTCGGAAGGCTTCATTCCTCTCCAGTCTCTGGATGACCACTTTCTCCACTCGCATGCTCTCCTTAACTGCCGAATTAATCTCATTTAGTGTTGTATATGTTCTTTCATCTATGCAGATCACGCATCCTCCGGCCACGATGTTCTTTTCATCAAAAACTAGCTCATCTATATACTTAACACACAGCATGACTGGCCTGGGTATAGGCTTCTTCTTTCCTTGTGTGCTAAATCCTGCAAAGATATTTTCAGTGCTTCTTGGCCATGTGCGAAAAGCACTTGCCTCTCTGCTCTCCATGTGCACTTTCTTGTCAACCGGCTGCAAGTTTGACTCTTCCACTGTAGCTATAACAGAAGGGGAGATGATCATTTGGAGTGAATTCCTTAAGCTGCTTATATACATTTACTAAGTTTATTTGTATATACTGCATAGGACCAATAATACCATAATCAAACAATGGAAGCACCTTTCAACACTATCACGCTAAAAAAACCCCTAAGGCAGCTGGAAATCCACAAATATTCTTTATTAACCACTTTACACTATAAATCGCTGCTTTCTAAGGTTTGCTTTCACTGTTTCTAGCAATTGGAGATCTGTCTTTTTAAGATACTCAAACAAATAGTCAAAGTACTCTTTTCTTCTAAGCAGAGAGACCCCAGGAGCCCATGAGGTAAAGTTGTAAATAATATTTCCATCCTCCTCAAAAAACATTTTGTCAACTATTTCTTCTTCCTCTTCCTCTTCTATTGTGCTGTGCTCTTTCAGCACGTCAAAAAGAAAGAGCGAAACATCTTCTGATAATTCATGTAAGTACGTGATGTATCTGGTGTATATTGTTTTCTCGTCTCCCTCCTGTATAACCCACGCTCTGTCACACTTGCTGCATCCAAGTAAAATATTCTCCCAAATCGGTTTGTTTAGTGTTTTCACCCGAATTTTCACCAGATAGTCATACTCAGCATGCGTAAGATGCTCAATATGCTGTGCGCCGTATTTCAGAACATCTATCACAGCAGAACTTACTGGAAGAGTGGTCGTAAAGATACGCCACATATCGTACAGCAAAAAGAAGCAGTATTTCTTTGATTCGCACAGATTTTCCGAAACAGAGGCCTGTGCTGGACCAGGTGCCTGGCTCTTTTCTGGGATAGACTTTTCGCACGAACTTTCTTTTGTAATGCTATTTCTTTTTTCATTTAGGACATGTCCAATTGGATAGATTTCGCATCTTTTGCGTATAACCAGAAGTGCTCTTTTTAGAAGAGTATATTCTTCTCCAACTGAGGGGCTTATTTTGCCTCGGGATTTTCTCTGTTTCTTGGCTGCTTCAAAGAACAGGCATGCACCCAGAACATCCGTGTACACTATCCGCAGGTCTTCAAGGTTTTCCATTTTATCTATGTTATAAAAGCATAGCATAAAGGCATTTGATATCTTTTTGCATATCTCATATATTTGCAAAATGCTGAGCTTCTCTGTCTTTCCTGCCAGGCCTGTGCTTGTTTGCTTTATATACTCTGCTACACTCTGCGCATCAAATGGGTTAATTGCCAGCATGCTTTTGTAGTCTTTTTTATATCTAAATACATTCAATAGCTTTGCATAGATTGTGTTAGTATCTGAAATGCAGCTCAGATACATTCTATTTGGTTTTTTGAGATACTTCTTGACCATTTCCAGTGCGCGCCCAAAAAGAGCTCCTGATGTATACACAGTTTCTCCATTCGGAAGCAGAACAGCGTGCTTGCCCACAATCTCTCTATGACGCATAAAGTGAGAAAAGAAGCTTAGGTGGGTGTTTCCAGAGGACAAGCTTAGCAGATACAGCGCCATAGGGAATGTAAAGAACTCTCGTATAGGCGTGCTTATAGACTCAAACATTGTGTTTTTTTCTTCTTCTGAGACCTGTCTAGAGTAGAGTGCTTTTGCCAGGAAGTATGACTGTGCAGTGGGGTTTCCCTGCCTAAGAAGATCAATAATGCCTTCAACAGAAAACCACTCAAGAACGGAAAGGCAGAAAAGCACAATGCCTGCATCCCCAGCAGAGCAACCCTTTTCCAGAACGCGGAAATACAAAGGCCCTCCTTGCAGGTCCAAAAAGCAAATATCTTCCAGGATTTCCATTACCTCAAACTCCTCTGCCTCACCAACCAGGTATCCCATCAGCATTGCTTCAACCTCCTGGATCTCTGGATCTGACTGCATGTTGTTTGTTCCAGCAGATAAATTTCCTCTTTTTGCGCCAACTATCCCAGTCCGACTGCTTACAATGGCTGCTGCACTGCCCATCTTCTGCACATACTTTTTTCTTAGACTTATAAGGACTAGCTCTGCCTTGTCATAAAATGTATCTCTGTCCTGGTGAGTGCCATCTACACTTCGTTGTCCCAGCACATCAAGAATGCTGCATCTCTGAATATGGCCAAGTATGGTTCTACTCAGTCTCTCTACTGGCATATAATCAAGAAGCGTAAGGCAGCACATGGCCAAAGAGTACTTTTCGTTATGGAAGGCAGACAAATCAGACCACATGGACAAAAACCTCTCTACAGTGTACGCAATACAATCCACTATATCGAATGTGCATATATTACTGCTCATTTCCTGGGGACTTTCATCTTCTCCTGTCTTTTCATAAGGTTCATCTCCTGCTACACCACTCTCTTTCCCACCTTTATTTGGAAAAGACGCATTATCACGTCCAAGCCCCATTATGCTTCCTTGATAAATCTGCAGAGTCTGCTTGGGATATTTGCTGTCTGCTGCATCCTGAGAGAGATATTTCTCCCTGGCTGATGCAATTATTTGCTCGCCCCATTCATTCTTCTCGTCTGCCCCTTCTATTATCTGAACACAGCTGATATTATCGATCTCTGTTGAAACAATCAGAGAATATATCCTCCAAAGTATGCTGTATATGTCATTTGGCAATTCTTTCACCTGGGAGTACTCCTGCACATACACGGGCTTCATTCGGTAGTTTTTTCTGAGACACTCTCTTTCTCTCTCCAGGATAGTGTAGCTCTGTCCTGTGCCTATCATCTTGTTGATGCAGAAGATGCCTGCAATATAATTCTGCATAGACTTAAAGTATTCCAGCCTTACACCGCTCTGCACTTCATGTGTTTCTAGGATGTCCTGGCACAACTCGTTTTTCCCCTGCTGGATGCCCATTCTTATGATGTTTTCAATGCAGACTTTCTTTATATCAGCAAACATCTCGGGATTCTTGTCTTCAGAAATACTTTCAATAATCCCCTGGAGGTCTTCAATTGATTCTTCCTGCAGGGCCTGCGTGTACTTTGCAACCAGCGCCTCCCGGGATAGGCCAGGATTCTCTGCATCTGCTGTAATAAATTTCATACACAATTTTTTTTAAAAATGCATTCAGTTAATGAAGCAAGTTCTGTTGAAGTCAGCGACAATTTTGTCTTTGTCATGGATGCCGAGCATGCTGAGATATACAGCCTAGAAACCCGAAAAAAGAAAACAGTCATTCCGGTTGATTTTGATCAGCTAAAAACAATTAACGGAAAAGTGTACACCATCCGGGGCACAGAAATATTTGAGGAGATAGATATAGAAGGCCCAAACCGAAAAACAGCCAAGATAGGAGATGTGAAAAAAGGCCACGCAGGCATACATATCTCTGATGACTACATATTTGTCTATTCTATTGACTCAAGCGCAGGCCGTCTTGAGGTGGAAATGGCGCCAGTAGCCAACGCAGAGAGCACGCACAAATCAAAGAGCAAATCCGTTGGAATAGATATAGGAGAAGCCCGCCATCTTATGTGGAGAGACAATGAAGTGTACTATATAACCAAGGGTGTTCTTTATGGGTATAGTCCTCTGCAGAGCGAGCCATACGAGATAACGCAATTCACATACACAGAGGTCACGTGCCTAGAGAAAACTGATAACTATTTTGTGGTTGGCACGCCTAACCTTCTCCTAATCCACAATATTAAGAGCAAAATACTCTGCAAGGTTGCATGGCACTCAGCGCCTGTCCGGCAGATACAAAAACTGCATGGTGATCTAATTGTATCGCAGAATCAGAGCGGAAGTATTCTTCTAACAGACTGCAGATCACATCAGAACACGTTCATTAGCACAGACTATTCTGTATCAAGAGAGATACTTGATGCACGCCCCTCTGAGAAAAGATCCTTTTCAGTCTCGCAGAATGGATACATCGTAATTAGAACAGAAACAGAGGCCAGAATTATACACATCCCCTCCAAAACATCTGAGTACATTTACTTCTTGAAAAAGGCCACAAAGCAGATAGTGGCCCATGAACTACCATGCAAAAATGAAGAGTTTGTGCCCACCTTTAATGAGAGATCTGAAAAACAATTCACTCACATATTGAACAGTAACAACCTCTTCATGCCTGAATCAGATATATATCACTTAGACAACAAAATCATTTTCATCCACAAGGACAGCGTATACCGTGTGATAGAAGAGCTTGTTGGAATTGATGAGGTTTTCTACTCAAATGGCTATGTGCTTGTCTTCCTTGTAGAAGCACAGGAGAAGGCTGTTATGTCTGAAAAGGCCTTTGAAAAAGTAACAGGAGAGAAAATAGCCCGTTTATACAAGCTTGGAAAGAACACAATAGAAAGAATGTTCTCAGGGCATGCAGACTTGGAGGGAATGAAAATAGTGGACATGGAGGTAGACACAAGTGTAGTGCTTCGTTTGCAAGAGGTAAACAGCAGCCATACAGTAACCAGGGAGTACGAAATAAAGGACCTGGGCTTTTATCTCGAATATAATAACTAGAAAGAGAACAGTCTATTAGAAATACAGCAGAGACAGATTTACGCCTGCATGGCAGACTGTAACAGTGCTCTATGATCCACAGTACACCACTCCATAACACACTAGTCCACGTTTTTATATCACAGTATTATGCCATGCATATGCTGGCACCCGTCATAAATCCTTTACTATGCATCTTTTACTCACAGAAGTTTCCTGTCACAGAGTGATTTCAGGTTTATAAATATGCTTAAAACGTTTAATAAATATTCAAGTTTCGTATGATTATAAGTGCCTATTAAGGATATACATTGAATATACATGCATTGGCATGCATTTCTTCTTTCTGAAATTTTCTTGTTTTTCTGCCTGCCAGAGCACTGCAAGGGGTATGTGAATGGTGCGAGCCAATTTATTGCAGAGTGTAAAAATAATTTATAATTATGGAATGCGGATGGGGGAACTGTTCCGAGGTATTCCAGGACCAGAAGGACTATGCTGCACATGTAAATAAGCACATACGGGAGACGGATGTGCGCACCTGTGAGTGGAAGGGATGCACAAAACTATTTGAGAAGAAGATAAGTAAGTGCACTCTTCTCACGCACATAAGAACGCACACCCGGGAGAAGCCCTTCAAGTGCGCCCTATGCACAAAGGAGTATAGCAGGTCAGATGCACTGAGCAAGCACATGAAATCACATGAGCAGATGGCAGCAGACGAGAATATTTTTATGAAGAAAATACTCTACCTCAATCAGATACACCAGGAGATAGAGCTTCGTATAATAGGTATAAGAGAGGAATATAATAGACTCATAGTAGAAAATGATGTGTTGCTTAAGCATATTTGCAGCGCAAGGCGGTAAAAATAAAGAACAAAGAAAGTGTTATGTTTATATAGGTCAAAAGGCACAGAATCTAGTACAGGAAGGGCTTCGAGTGTCTATTTATTGTTTTTGCCTTGGAAAGGTGTTTTTATTCAGAAACACGAATAACCCAATATAACCCGAATATACTCACTGATAAATCTATAAATATTGCATGTATAGGATATTGTATGCTAGAGCATATTTGAATTAAATACTAAAAATGCATCTGTCAACACATGCAGGATTGAAGTATGTGGTAACTTGTTTGCATGAAAAGAAGAATAATAAATATTGTATATGTTCTAGTAGATATACTTTATAGTCTTAACTTTCATAACTACTCCATGTAATGGTGTGCCTGGTTATTCTTTTGTATGCACCATACGTGTGAGATTCTTCAGATTACATAAAGAAAATTGCATATATAATGCATGCAATAGCGTATATACTGTACTCTATGCTGAATCATTGTCAAAATGCCTTTTTGTATTGATTAGTGGCCTTCTGTGAATTTAATGGAAAACCACAGAGTCTTCATTTTATGCACAGAAATTATTAAAAGCTGAAGAGTATTATAAAATTTAAACAAAATCGCATAAATACAGCCAGAATTTAATCGATTTAATTTTAGAATATACATCTAGTAATAAATAAATTGTTCAAATACACCTTGTAAATACATATGGTCTATTAAGATTATTGTAAATTGCAGTGTTCTATGGCCTACGCATGGCGAGTAGACAACAGTAATCAATGAGAAAGAGATTTGGTTAAGAAAACCTTATTAATCTTTAGTTTTTGTGGTTGTCTAGTTGGTCAATATATATATATATGTAGTGTTATTCAGCTGATCTAAACCAATAAGATAACTGTGCCAATTGACCCTTTCAAATTAAGCCCAATCACACATATCCTGTATACGATAATACAAAGAAACCAATAATAGAAAATACACTAGTCATTAGACTATGCATACAACACTAGAGAAGCCAAAATACTTCGTATATCTTCCACATGAAAATATTTTGATGTTTGCCATAGTTATAGTCTTTTCCATAAAGCATGTTCTCTTATATGCAGTGACGATAAAATATTTTATGGTAATTAGTCTACTTCCTAGGGAAGTCATTGAAAGAATCGCAGCAGGCGAGGTAGTGACATCTCCTACTGCACTGCTCAAAGAAGTACTGGAGAATAGCTTGGACAGCTCGGCAACGCACATCCGGGTTATTCTAACAGACAAGCTTCTAGACTGCATAGTTATAGAAGATAACGGAAGTGGAATAGCCAAAGAAGACCTGGCTCTTCTATGCACACGGCATGCAACAAGTAAGCTTTCACAGCACAGTGACCTGGAGAAAATAAATACACTTGGGTTTAGAGGAGAGGCACTTGCCTCCATCTCATTGCTGTCAAATGTATCTGTCAGAACCTCCACGCATGGTGCAACAGGATACGAAGCCATATACAGAAATGAAGAAGTTGTGCAGCAGAAAGAGATAGCATGCAACAAAGGAACAAGGCTAAAAATAAACAATCTATTCTACAATGCAGCAGAGAAGTACAAGCAATTTATAAATAGCAAGCCAGAGATTGCGAAAATAGTAAACCTTATTACAAAGTATGCAATTGCATACACAGAAGTATCCTTTGAAATAGTAAGGTCTGCAGAGATCAAGAGATACAACACAGGGAACAGAACAAAGATAAGTTTGCTATCAGAGATATTTACACAGAAACTAGCAAATGAGCTGGTTTTCATCCCATTTACAATGCATCTCAGTGAAAGGCCAGAAAGCATTCAGTGCACACTGCATGTATCGCACTCAAATCTCTCACTGTCTTCTCCTGTCTTCATTATGTTCATTAATAGAAGGCTGGTGGAAATACAGAAAATAAAGAAAAGAATCTACGCCATATACAAAGAGATCCTTGTTAAAGGGCACCCATTCATTCTGCTAGAGATAGAGCTGCCGCAAGACATGATAGATGTAAATGTGCACCCATCAAAGGTTGAAGTGTACCTGAGAAAGGAAGAAGAAATTATAGAAGAACTTGAGAAAAGAATAAGAGAGGCACTGCAGACAAAAAAGATGACAGGAGCAACAAAAATCTCCTATTCTCAGATGAGCCCACGGGAAAAAGAAGTAAAGGCCCCACTTCAGACGAAATACACTAAAGACAAAGAAATTGCTATTGCACCCAGCACACCCAGTACTCCAAGCAGCATAAGACACCTGGAAATGCCAGGTTCTCAGACACCCTCCAGAAATACCACCCCAGTTGCAAAAAGAGTTAGAAGGGACAGCAAAATAAATCCACTCACTCTATTCCTTACACCCGACAGAAGTGCACAGAAACCAGAAATCACAACTGCAGCTGTTGCCAGACAAAGTATGCCAATCTTCCCTAGCATAATGAGTACTAGCAGTGCACATAGAAATGTCAATATGCCAAATATGGAAGATATATCTATTAATCATGGATCACCATCTTCACTATCTGATAGTGAAATTGCCATCTTAAAGGATTCCATTCTTATAGGCATGATATCCCAGCAGTGGGCAGCCATTCAGTACTGCACAGACATATATCTACTAAATATAAAATATCTAAAGAGTGCACATACTAGTTCACCCTCACAGCAATCCATTAGAGGCATTGCAAAAATATTCAGAGAAATTGAACAAATACAAAGAGATATTTCTCTTAGTGAGACAGAAGCAAAGAGAAGTGCAACAGATCTACTAGGTGAAAATATAATACAGCCTGCCTCAGAGGCAGAAATTGAGGCTTCATCTCCATTTACTCAGAATAGATCCACTCCAAGTTCTGTGAGTAGAAGTGGATTAATTCGATTAACTACTATGAGTGAGCTGTACCAATTATTTGGCAGATGAGTGCACGAACTGAAGCAACGCGAAATTAACCAATTAGAAAAATTTGTGTATTTATTTCTGAAGTCACTTGGTTTTAATATGAAGAAAGTATACACACATGGAAAGCAATTGAGAGAGAATTATGGCACTGAATACAGAAGGAGTATTGAAAATAAAGAGGAGTTCTTTGGGGAGCAAGCAAGGATTCTTCTAAACTTTTCAAAAGACTTCTCCAAGACATATACAGTGGACAGTGCCTCCTCTCGTATTAAGTGGTTTGAGGATGGTGAAATAAATGCGTGCTACAATGCAGTGGACAGGCACGCCATCAGCACACCAAACAAAACAGCAATTGTATACGAAGATGACTCTGAGCGAGTGACTGAGATGTCATATCAGGAACTCTTGCAGGAGGTGCTGATTTTCAGCAAATATCTCCAGTCCAAAGACGTGAAGAAAGGAGATACAGTGTGCATCTACATGCCCATGGAGCCAAAGGCACTTATTGCATCGCTGGCTTGTGCGCGTCTAGGTGTCTCGCACACTGTGGTCTTTGGAGGGTTCAGTGCAGAGAGTCTTGCACTCCGAATGGAAGACTCAGATGCAGTCTGGCTCATCACGTCTGATCACACCTTCAGAGGAGGAAAGAGAATTGATTACCTCGGAAATGTAGCCAGTGCACTGGAGATACTTCAGTCTGGGGAGTCTTCATCTTGTCTAAGAGGCATGCTCATCTGCAACAAAGAGAGCATTCCCAGCGAGGTGCTTTCAAAGACAAAGGGCCATTTAGAAATAATTGATTTATTGTCTGATCTTCCAAAGGAGACTCTGTCAATTGAAGATGTCCCTTGCGTCTCAGTTCCATCCGAGCACACGCTGTTCCATCTTTATACAAGCGGTAGCACAGGGCGGCCAAAGGGACTGTCTCACAGCACAGCAGGGTACCTTCTGTATGCAGCCCTTACAACTTTAATTTGCTTCGACATAAAAGAGGACGACAGATTCTTCTGTACAGCAGAACTTGGGTGGATCACAGGACACTCGTATGTTATGTACGGGCCACTTACGCTTGGAATCACAACAGTTGTCTTTGGGGGCGTGCCCACATTCCCAGATCCACTGAGATTGTTCCGGTCAGTGGAGCGCATGCAGGCTACGCACCTGTACACTGCACCCACTGTGATTAGGCTCCTTCAAAAGTCACTGCCCACGTGCTTAGTGCGCCCATATGACATAAATGAGTCACAGGATAACTTAACACCTGCAGTCGACCATGTCCCAAATTCACCAATCAGCAGCCGATCAATATTCACGCACGGTGTAACAGACACATTCGACAGAAGTAGGTACTACAAGGAATATAATGCATCTGAGGTTGCACTGGACAAAATAGACCTGTCTTCACTGAGGGTGCTTGGATCTGTTGGGGAGCCAATTAACAAGGGAGCGTACGTTTGGTTTTCAATGTACTTTGGAAATGGAGTGCTCCCAGTGATTGACACATACTGGCAGACTGAGGCAGGGGGTGTTATGCTGTGCCCTCTCATCAGTGTCACAGAGTACAAACCAGAAAGTGCTTCATTCCCCTTCTTTGGCATGCAGCCTGTTGTTATGAAAAAGACCACAGAAGTAGAAGACCCATCAAGCCACAAAGTTGAAGAGGTTGTTGGGCAGACAGGAATCCTTCTTTTTAAGGACTTCTGGCCGGGTATTGCAAGAACCATTGTGAAGAATCATGAGAGATACTGTAGTGCATATCTTCAGTATCCTGGGTACTTCTACACCGGGGATGAGGTGCTGAAGGACGGAAATGGGTACTACTGGATCAGAGGCAGAATTGATGACGTGATCAACGTAGCAGGTCATAGACTCAGTACTGCTGAGATTGAGAGTGCTGTGTGCTCGGTTCAAGGTGTTGCAGAGGCAGCTGCACTTGGAGAAGAGGATGAAGTGACAGGGCAGGGTGTGACCATCTTCATAGTCAAATCCTCTGATGTACCAGAAGCAGAGCTATTTGCGCAGATAAAGGCAGTGCTAAGAAAAAGAATTGGGTCCGTTGTAAATCCAAAGAGACTCCTTTCTTGTCCAGAGCTCCCAAAGACCAGCACAGGAAAGATGATGCGCCGGGTACTAAGGAAGATCCTGGAGGGGCAGGAAGTTGGGGATGTCAGCACATGCATTAATCCAGACTCAATTACATTTGCAAAAGCCAGTATTGCTAAATAAATCATTTATGTTTCACTTATTCTTATGTTCTATAATGACTGAGTCTGGGATACTCCCTGGACTATGAGTATTTATAAGAAAGAATAAACTGCATATATTTCTGGCTTATGATGGGAAAGAGTGAAGTATAGTGGGCTGCAGGAAGGGATACTAGATATAGAATGGGCAATATACATAGAAATGCCATTTATATTTTCTAATGTGGAAATATATGCAGGATACATCTGCTTATACCACAGATACAAAAAGAGCATTCTATACTGGTCTTTTCTTGGTTAAATTTTACTTTTCTTTGAAAGCGAGTATGAAGTGCACTTGAAATAATATTATAGTATTTAATCTATTTGACAAGAATTTAGTACTCTTATCAGTTTGATTCCATATAAACATATAAATAGATATCCAATTGTCACGAGCAGAAGCATATTCATTCAAGAAAATATGGAGCATACAAATACTTTGTCATTTTATGCACACCTTCTGGATTTAATAAAGGCATGACGCCCCTCCGTCTCATCTTCTGCTCTAAGTTTGAGTAGACCTTGCCACAGTAACTCTTATATTTATTTCTTAGTTTTGAATTAAGCTAATTTCTCCTGTAGACTCAGAAAAGATTATTTCTAGGAGAATTCTTTCTTGTAAAAGTGCTTACTGCCTGGAGCATTTCAAATTATTTCCAAAATGCACTTTCTTTCAAATTGCATCTATCTGAGCATGTTATGCACGTGCTCAATGAATGTATACGTTTAGTGTGGCTTAGTGTGATAGAGAAAACAGAAATAATTTCGAGCAGACTCAAAACAGGCGCACAAAAGAGACACACATAAGGGGATTAAATTAAATTAGAGCACACTAGAAAGTGTGCATTTTCTATTTACTGTATTCTATAATACTGCATATTTTGGGTTTTATAATATGAATATATTACGTGCAGATGCCTTCAAGCCAGAAGCAAATATCACTACTATTATACACTAATAATATTATTAGTGCAGTTTATGCATTATATTTTGCAAGATAGACAATTTAGGAAGGATCTGTGCTTGCTTATGCTTGCATTGGTTTTTTATTTTTATTTCAATGGAAGCCCGTCTGAGTACGTATAAATCGGGCCATGGCCTAGAGGAATTATTCAGTAATAATTTGGAGCAATTCTGGCACACAGATGGTAATCTGCCACACTACATAGAACTAGACTTCAATGAAATAAAGAGATTAGTAAGCATACGGATGAACATAGGACATACGCAAGATAAGAGTTATATTCCAAAGGACATAGAAATACGGTACGGAAAAACAAGAGAAATGGCAGAGGGCACAAAAAATGTTGCAATTACAGACAAAATGCCGGTTGTAAATATCGCAATCGATGAATATTGCTGCTACGTCCAGATTATCATCACAAGCAACCACCAAGAAGGCAGGGACTCAAGAATTCGAGGTCTTTCGCTTGCCTTCCTTGACTGAATGTGCATGCAGGCCTAGCCAATACAGCAGTGATTTTCTTGCAGACTGAAGCACTTCACTGCTTGTAGCACTTAAAGTGCATGACCACAAGATAGAATAATTAGCAGAAGATGCAGCCCACACTTAGAATTCCTTCTTGCCTAAGAGCCTAATAGAAGAATATATTCAGTGTATTCCCATGTGCCAGTATATAATATACTTATGTACTACAGAAATAAATACAAAACTCACATTAATTTAAAGGAAACCAAGCCATGGTGGCTTGATTTATTCATTACGCCTTAAGTCCATAATATCTAGTTACCAATCTGCAAACGGAGAGTCAGCTGGCACGGTGTATGGCTGTTCGCACGGTATGGGGGAAATATGTTGCGGATGCTTTTCCTGGAATCTATTTAGAAAAAGCGGACCATGCACCTTCACAGAGCCATTTTCTGTCTTTCTGTATAAAGAGTCTCCTCCCAGGAAAAACCAGTTGGAGTAGTGCCGGATGAATCTCTTCTTTCTGGTGGACAGTGCGCACCAGCTTCCTTTTTTCCCTCTGTATTTCAGATATTTCTTCATTAAGCCAATATCTTCCTCAGTTATCTCCACTGCTTTCCACATAATGTAGATAAAAATAGAATATTTTCATTTTATTCAATACGGGAAAGATATGCCTGAGAAACCTTTATTTGCTGTACCAAGGTGTCAGGCAGGTTGTCCCGCATCTTTAAGCTTATTTTGCTTGCTACATTCCCAAAAAGAGAGACCTCCAGGCAGACCTTCTTGGAGCCTTTCATGGATACATTCATAATACCAGTTGTCATGCAGAAGAAAGAGCAAAAAAGAGTCGTAGGCATTTTGGGAAGGTAGATCAGCCTGCAGTTTGTTACAAACAGGGAACCATGGTTTGACTTGTGCCTATACGTATTGAACAGGCCGCCCTCCCCAACCACAATGGAATAGCCTACGTCTTCCGCTGCGTACAAGAGCACCTCATGGTCGTCAAGAGGAAGTGGCGTGCCTGCCTTGGTGAACAGGCAGGTGTTAAAGTTCCTGTAGGTATCCCGCAGCATAAAATATTTTCATGAAAACAGTCTCTTTTTATTATTTTTTTGCATAAATACGCACGCGAAAATATTTTTCAGTAAGGCAATATTTTACAGAATCATTTGTATAGTATGTATGCTAACTGAGTTACTACAAAACGGTGCTCACTCGATACTGGAATGACGAAGAACAACTTCAATTCTTTAATTTGAAGGCAAGAAATACTCTGAAGTATGCTCTAGTATGCTTCTGTTTCTTTTGATGAATTGAATATATCCTCCAGATTCTCTGTTGAGGTAGAATTGAAGTATTCTGACCAGTGTTTTATTTTAATATCTTTATGTGCAGCAGGGGGAGAAAAGGAGGAGAAGTAAGTGTGTAAGTGCTTTTTAATGTTTAATGCAGCTAGAGGACTTCCTTTGCTACTTCTTGAAGAAAAAAGAATATTTGCATTTTTATTGTATTTTAGCTATAGTAGGCTATGGCATAGAAGTGCTTCTTGGAATATTTGCATGGGTACTTTGCCTTGAGAGAATTTAAGGAAGAGCAGTAGGCTGTGAATCTATGAGTTTATGAAAGTGCTGTAAGATGGTTTTATATTTAAATAGAGAGGGCTTGTATGAGTGTAGAGGCTTTAGTAGCCTTGTAGGGCGTAGTATTCACTGCTCTTATTTTGGTGAAATTTAGGGCTAGTGCATCTTTATAAAAGAGTGCATACAAATTAAATGATGGTATTTTGGGTTATTCTGTTATTTAAGCATAGAGTGTTCTGTGTTTCTATTGTACTATAGGTGATTTCTTATTTTGTGGTTATTTAAATGTGCATGTGGTACTGAGTGGATGTTTCTCTGGGCATATAGCATAATGCAGAGAGTATTAGAAGATGCGTATATATTATGCTTACGTAAATATGTGCTCATATGCACATGGGATGGATATATTTGAAGGTTTAAATAGAATATGGTGTGCATAGTGGATAGTAGTTATATAAAGGAATATATGCTAGGAAGAGTGCTTAACTGCAGCCTCTGCTGTTAAAGAGATTCTTTAGCTAATAACCATGTATATAGAGTTCTTTTCGATTGAGAAAGTATGTTGAAGGAGAGAAATTGGTGTGCATGCCATATAAACATAATTGCCTCTGTTTTATTTAGTAATAGAGTCAATTGTGTCTTGGAGATAGTATACATTGATCTTTTCATTAGGAGATGTGAGTGTAAGAATGGTTTCCTCTGGGTTTGGGGAGGATGGAAAATCAAGAAATGTCCCAGGAGGTGTTTTAATTGCAAACAGCGATGACTCTGCTGAATCATCTAACTCTTTTAAGTCTGTATATGTTACATATGCTCGATTTATGTTCTCTTCGTGGTTTGCGAGGGCCTGCAGTTCTGTGTTTACTCTATTTAACTGGCTGTCGATATCCTTTTCTATTTTAAGAAGTTCCTTCACTTCTTCTGTTTCTCTTCCTGCAGTTAGGGATACTCCTCCGCAGTGAATGCATTTGTTACTTCCGTGGTCCTTTATGTACTGTATGTTGTTTTTCAGCTTTTTCTTGATGAACCCAACGCCCTCTAGGACATTTGTAATATCATACAGTCTTCGTTTGTGAGTCTCAAGTACTGATGCGGCATAGTTTAGATCTAATTCGTATTCTGGCGAGTCTTTAAGCAAGCGCAGAAACCTTTTGGAAAGCACTCCCAGAGAGCTGCCAGTTCTGCCTGCTGACGACGCCCTGGGCTCTGATGTGTCCAAGTCAGAGAAGAAAGAGAATAGACTACTTTCCTGAGGATTATGCATGGGAAATAAAAATGGATGGAATTTCTATTTTTTCATGGAGTATTTGCTGTGCGGAATCCCAACAGATATTGAAAATCTAGTAAAGTACGTCCAGCTTACTGAAGACGAGTGCAGAGTTGAAGAAGTATCTGAAGTGTCGTATTCCATAAGCAGGTACCAGATACTTATCAGCAAGCACAAAGAGATTGGCGCCGAGAAGGACCAGAAGGAGAGGCACACCATAAGCATCATATACCCTGCAGATAAAAGCAAGTCAAGAAAAGCGCTAAGCCGGAAGAAAACAACAACCGACTTCACAAGCAATGAAATTCATTTGCTCATGGAGGAGCTTGGCTGCAAAAATAAAGGAGCCAGAGCGTACACGAGAAGCACATATAAATACAAAGAGGCAGAAATAGTTGTAGTGAAAAAAGGAGAGGATGTATTAGTAGTGGTGAGGACAGAGAGCCCAGACAGCGAAACCATTCTTGAGGATATAAAGAACAGGCTAAGACTGTGGGTTAATCTAATAGTTCCTCCTGAGGACACGCACGACTGTCTACTGTAGAAGGAAGCATAATGTAATGGAAATAACTCTGCCTAGGCTGTAAATACACTGAATATACACTAGCGCACTAACATGCTCCATCATGTGAGGCCTATAGGCAGACCATCTTTTTCTTTCGCATTAAAGGGATTTTGCATACTACAAGCAATAACCTCCTCATGCCTGCATAAAAGGCCGTTAAAGCATGCTCTCTTTTATGTCTGATTGAAGAAGCCATGCTGTTTCTAGTATGGTCTGATGAAAAGCAGTTTTAACTAAGATGCTTGTTTTCTTTCAATGTAGGATAGAGCTGCCAAACAATCCAAAGGAGAGCACACCTTCAGCTCTTCGCATGCATAGGGCGGATTCTTCTGTTGTGTGCACTCTTTCTGTCTGTATAGAATAAATGTCTTTTGCTATGCATATACTATCCTAGTATGGAGATATTTGCTTATGGCAAACTTAATTTAGAAAATGCATGTTGCTTTGGAATATTCTGAGAATTAAATAAGCAATAATGCCAATAGGTATAAATTAGTAGTATTTTATATGTATTAGTATTCTATACAAGATGCATGCACGTGCACATCTGAAAAAAGGTGTGATAGGTCTTTGTTTATGTAGCTGTCTTCAGAGAAGTTAATGTCAATATTGGCGCTGCACTCAGTAATGTCCTCATCCAGTAGTATACAGCGAATTGTTTTCTTGGCTAAGTGATTATCCAATGTCTGTATATTCAGAAGAGCTCTTATTTCTGCAGAAAGCGTGCACGCTGCGCAATTGGACTGCGCAATGATTTCAGAAATACTCGTTCTTATTGCAGGAGGCAGGTGATAGAAGATGTTTCTAAGATAGTTATCAAATGACTGGATAGGCACCTGGTGTCTGCTTTCTATTTCTTTGATCATCCTGTAAAAGTCACTCTTTTTGGCTTCCAGAGCACTGAGATATTTTTTGTATGCAATAAGAAAGAATGTGGCCTCCTTGGATAGAAAAATATCTTCGTTTCCTAGGTAGAGCACATATTTTTCAAAAAGCCTGCAAAGTTCGCTCTTTGTCTGCTCGCTATCTTCTATAAAATACTCCTTGCTCTTTAAAAGAACAGATGCCAGGCGAATTGCATTCACAGAAACAACTGTCTCCAGATGGCACCTGACTTGGTCTCGCACACTCTTAAGCACAGTTGCACGGGCTACTATGTCAAGTGTGCCTGCTGATATTAATGTATCCATCTTAAGAATTGCATTTATGAGGCCGCACCACTCTTCTTCCTGGCTTTCTTCTATTATGCTCGTTCTAGCATGCGCTGAATACACCTCTAAAACATCCCCTATTTCGATCAGAGGCTGAACAACACTTGGAGATATCTTTATGCCCATTGCATGGATCAGCTTCATGGCACACTCTATTACTGTGCTGCTTCTCTCTTCGCATAAGAGGGAGAAGGCATCTTGCATTATCTCTTTGCAGGAGGCTTCTGACGCCTTTGCCTGGCCCGCCATTCTTCGGAAATACTCTTCGTACTCTAGATGGTCTCCCTGGAAGTCTTTTAAATCTATTAAGCGACGGGTGTGCATCATTTCTAAATTTTACTGTAATAGAAAATTAAAATAAAGAAAATTGTAAGCTATGTCTGTGCTCTCTAGTGGATTATGCCAGAGGCCTTAATGAGAAAAGTATTCACAGATAGATGCAGAATTGTCTTAGTTTATTTTTACAGCGTATGCACTTGATTTACATTGTATTTTCTAGAAAACAAAGGGGTATGTGCACACTTAACTACTGCGAAATTTAAATAACAGACACACCCTATTAATGCATGATTTTCAACAAACTCCTTTAAAATAAGCACACTAAAAGTTTTGAGGTCTTTTTCACCAGCCATTTCTGGTATGAGATAGTCTTATTGGATAAGTACATGTATTTAAGTAAAATCAAGTTTGGTAAGTTCTCAGGCCTTTGCCCTATAGTGAAGACGTATTCTATATCCAAAGCTGCGTAGTAAGCGACTTAGTATTAGATGTGTATCATCCTTAGTGGATTTCTAAGCTGCTTGCTTTCGTGTGTCTGTATATAATATTCGTATGTATTCGGTGGTTTGGGGAGTGGCGTGCATGATTCTTTATTTTATCTCTGCATGGGATAAGTGCCTTGAAGGGTCTTTCTATTTGCAATATAATTTTATTTTCCTGTGCTTTCGTCTTTTTTTGACTAAATCAAACCTTTCACTAAAGAATATATGTTTTGCAAAATGAAAGCCTTAAACTCAGCAAAAATAAATATAGCGTAGAATTTAAATAAAAAATACATAGGAGCATATATTAATAGTAAAAAGTAAAATACAATGAACACATTTATTTAGAGAAAACAACCCGAATATATGTAATCTAGACATAGTACCTAAAGGAATGCACTACGTATGACAATAGCAAGTATTAACTTTAGAAGACTTATTTTCTTAAAGGGGCTATTATTAGACTTTAGTCCATATACAGAAACTCAATAAATGGGGTGGTTTTTATAATAAAATTCCCACTTGTCAAACTCGAGGCTATGAGATTTCTGGTATAAAAGAAAATAACTCTAGAAAATCCATGGATAAAAAGAGCGCTATATAATCACATAAGAATATTAAGAGAGCAGCACTTTTCAGTCACTAAGAACAACCTAAGTACAGAGGGAGGCATCCAAAGTAATCCAAAAAACCATAAAAATATACGAATAAAACTCTCTTGACAACTACTCTATTTATTCTAAGCTACTGTCTTCTTGCTGGAACTTCGCCCTATTTGGGCATGTCACAAAGCAACACTAAATTTGGCTCATACGCAATTGTTGCTGGCCAAATTAGCACAATAACTGTATAAAAGGTTGGTGTATATAGTGCATGGATGTAAAAGAATCAAGTTTATGAACATATTAGCTAATGACATGTAGAGATCATGAAGAACAATTTTCTGATCGGTTTTTTCTTCAGGAGTTTTAAGTCTCCATACATATACTAAACTATATACTGCACATACTGTCTCTAAATTGGCGCACAAATGGAATGAATATGACAGGATCAATGAAAGTCCAATATTCAATCTATAAACAAATAAACTGGAATCATCCACAAGCCCAAAAAGCATACCTGCTGTTAGAAATCCAACGAAACAAATAATAAACCTGCCTCGATTGGGTTTTATAGTAGTAGTTCCATTACCAATTAAACTTTTATAAAAATCAAGTCCATATCGTGCTAGACAGGTAATAAATGAATAACCCAATACAACAAGCCAGCAGATGGCATAGAATACTAGAGATGTTGAACGTATATTATCTTTTTCGAAAAAACGGCTACTAATGAATGAAGATCCAAGTACAAAAGTAGATAGTAGAATTAAAAAACAGATGATATACTCCATAGCCCAAACAATGTACTCATGCCATTTAAGATACTTTTTCATGTTTTCATTATTATTTTCTACATTTGTATTAGATTCGTCCTCCACCAAACGAAGATAATCAGCAACTTCACCTGGATTACTTCCAATAATTTTACTACAAGTATATTTAGCTGCGCTAAGCATGCCATTTATTTCTCACTCTATATTTATAGACCACAGCTCATTCATTTATCAGTAATACGCATTCATTAACAAACAAAATATAGCTAGTAATAGTAATATGCATTCATTAACAAACAAAATATAGAGAGTAATAGTAATATGAGTATTTAATTTTAATTAAGCAAATGTAATTTCCCATTCTCTTAATATTTTTCTTATAAAAATCCTACTAGTTGAGAAAACTACCAATATGCATCTATCTTGTTGACTTAGAGAGGGGCTTCATGCTCCTCAAGGCAAAGACCAACGAGGTCTATTTGAGAATTATTGTATATAAAGGACAGCGAGTCTCTTTTGTTCAAAAGACAAAGCATTCATATGCTTAGTAGCCAATTCGGGTTATTTTTCAAAAAATATGCTAGTTTTAAATTTCTACTTTTAAAGAGCACTAGCGTATGGTAGTTACATAACTTGAATTATTTTCATTAAGACAGGCATATGTGTTGGTTTTCTCTGTGCTAGGAGAGTGAAATACTCTTTTCTGTTCAGCAATATAATTTTATACTGACAATTATCCCTTTTTATTTTAGCTATAGGCTAATGCACTACAAGAAAATTTACTTGTTTAAAACAGCAAACAAAGCAAATAGATACTGGCTATATTTTCTTAATTCACCAATAAGATTCTACTCTTAGGATACTACATTAGTTTGTAGCTGCCACTAGAAAAACTGTAAATAGACGACAAGAAATAATTATATCCAGTCTAGTACGACTAAGTCTAGTAGTTTAGAGAGAAAAACTCAGCTTTTTTTATTTTCGACAATTATTTTCAGACTGAAATTTTCTTTCCCTTTTAGAACACAAATAAACCAAATTCTATTGCATGCGAATAAATACTTATATAGCTAGAACAATGCAACAAAATTATCTAAAGGCGTAGCCCAAATATAAAACAAAAAGATTATTTATCTTGTTTTATTAGTGGGTAGGCAGCAGTAGGTAATTTTATTTCCTTTTATAACTGCCAAGGTATAAATTGAGAAAATTTTAATTCGCTCATGAGTTTAATTGATAAAAATGAGAGCAATATAATTGCAGGCCCATCTAATGGTTCTGGCATAGAAGCAAGAGTAGAAAATACACAGAGACCAACAGAGCAGCAAAGAGGTCTAAACAATGATCTTCCAACAACCTCAGCAGGTGCAAATCATTGGAATATGGAGGTTCCTAGCGAAACTGAAGGAATGCAAGCAGGCACAAAAGAAATAAATTTTAACAATGAGTCTGTGCTGACTAAAACCATGAATGTTTTAAAAGACAAAGCAGGTGAAGCATACAGCACATTAAATAAACTTGAGACAGTGTATGTGGATAAATTCGCTGAGAAAATGAGAGCAGTAGGTCTCCCAATTACTGAAGAGACACATGACTATACTGAGCTCAGGCCTATGGGAGGACCAGTTGTTGAAAAGAACTCGCAGGGAATAAATACTGTGGAAGGTACTATGTACACTGAAAGTAAGCCTGAAGGATTTGACTGGGAGAAGTTAAGAAGAGACCGTGAGAATGCTTTGAATCAGATATCTGATTTGATAGGAACAAAACACTTAACGGCTCATATGAAAACAATCCATACATCAATATTGTGCATACTTACCTCTCTTCTACTAGGAGTATCATTTTATTCTATGACTATGGGAATTAGGCTGATTAGCAGACATTTTAAACTTTCATTCTCAGGATCTATGCATTCAATGAGCTTGCTTATAGTGACTTTAGTCGGGATATTAACAGCCCTAAATTGTATAAGTGTTTTAGTGATAGCTGCTACTGATCTGTGGTGTAGAAAAACCAAACCAAATATGGCTGCTTCAATAGGAGTATTAGTATACGGTATGATAGCAGTTGTATGTGGAATATTCTATCCAGTTTCATTAAATCCATACAAGATAAGCGTAGACTTATATTGGATTGCAGCCTCTCTTCTTGCAACTGTTGCATTTACCATATATATAGTATTGTTTAGAAAAACAATCAATATTGGAATGCAAAATTGGGTGAAAACATCTATGTTTAAGCCTAGAATCGTAAGAATCATTTGTTTCGCCACATTGATGGTAGCTTTCGTTGCATTAGCATATTTTATTCAGAAAACAAACACAAATAATGTGACTGTTTGATTCAGTGGGTTCTAATAAAAATAAAGAAGTTCCATTATATGATTATTACTGAGAAGAATGGCATCCAACTAGCCAAATTTATATCTCATCTTTTACTTTCTATTTTATGCCCAGAATATATTTAAATTCTTTACTGTACACTGTAGCCTTTAGTACAAAGAAAACTTCAAGAAATATTTTACGGTGCCATGGGAGTAGAAAGAGTATGGACAGAAAGTAGTAGCCCAATAAGAATAACATTGTATTAAGTAAAGAACTTTTATTAATATGGAAAACCGTATACAAGGATACTCTGTATATTGAAATCCTTCTGGTCTAGGGATTTCTATACCATCCATATGAGATAGCCAAACTTGCTACTATAACAATTGGTAAAGCGCATTTAGCACAGAAAATCTTGTTTTTATATTTTTCGTTGGGATCTTTTAACTTTGCTATATGTACTAAACCATAAAGTGCTCCTATTACCTTTAAGCAATGAGAAAATAGAAGAAATCCACCATGAACAATGTAAATATATGAATGTCTTTATAACCACTAGATTTTCCATACAATTCAGCAAATACAATTGATAATAGTATTCCAATATGGAAAAACATTAGTTAGATGGTGCAATACAGTAGTGAGAATTAAATGAATAATGGTAAAAAGTCAGCCGTAAGGAAAAAGTCTACTCTAGTTAGACATAATTCCTCCAGCTATAGGACTAAATAGACTAAAAAAGAAATGTCCTCTATTTATAGACCACTAATATTTTCATGAGTGATATAAATTCGTTAATTAAACCGAATAAAATATGATCTAAGATATAAAGAAAATAATTCCGGAAAATATACGAATCAAAGAGTACGCATTCAAGTGATTTAGCTTTATAGTCTTATCTTAAAATAGTCTAACTAATTAATATTTTTATGCATATTACCATTTGTATTTGATTTCCCAATAAAATGCGTCTTCTTATATGCTAAGCAGAGTGTACAATAAGCTAAAGAACCAATTTCTTTTATTTCTAGGCTAGTAATAGTCAAAATAACTTGCAGCAAAAGCTTATTTATCTTAAAGTCCATAAATCATTTGGATATTCCCTATGGAACTCTCTTAATAAGTTCTGCATTGAAGTACGTATGTAGTTCACAAAGGTTTTTCCAAGGAATTTAGAGAATCGTATAAATGTGTCTACTTCGCTGTATATGTAGATTTGCGCGTTCAAAATAGCTTCTAAAAATCTAAGAGAAGGACTAATCTCATTGGAAGCCATAACTATCACAGCGTTATCTGTATTAACTGTGTCATTGGGTGTTTCTACCTGGGGATTAGACTGGACTGGTTCAATTGGGACTTTTTTCACAAGAACAATTTTCTTCTTATCCAATAGATTCTGCATGTCATCCTTTTTAATAATAACACGTTTATTATCTTTTCTATTTAAGATATTGAGTGGTTCAGATAATGTCGGTCCAATTGCATCGGATATTTCAGAGGCCATAGTTATAATCATAAATAACCCAATGGTCCCCAAAAAAGTTAGTCCTATTATTATAAAAGCACTGCCTCTTTGACTCACCATATTTTTATTTTTGAAAATTTTCTATCTAAAAATGCTAATGAAAGTCATTTTTTATCCAGATAAGCAATATAAAAGTGTCATATTACCAGTAATATTTTACTATTTTTGTAAAAACTGTGAGATTGAAAGAGCTTTAGAGTACGTTTGAACTCACATGCAATATGAAGTCTAGTGAGAGTACATATGTTTCGGGTTATATTGGGTTATAAAAAGACAGAAGTTATATAAACTGGCTTCTTCAAATTTATATTCTATAAATAACTCAGCATGAAAATCGTAAAAAAACTCCTTCTTGCTGTCTACTTAGTGTATCTAAGGAGGCTGTCTTTCAGACTAGACAGTAAAATTAAATAAAATGCTCAAATAGAGCAGCATTAAAACTTTATATTCTCTAAGTATAAGACATCTAGTAATTCAGTCAAAATTCTTCTTTACAATGTAGCTAAGCATTCGTGCAGTTTCTTCTTCTATTTTTGAAATGTATTTGCTGTCTACGAAGAGCGTATTGTCATCTATTTCCTGTATTATGAAGTTATGCTCTCGGTTCAGTCGAATGACTATTTGCTTGACTGAAGGGTCACATTCAATTAGCGTTCCTTTTATTGCCTTGACCATTTTCTGAAAATGAAAGATTTTAATTGGAGCACGTGTCTTAATAAAGGAAAGAGCACTCCAGTTATTCTAAAAAAAGAAGAAAGTGACTTTATTGTGAGGGAGGGAGTATCTGGCCGCCTGTTAAACATTGGAGATAATTCAATTGAACGCATTAAAGTACTGGACCAATTGCCTGGCATAACAGAAAGACTTCTCTCTAGTATGGATTTACTAAAGAGAAGAAAAGCATTTGTTCTTTGCAGAATCACAGAGATTGAAAGCAAAGAAGACAGAAGGGAAATTCACAAGATATATTGCATGCACCCATTCATACACACTAAGTCCCTTAGTACAACCGATGGATCAACTGATATTTTAGTGATATTTGACACCCACCATACAATGCACACATTCTCAGGGGCACTAACGAAAAAGGGAAAAACAACACACGATGCAGTAGAAGTACTAGCAAGATTATTAAAGATACCTAGCCATCAAATAAATTTCGCTGGGAATAAAGACAAAAAAGCCATTACAACGCAAAGAATCAGCATATCAGGAATATCCTATTTGGATATTCAGAGGGTAGTGAAGATGATTGCACAAGAAGACAGCAAACAAGACAATATAATTGATGGTAAACCAGAAGGAAATAATTTGGGAAACCAAAATGAAAGTACAGAACCAATCGAAGAGACAGAGGTGCAGGGTGCAGAACAAGAGAATATATCTGGTAAAAATAGCAAGTTATTCACAGGAGCAAATAGGGAAGTGAAGGAAACAGACTTAGAAGATGAAGGAAATATTAAAATCCTGAAGGCAACTGACATAATGGCAGAAATAGAAAGAGTTGCAAGAGAGTTTGAAGATATAAGGGCACCAGAACAAACAGATAGTGAATATCTTGAGAAAGCAAAGAACATGAAGGATGGAATAATTCTGACCGACATAGAAAGAGTCCAAGGAGGAATTCAGCTAGGAGACTTAGACAAAAATAGATTTTATCTGAGGCTAGAGGCAACACATGGCCTAGAGGGAATTGAAGAAAGAATTACCATGTTAAAAACAGAAGGATTCCCAAACTATTATGGAAACCAAAGATTTGGATACGGCATGAGTAACCCACTAGTAGGAGAGGCAATGATCCAAAGAGACTTCAAAAAGGCAGCAGACCTTATTCTAAAGAACCTGGAGTGCTTGGAGAACTCGCAAAGAGTGAAAAGTGCTTTAGAACACATAAATAAGCAAGAGTACTCTCAGGCAGCAGAAATTCTCCCAGGTAAATTTCAAACGGAAAAGATCATCCTTAGGTCGTTAGAGAGAAAGATTCCCCCAAAGATAATATTCTCCAGGATAAGAAGAGAAAACAGGATGATGTACTACCACAGTTACCAAAGTAAAATATTCAATGACACCCTTGAGCAGAGACTCATTCAAGGCGTAAGAACCCAGGAGTACACAACAGATGAAACCATTGGATCAATCACAGCAAAGAACGATATTCAGGATCTAGTGAAAGTATCTGAAAATCCCAGCATAAAGGATATTCTAATTCCACTGTACCCCACAGAGGAAATTGGTGAGAAGAAATCAGAGAGAGTGCCTGATTTAAAGGGTGGATTCAGAAAGGGAATTATTATCCCAGGGAATTTGTGCTATTCCATTGAAGGAAATATTCTAAGCCTTTCATTCGAACTTCCTCCTGGGACGTATGCCACGATGGTAGTGAAGGAATTGTCGTGCAATGAGGTTATAGAAGTAACTTGGTGAATGGGCACTAAGATGTGCTGTAGTATGGTAAAAATGTACTGGAGTTTATTCATATGTCAATCTAAAAAATATCAGCATCTGAGAAATCTTCAACTTCTGATGCATTTTCACCCATCTCCATCTTATACCGAAGGATCCCTCCAATGCCATTGAATGCAGATATGAACTGTGTTCCTTCCTGACTCTTATCAGAAATAAATACGACACTGCAATTTACCTTTCTGTAGTTCTCTGCCAGCCAGTCTGTTAGAAGTTCACCTTCATTTGACTCTGCTGCGTATGTGACAGAGCCTTCCCTCTCTATCCTTCGTACAGTAGAGGCTTCATCTATAATTAGCACCTCCATACAGCCCATATCCAGGCAGGACATGGTCTCTTCAATGCCAAAGCATACCTTCCCGGAGCCAGAGACAACTTCATCAAAGAACGACTTAATTGTCTTTTTCTCAGTGACAAGTTTCAGGTTCTGCAGGACCTCTTCGGCTTGCTCTATTGCCTGGTTTAGTCCATTCTCTCCTCCATATGCCACATCAATGATCTTAGCCACTTTTGCCTTTAGGCGCTGGTCAAAGAAGTCTGCCTGATTCAGATCGTACTTAAAGTCTGCACATCCAGCCAGGATCAGGCCGTGTATATTTGGCTTGTTATTGGAGATGAATACTTGAGTAGCAATTTCACTGACTTTTTTAAGGTAATTATGTCTTTTCTCCAATCTAAGTCTAGCAAAACGGACAGAAGACTGTCCACCACGACCGTGCTTTTTAGGCAGATCTACAGATATATTCTGCTTGATCTCTTTGGAGTTCCCAGAGAGAACTGCGAAAAGGGCACCGTGCCCATCCATCACAATAAACCCAAATTTATAGTCATCTTCCAACGAATTTATCAAATCTTCCACATGAAATTTACTGTCACAGAGGTAGAGGGATGTGTTAATGGGCTTCAATGGCTCAATGTCAAAGCAAACCTTCTTTTCCTTTCCAGAGTCTTCAAGAATTGTTCCTGTATACAGGGCCAGACCATTATCTGGGACCTTTGGAATGAGTTTTAGTCTTTGCTGGGCTGAAGTAATTGCCCCAAGCACACTCAGTCTGTTTACTCTGCTTTTTATGTTTGAGGCAGTTCCGTACTCGTCTATCAGAAGCTTGTTCGCTCTTGAAACTTGATCTTTCGGGGGAAGAATCAAAGATATCATGGAAGTACCATTTCCCTTTGCATTCTGCAGGTACTTCAGAAGCTTTTTCATCTTCCATCTTTCTACTTCTAACTGTTCAGCTGTTTGCTGGTCTTTTTCCATTTATAATAAAAAAACCCAGAAGTTTTAAAGAGTCTACAGTAGATGAAAATATTAAAAGACAAAAGACCAAGTGAAACAGAAGTACACAAGACAAAGACAACAAGATTATCTCATTTATTTCCAATTTAATATATTGTAGTACAGGAATATTAAGTAAATATTAACTGCCATTTATAAAGACACAAATTAAATCTGTGCTCAGAGGTTGCTACAAGAATATCCAGTGTATTACATCTTATGGACTATAATTCCCCATAGTATTAGACATATCTCCATAGTTTCTGAATATTTTGTAATTTATTGTAATTTATAGTAGTAGACGTAATTATATGTGAAATTATCTACTGTAAGAGTGAGTGAATATTAAAGAATATACCAGAAATAGACCAAGAATAGACCAGAAATAGACCAGAAATAGACCAAGAATACACTAAAAATACACTAGGAATACACCAAGAATAGAATAAAAATACACCAGAAACACACCAGAAATACACTAGAAATAACCCGAATTACTGTGTACTTATGCAGCATAAATACTAGACTTAAATATACGACAGTCTCTGTAGTACTACAGTAGTATTAAAGTGCACAATAAAAAGAGTCAAGAAATTAAGAAAATATCCAGGTGCTGCTGAATATATGCATTCTAATAAGATATGACTAATTTCTAGTAAGTATTTAATGGATTATGACAAGATACAGATTTCTTGCAGAAAAGTGAATTTTTCCCTTAAGACTGTACTTTGTGAATTCCAGTGCACGTATATGGTGCTCCTTGAATGAAAATATTTTTCAGATGAGCGTAGTCGAGAAAATTAAAGAAATAGAGAATGAGATGGCAAGAACCCAAAAGAACAAAGCAACAGCAAATCACTTGGGACTTCTGAAGGCCAAATTAGCAAAGCTAAGAAGAGAAATTCTCACACCAAGAAGCAGTGGAGGATCCACAGGAGAAGGATTTGACGTAGCAAAGACAGGAGTAGCAAGAATTGGCTTTGTAGGATTTCCTTCTGTTGGGAAAAGTACTATAATGACAAAATTAACAGGAACTTACAGTGCAGTAGCAGACTATGAGTTCACTACGCTTACTACTGTCCCAGGAATACTCCATTATAACGGAGCAAAAGTCCAGATACTTGACCTTCCGGGTATCCTAGAAGGAGCCAAAGACGGAAGAGGAAGAGGAAGGCAAGTGATTGCTGTAGCCCGTACTTGCACACTAATCTACATTGTGCTAGACATAACAAAGCCCCTTACAAACAAAAGAAAGATAGAGATGGAGCTAGAAGGGTTTGGAATTCGTCTGAATAAATCACCCCCTGATATTACACTCTCAAAGAGAGACAGAGGAGGTGTAAATATACGGTCAACCTGCAGACTCACCCACTTAGATGAAGAAGGCATAAAAATGATATTTAAGGAGTACAGGATACTAAACATAGATGTCATGTTCCGGTGCGATGCCACAGCAGATGACCTGATCGATGTGATAGAAGGGAACAGAGTGTACATTCCTGCAGTGTACATTCTCAACAAGATAGACAGCATCTCCTATGAAGAGTTGGAAATAGTCAGTCAGTTAAAGGATTCAGTCCCTGTCTGTGCAGACAGAGGATGGAATTTGGATGAAATATTAGAAGCATCCTGGGAGAAATTGAGACTAATAAGAGTCTATGCTAAGCCAAGGGGACAGCTGCCTGATTACAGCACACCAATTGTCATGCGTGAAGGAAAGTGCAGCATAAAGGACTTCTGTAACTCAATCCACAGAGGCATAATGAGCGAGTTTAAAAATGCAATTGTCTGGGGGAATAGTGTTAAACATGTCCCACAGAGAGTAGGAAAGGAGCATATTTTAGTAGATGAAGATGTAGTGCAGATCGTAAAGAAGAGGTAGTTTATTCTGACACCTTCATATTATCCCAGTACAAGGACTGCAGTGCCCCAGAAATAAAGAAATAAATGGTCTTTCCCATAATTATCTCTCTTATTCAATTATTTGCATATTCCATGGAATGAACTTCTCCTGGATATATTTCTGCCTGGTGAATTCCCATTGACTTATTTCTTTTGTTCTTTCTGTACTCCAGTCTCTCGTGTTTAATTTGTATTTTTATTTTGATTTCAGATAGTTTTTTTGTTTTATGGATGCCTTCTTATCTGGTGTAGTTTTGACAGGCAGTGCTCCCTGGGTGACTGCAGATTCATTCGCATGTCAAGTGGCTTGCCTTGTGATTGGCTATTTTGCAAGGAGCCAGACTTGGAATTTTTATTTACTCCAAAAAGTTTTAGAATTTTACTCATGACGGGGAAGCCACTCACCAAAGGACTCGGCGGCAGGAAATATGCGGTTGATGGATGGGACATGGGAAGAATGCTGAAATTCATACAGCAGGAGGCCGAGCAGAAGGCGCAAGAGATAAAAATAAAAGCCAATGAGGACTATCGTCTGAAAGTCTCTGAACTAGCTGTAAGAAGTGTACAGAAAATAAACAGAGAGAAAGAAGAGGAGATGCACAAGATACACATGGAAAGAATCATAGCAGAAGGAAAATTAAGAGCAAAAGCAAGCCTAGGAATAGCCAAGCAGAAAGAGCACACAATAAACAAAATACAAAGCACAGCAATAGAAAGATGCAAATCACATGCACTCACAGTACAGTTAGCAAAGGAAACAATTCAGAAGTACAGGTTCATCTTCTCAGAGAAAAAGATGGTAGTGCACGTAAAGGAACAAGACAGAAGTATTGTCGAGGAATTGCTTAAAGATGAAAACTATAAGATAGAGGCACTCCATGAGAGTATGCTGGGTGGAATTGTTATTCGAGATGAAGAGCGTACGGTTCTAGTGAACAACAGTTATTTGGAGAGAATAAGACTTGCAATTCAGAAGATCCAGCCAGTAGTGCAGAGAGTAGTATTTACTAAGCTAGACAATCCTAAGTAAACAATCTTATCTATACTGTCTTTGTCTTTTATATATTTATAGTCTTTATTGAGAACTTGAATTGAAGTTAGTCTTTTATATAGTGAAGTTAATCTTTTCTATAGTGAAGTTAGTCTAGTATACAGTAAAGTTAGTCTAATCTACATTTTAGTCCACTCTGCATTGTTTTAGTCTTGTGCTCAGGTGAAGTTAGTCTATTCTGTAGTGAAATTAGTCTTCTCTACAGTGAAATTGGACTGTGCTATTTCAAGAATCTCAGAATGCATTGATATAATGAAATAACCCGAATGCCTATAGAATACATTGATATAGTATATAATATTCTGAAATATGGGAATATTTTGTTGTATGCTAATTGAAATGTACTCTATCCATGTGACTATTCCAGAGAGTGCATTAATAGTCGGATAGTTAATAAATTGACAAGTTTTCATGTCTATTGACTAATTAGGCTGTAGTATAGTAGATTTGTTTTAATTTGCAGTCTACCATGGATAATATTACAATAGAAGAATATTTCTTGAATTAATCAGTAGTTCATAATAAACTACAGTCTAAAAAACAATTACTTCAAAGGATTCCAAAAAGAAAGAATAAATAACAGATGGGTCATAGTCGATAATAAATGACAGTACGTCAAAATTCCCTTTGACAGTCCAATTTATTCCATATTTATTATAAATTTATAAAAATACTTTAAGAAGACATTTATGTTTATTCTACCATAGGAGTAAATGTCATGATAAATTAATGTACTATATTGCTAGTGGAATATAGACACATATATTGCTAGTGGAATATCAAGTCATTCTTAGTCATATTTAGTAATATTCGGGTTATATTCGGGCTATATTCTTAATCATTTTTAGTTATATTCTTAGTCATATTTAGTTATATTTTGTCATATTTAGCCATTCTTAGTTATATTTTGTCAGTTACTTGTGAATTTCCCTGTAGTATTTAGTAGCATATTACATTCATATTAAACTCCTGGAATATTTAAATTCTTCTGGAATACTTATGTATCAGTGATAGTCTAGATGGAAAACCAAGTCAGAAGACAAAAATCACCAAGAAATCTGAAAATTACAGATAAGACTAGATTATACTTAGTATACAAGAGTGATATTCCTACCAGGGAATAGTACTAGAGTAATTATATGAATTCATCCAGAAAATAAGACATTTTGACCAAATAATCTGATATATTCATATAACCCAAGTGACATATCCATAATAAAGCAATATATGCTGTGATTTATGATATAATACATTATAAGATGAAAGATGACATATAAAGATCATTTTTCACACATATATAATGAGAAGGAATTTCAGAGGCATGCAACGTGAAAAGACAGAACTATCAAGAATATACACAAGAAATACAGCACAAACCAAGAAAGTGCAGACAAAAGAGTATATATCCAGAGTATTCCAGACTGTAATATTTTTCTGTATTTTTGTGCAAAGAATATATACAGTAGTACTAGAGGATTTTAAACAAGTTCTGAGTAAGAGTGTTGGAGTAGATAATTGTAAATATATGTATATCAATGAGAAGGGTCCCCTTAACCCACTCCGTGGATATCTTATGAATGAGACTGGGTACATCAGTAATAAGAGAAATTATTCCCCAGGGATAGACATTTATGGATTTTCCAACTCCATAACAAAGAAAGTCATAGAAGAAGACAATTTAATACCAGAATTAGGCGATAATGAACACATTTATTCTAACATGAAAAACAAGAAATTATCAAATTACTTGCAAGAATACCACTTTGCCTTAATGAAGATGTTCCCACGGGAGAATTCAAATGGAAACAAGAAGGGTGGGTGCATTGACTTAATGAGAATATTTTTAGACCAACCCAATGTTAAATCCCATGTACACCATGTACTTGCATCTTTATTGCTGCTGTCAGAGGGTTTTAATGTGAATATTTCCATTGAGGATGATGGTTCAAAGAAGATGCTTGTTCTAAGGAAGGCATGCTACTATGAAGAGCACTTTAGAATTAAAATAAACCAAGTAATAGGTCCGGTTAGATCTATTATGGATCTGGGTGTATTTTGGACTCATTCAGCTGATATAATTCGTGTGATAGAATTCTTCATTAATTCCGGGAAACCCAAAGAGAACAAGTTTATTAGGGAGTGTGGCTTTAAAGAGCCAAATTCCTGGGAAGAATTTCAAGAAGGAAAATTCCTAAATAGTCCAGAGACTCTTATACAAGCATATATCTTCAAGTACATTAAGAGTCCAGAAGAAATAATTAAATTCTCCATAGTAGTCTTCAATCTTATGAAGGAGTACATGTTTACTACTGAGAGTATTAGATTATTCAAGGAAAAAAGAAAAGAAAAAGAATCAAACCCTTCAGTAGTAAAAATATTCAAAAATATCTCCAGAATACATCAATTTAAAGAATTTAAGAAAAAAGTGAAAAACCAAAGAAAATCAATAGAAAGGATATATTACAAATACTTCACATCCAACTTAGCAGAGAAAGATGGAGCAAAGACAGTTAATGGTTTAATGAAATTCAATTCAATCTTGGAAGAAAGCAAAGTAAGCAGGGTTCCCTTTAGAGACTCTTTAAACAGATTTTTTGAAGAGAATATTGACCCTATGAAAGTGTACAACAGGGATATAAGCAAAACAGACACCATAAAGACAGAATATGCACCATCTGATGAGGCTGCATTACTTTGTCTTTTTTGCTGCATGGCGTACAACCCAATAACCAGAAAGTACGAGACCAGTCACATGGGAGATGTCTCAAAGAACTTAGAAGAATTCTTTGCGAACCTAGAGTCCACAAGAACCATAACTGATGAAGCATTTACGAAATGGCAGCAAGTTATAAATGGTCTAGACAATGAGGAAGTCATCTACAGGTCAAGCAAGAAGAATAGTCTTATGCCAGGAATATTGAATATGCTTAGTATGCTGGCTGAAGTAACAGGAAAATATTCAGAGATAAAAGAGAGTATAAAATATATCAGAGAAATGATTCTAAAGCAAGAACCAAATGAGTCACTTAAGAAGAAGGTGGGTGCTTGTGTGAATGTTTTGTTCTCGCCAATTTTCTCAAAGAAGAATTTCTTTAGTCAAGAAATTACCAATCCCAGTGAAGTAAAGGAAAGGGTAACCTACGAGGTAAAAATACTAGTGGAAAATATATCGATTGCAAGGCTGAATAGAAAAGCACCTGAGTTAATGGGAGATATACACATACATTTCCTAGATGAAAACAAGAGAAAAGAGTGCTTTACATTAAATTTCAGTGACCTTTCAGTGACTGCCACTCTTACACCACCTAAGAACAGTTTTATCCCAATGAATGCAGAAAGAAGAATTGCGAATTCAATGGATGAAATATCAAGCAGAAGCAATGCATTTACGCACTATTTGATGGCAAATTACATGGCACTAAAGAAGGTTGAAACATACACTACCAAGAAATATACTCTAAAGAAGTTAAATAATGCACTAAAACGAGCAATGAACAAAGATGAAATTCAAGTAGATGGACTATTCCTATGTGGAAGGATATCAAGCCTAAAGGAAAAAGAGACTTTCATCATGAGTATGCTGCATTATACAACAAGTCAGAAGATAACAATTGATAATCCTGTTGTAAGAGTGATTTTGAATATGCTTAATACTGAGAATATGTCAGATGGAAGAACTCATAGGAAGCTATTTCCGTTAGTTTTATACACAAATGTATACCAATACAGAACAGACATTGAGAATACTCAGAGTTATTCTGGTGTTCATCTGGCATCACAGATAAAACAAGCACTAAAGGTCTGCAATTATATGCAGAAAATGAGCACTCCAAATAATTTAGCGAATTGGCTGCTGATTTACACCAAAATACAAAGAGAAGACTTTAAAAATCTCTTCCAAAAATTAATTTCAGAGATGTCAGATACTGAACGGGATGATTTTATAAATTTCATAACGGAAAATGGCAAGAATATCGATCATTTAGATAAGATTTCAAATGGTTTTAAACCCAGGAGAGATGAGAGTGAGGCTTATATGGAAGGAAACTATCTAGATAGTTTCTGGGTGAATTGTTTCGAGATGGCCTGCCAGACCCCAGATAAAAAATACAAAATCATGATAGAATGCATCTCTAGGCTTGTGGAAATAACGGATAAAATCACAATTTTCAGAGAGTTTTTGCAACTGGATTACCTACAGAATGTACTCGATGGAATAAAATCATTAAAACTAAGAATGGGTTATATAGATGGTATATCAAAGGCAAGCAATACCTTCCTAGATAACTATGAGTACTTAATTCAGAAGAGAATTGACAGATGGAACTACTTTGGAAACCACAAATAATCAGTCTAATCATTGAAAATAAAGAGATTTCTTTAACCAAATATACACCATCTCAACCTAATATTATTTCTATCTCTCTCATACCATCTAAATATCCCATTATACCTGCTAATTATTCAGTCATTATTTTTTACTCTCTAAATTTCTTCTATAGTACTAGTACTACAGTAATATTCCCATAAAAATATAAAGAAATTTCAATACAAAATAAACACGTATAATACTATGACTAAGAGTAGAATAATTTCCAACCAAAAAGTTAATATATACGAATATTCCCATGAATTAGTATATTATAACAAGGAAATCCATAATAACCCAATATAACCCAATATAAATCTATAAATATATTTTATAATTACACTAGAGTGACACACTGGAGTATAAATTATAATTAAATAAGAAGGAAACTAAAAATATTTTATGAGAAGTCTTTTGGTTATTGACAATGGAACATACGAGTGCAAGGCAGGAATTAAAGAAGAAATACCAAGTATTAGGTTCCGTAACCAAATATACAGACTAAAAGGTAAGGACGGCAGAATATCATATTCTATATCTGCAGTAAAAAAACAAAATACAACACTAACACTGAAGAGTATGTTTGATGGCCCAGTTATCTACAATTATGACGTACTAGAAGGAACTATTCAGTCAATATTGAAGGAAATAAAGGGATCCTTGAATGGGAAGGAAAAACAAGAAATAGATGAATTAGTCATTACAGAGTGCTTTCTTAACCCACAGGTCTTTAAAGACCTTGCTATAGAAAGTATCTTTAATAGATTTTCATTCAAAACGGTTAGTTTTGGTTATGACTTCATCTATGCTTATGAGTATAATTTAAGGAATAATCCAGGGATGTCCTTACAGAAGGATGGGTTTAATAGGGAATTCTGTGATGTGGTTATTAGCATGGGCCATTTAGGCGTATATGTTGTCCCATTGGATCCCATGAAAGAGATGATTTTATCAGAAGAAAGCACTTATATGCCACTTGGGAGTCTAGCAGCACAACATATCTTCCATAGAAGCATTGCTAATAAATATTGTGGGTCTGGGGTAAAAGTCCAAAGAGAAGAAGTCTCAGAGCACTTTAAGGCCATCCGAGTACCCTTAGATTATTTGGAAGAAATTGAAGAAGTTGTTTACGCAGGTACTGGGAACCTTCAGATCCTTCAGAAAACAGGAAAAGAGAAGGCTAGTGTACCCAGAGTATTCCCAAAAAGAAAACCAACCGTAGAAGATCCAAGAAAAAAGGCAAAAAATCAAGAAGAAATCAAAGACACTCACAAGGAAGATGCAGATATAGGGGAATTAGAGCCAGAAAAAGAAGAACTAGAGATAGAAGCAGAAGAAGTCATAGCACTCCTGGAAAAAGCAGAAGCCACAAAGCCAGAAATCACAACCGAAGAAGAACTAGCAAAGAGACTTAAAAGAGAGAAATTAATAAGAGGTGCAACAGACCACAGGAACAAGCAAAAAGTGATAAAATCATTGGAAAGACTAAATCACCATATATTCCTGTTAGAAGACAGGCACCTTCTCATAAATAACCCGTCTGAATTTATAAAACTCAGAAGGAACAGGCTAGAATACCTTGAGAAAATCATAAAAAAACGAACTTTTGTGAGAAATGAACTGAAAAATAAAAAAAGTCCCCACTCACTTGCCCTCTTGAAGAAGTCACTGGAGCAAATAGATGCACCCCAGGAGGACAACATATACTTGCAGGAAATACGCAGTGCATCCTTGGAGGATATTGAAATCCTTGAAGAAATTGAGCACTTAGATGGTTTCCTACGGGAAAATGACCCAGAATATGTGGAAAAAGAGGAAAATCCGTTAGATAAAATAAGACATGGATACAAGGAGAAGGGAGGCATAAATATTAATGTGGAGTTCATTAGAACAGGAGAAGCCCTCTTTAACCCAGCAATTGTAGGGATAGAGCACCCAGGAATAACAGAAAGTCTCTCTCTCATTATGCAAACAAAAGATGTCCGGAATGTATTTATAACAGGAGGATTCAGCCAAATAAAAGGCATAAAGGAAAGAATCCAAAAGGAATTAGTTCCATTAAGGTATTTACCAAATGATCCCACCGTAGTATGCGCATTAGACCCAGTAATTGATGCGTACAAAGGGGCCTTCATTAAGTCCCCATACGCCCAGACACTCACCAGAGACGACTACATGAAACTCCAAATTGAAAAGACACAAAATGAAGATTCCTCAGAGAAATAAAATGAATAAAGCTTTTGTACCAGCATGAACACACATTTAGACACAAATTATTTCAGATACTCAGTAGGTTACACCATAGTAACTGTAAATATGCAAATATTCCCGTTTAAATCACTAGATTCAACCAATCTAAAAATCACAAAAGGGGGTGACTAGATAGTCTGGAGATAGTAGTATTTTAGACTCTAATAGGGGTAGTTGTCCAGGGTGTTTTATTAGTATAATCCTGTAGATGTCTTAGGTAACTGTGACCTGTTGTATACTTGATAAGTGTATTTTTTCTTTCGGACATGTTCCTTCTCTATGGATTGTCCTTACTATCTTACTATTATATAGTCTTAGTACACGAAGAATTCTTCCAGAAGTTGAATTTATCATAGATGTACTCTTATGGCTTCAGAATAATGAAAGTGGGATTTTTACCATACTACTATATACTACTATATACTAATACACTGTAATACTACTACAATATACAAAATGAACAGATATGGTTTAGTTGTTTATTATGCAAATTCAGGTACTAATCCTGCCTGGTCTTTACTTCCCGGTGTATTCTCTTACTGGGCATAAGAATAACTGCATCTGAGCCCCAACCAGAGAGTGCATTTCTATCAATTGCATTCAAGAAGGCCTGCATGGTAGTAGTGAACAAGTCTTCTGCCTCCATGTCTTCCGTGAATAAAACATCTGCAATTCCACTAAGACTCTTTGAAGCTGTCCCGGTTGTTGCAAAGTCACCATGCCCAGATACGCACCCTATTAAGTCCATTGTATAAACATGTGGGTTATTCTCTCTGTCAAACCCTGCAATCAATGGAGAGATAAGAAATGGACTAAACCTCTTACTGTACAGAATATATGAGAGAAGGGAAGAGAATTCCTTCGGTTCAATTTCTCTTTGCTGACTGAGCTTGAACATAGTCACGTGCTTCCTGAGTGTTTTGTATAAAACTTGACAGTCTGGTACAAATCCTGTAAGACTCAGGATTATTCTGTCTGTGATCTTATAAAGACGTGTGAAGTTTGAGTGCAATGTACTTGCATTATTACCAAACCTCTTGTCTGCTGTGATTACAATTGCATCTTTACCCACCATTGCCAAGGAAGATCCTCCGTAGTATTCTTGTATGGACATTAATTGGAAAAATAACAAAATATTTGAAAGTGAAGAAATTAAAATATTTTCAGCCAAAAGGAAAAACCCTAATAAGACCAGAGTATACTATAGAAGGGAAGATCAAAGTGATAGAAATATTCCTTCTTGTTCTTTCTAGTTTATCAATTGATCACTTGGGAATACATAAATTTGAAAAATTTTATAAGACCCATGAAGAGTAATGGAAGTGGAAGGAGTATTTCCCATATAGTAACACACGATGGGGCATTCCATTTGGATGACGTACTGGCATGCTTTATTCTACGGGTAATATACCCAAATGCAAAAATAACCAGAACCAGAGACCCAGAGAAGATTAAAACAGGAGACATTGTAGTAGATGTAGGGGCTGAATTTAATGAAAAGACGTTAAGGTACGATCACCATCAAAGGGGCTTCAAAGAGACATATAATGAATCAAATAATATAATATTAAGTAGTGCAGGATTAGTCTATAAATATCACGGACTAGAATTCATTAAGAAATTAGGCTTAGATTTACCAATTGACTTCAACTATTCTATGCTCATGGAGATACTCTATGACACGTACTTTGTCTCAGTGGATGCAAATGATAATGGTGTTGATATAGCAGATGAAGTAAAATATAATGAAAGATCGTTAGATAATGTGATTAGATCCTTTGTACCATGTGATATACCAGAAGGAACTTCCTTTGAGAGGGCTAGTATCATGAGATATCAAGCATTCGAGAGTGCAATGGAGTATATTGGTCAGGATCTATTAAGACACTGCAAGAATATGATATTTCAAATAATAAAGAACAGCAGAGCCACACAGGAATGCTTCAATTCCATGAAGGATCCATCTGCCAGGTACTTGGTCATGGAGGGTGGTAAGTTCCCAGTACGTGAGATACTTTATTATTATAACGGTCTTTTACAAAGGAATGTTTCAATTGTGATCTACCAAGTTTCAGGTAGAAATTCATACACCTATAAGATAATATGTCTCCCAAAGAAGGGAGTTAAATATACGCCAGAAATACCGTTATGTGAAGAATGGCGTGGTATAAGGGATGAAGAACTCCAGAAATATCCTAATATGATGGGTGCCATGTTCGTGCATGGGACAGGATTCTGTGGGGAAGCAAATAATTTAAAAACTGCAATTTACATGGTAGAGAGATCGATTGAAGTGCACCTGAATAGTAAAATTGAATAATTGAATAAATTTAAGCATCTGAGTCAGCTGAGTCTAAGAGTATTTCAGACAGTTAAATTTTTCAAAGAGTGAAAATTTTTTAGAATGGCAGGAGGAGAGACACAAAAGGCAAAAAAAGAAAGAATTGACAATGTTCTGTCAAATGTTGGGGCATACCAAAGAATATACAAGCTATTATGCGACAACAAGACAGCCTTCGTGCAGAAGCTGAAGAGAGACTTCAGAAGTGTAAAGTCTGAGCTGTTCTTTGGAAAGTACAAGATGATAGAAAAAGTACTATCAAGAACACTGGACCCAGAGCAAATGACCAGCCTCAGAGGGACAGTTGAGTACAAGAAGTCAGATAAGGTATTTTTATACCTTCTGACAGATTTACCCCAGGAGAAGATCCAGAGCATAGTTGAAAAAGTCACTCACTTCGACTACGAAAGAAAAGGAGACACTCTGTGCAAGGATATTGTCATTCCAGTGGGAGAACTTCTTAATGAAGAAAGTGTTAAAGTATCAAACACTCTTTTCAAGGAGATACAGGCACTAGGAATACAGAATATCATTATTAACCCAAAGACAAACTCAATAGAAGTAACTGAACAGATTGTTCTAGCCAGGAAAGGAGAGCACATGACAGAAGAACAAGAGAAGATGGCAAAGATACTTGGTCTGAAGAACAAGAGACACGGTGCAACAATTGTTGGGCGTGCTGAAATACCACAAGAATAAAGACCTTAATAATCACATATACACCTTCAGGTACTGCATATTACTCGATTGAAAGTCTATTTTAGGGTATGAATTTAACGGTATTTTAGATTTTATAGATAATGTAACGGTATTTTATATTTTATAGTAGTAATGTAACGGTATTTTAATGGGAGAATATACTGGTATTTTAATGGTAATATACTGGAATATTCTGTTCTTATAGTAGTAATGTGACAGTATTATATAATGGCAGTAATGTAACGGTATTTTAATGATAATTTAACAGCAATTTAATGATAATCTAACGGAAATATTCTATTAATTTAACGGAAATCTAATGGAAATACTCTTATAACAGTGAAATATTCTATTAATACAACAAGAATATAACGGAAATATAAAATAACTTAACAGTGAAATATTCTATTACTATACCAGTATATAACCATATACCCCCATTATATTAGTCTATAAAATTCAACAGACACATTTATTCTAGAATATACTATACTACAGTGCACTTCTTAATAAGAACCATATACTTATCATCTCTTAATAAGCAACGTATACTTATGTGTATTCTGTAAGATATGAATTATTTATTAACGGATTTAATATAACCCGAAAAAGAATTTATCTATATTTAACTGGCATATTATCCAATGTACTCCTTAATTCTTTATCTTTTTTATCGTTAATTTAAAGGGTTTTATGGGCTCTTTTCTTTCTATACTCTCTGAGTGTATCTTTTGCACCGTTATTTTCATCTTTTTATTATGTGTCCAGTTCATGCCTGCCTTCACACTTGCCAGAATCTCCTTTATCTCTTGTTTTGTCACTTTTTGAATTATTTTCTTCTTATTTTTCAATAATTCCGTTTTTTCCACTTTCCTTCTACTGAACAAAAGTGTTCCATTTGTTAAATCCCGGCTGGAGCAAAGTATCACCATTATATCCTCAATAGATGAATTTGGTGCATGATAAAGTGCCCTACTAATCGGTTCATCAGGTACTTTACCAAAACAACTTGTAATCCCAGGGTACATCTCAATGGTCCTTTTATATTCTCCATTTTTTGCCTCTTTATGACCCACTGCCATGGACTCATACCCAATTCCTGCTAGTATCCCATGCCAGTAACCAGACAAATCAACAGAGTGAGATATTTGCTTATGTGTCTCAATGTACTTGCATGGGACAGGACGAGAATACAAGAATACTTCAGGACCATCCAAAGTACATAAGATACTCCTTAGATTCTCCATGAGAATCATCCTAGAGAGACCTTTCACTTGTGCTGTGCTTTCAAACCTCTTTATATAAAGGACCCTCTGCTTCTTATATGAAAGCATACTGCATATACTCATTGGTATTCCATTCATATATGAAATTGCATATATTCTAGTACCAGTAGTAATAAGTGCACTTTCCACAGTGTACTCCATGCACTACAAATATTTTCAGATTTTATCCAGTATAAGTTAGTCTTGTTGTATTGTATATACTATTATTTAGTATATATTGTAGATATATTGTAGACTAAGTATAGTATAAATACATCTGTAGACTAAGTATAGACTAATTATATTGTAGATATATTGTAGACTAAGTATGATATAGATATACTGTAGACTAAGTATACTGTAGACTAATTATAGACTAATTATACTGTAGATATATTGTAGATACACTGTAGAGTAAATATATTGTAGATATACTGTAGACTAAGTATAGTATAAATATTCCAGATATAAGAAAATATTCCAGCTATACTGTAGACTAAATATACTGTAGACTAAATACACTGTAGACTAAGTACAACACAAGAAAATATTTCAGAAATAATATACTCCAGATATACTGTAGACTGAATATGAACTAAATATAAGAAAATATTACATATATAGTATGAACTAGACTAAATATAATATACTCTAGATATAATATAGACTAGATACAAGAAAATATTCCAGATATACTGTAGACTAAGTTTAATATACTGTAGACTAAGTCTAATATACTCCGGATATAATATACTTCAGATATACTGTAGACTAATACCCCTAAACATACACCAAATACCCCTAAACATACACTTATTCTCACTGTAATATTGTAATATCCCCTAGTATATGGATATAACCAGTTGAACCAAAAAATAACTGACTATAATTTAATGAGAATACTTTGATTTATTTAGGTACCTTATCCTTGACTATATACCGGAAGGATGACTTATCCTTTAGGGACTCATCATTTCCTTTGAAGGTCACTGGGATTGCATGTTTTAATTCTAACTTATCCCGGATCTCCTTCTCCTGTGCTGCCATTTCCTCTTCTGTCCCGCATGTCTTTGTCCAAAGGGAAAGAATTGTATGGTGCCCTCTTACACTCACTACAATCCCATTCACTTCCATTGAGGCAAAGGGAACAAGAGCCATCCACACAAAGAGACTCTCAAATAGTCTCTGCTCTGCTGTGTTCTTCTTTATTTTAATAATCCACTTACCACCATTTATATTGCATGGATCCTCCCACATAGGCTCAATCCCACTCTTAAACAATGATAAGTCTGTGATTGGCTTAATTTCCTGCAATTTCTGCATTCTTCTAATGAGGTACAGGAATTCTTCTTTTGTTTCAATAATTGCTTCCTGCTTGATCTTGCTTTTAAAGTCTTCAGTGTCCCCTTTAACTGTCATGCACCGGAATACAGAAGAAAGAATAAGAGTAGATGCTAGCTTCTGACTGTTCATAATAAAAAATATTTAATCGGCAGCAAAATACTTTAGAAGACTAATGGACTCTTTTATTTGGGATATAATTGGAAAGTAATGATTCAGCTGTAGGGAACTGGGTTGCACTGATTATAGTGAATGTATTCTGATGGGAGACTGCGAAGACTAGAGATTCTGTCTCTAAGGCACTAAATATTTCTGAAGAAAAAGTATGGAATGGTGTGACTATGAGTAGGTGTGAAATATGAGTGGATATTTTTCTGTTGAAATTCTTATCTGGCTGGTATAACTTATAGAAGTACTTTGTATAGATATTTAAATTAGATCTAGATATATCATTGGGTACTTCTGTCTTTATATCTTCTTTAATGAGTATCCAGCCACTTCTTCTAATTGCATGGTACGTTAAGAAGTGAATATATCCTGCCTGAGTGGCATATATTTCTGCTGCATGTATCTCTTCATTTGTTACTGCTACATCATAAAGGACTTCTTCTATGGTTAGTGTAAGTTCATTCCTTTTTACTCCGCACTTTCTGAACTCTTGTCTGCCTGGGTCCTTTGGTGTATAATTTTCACCTATTTTCACAAATCTATCATTAATTCTATTCTGTATCTCATTTATTAATCTGTTCTTTGTACTGTTCATATAATGTCCTTGTATTTTTATGAGTTTTAGTGCAGGGGTCTACCATAATGGCAATTTCTGCATTTTCGTATGGAATATGTGAGAATATACTACGGTCTTCATCAAGTGCTTCTTTTGACTTAATAATTAGCATATCTATATCAGTTGGTGAGATTGGTTTATCCTGTCTCTTCTTCTTTTCTTGTCTTTTAATTTCTTTTTCCTTGTGGACAACCAGTTTCTTCTTCTTCCCGAAGTCAATTAGCATGAATATTTTTTTGCATTGAATTTTATGCCTTCAAGTGTTTATGTTAGAAGAATTCAAGAACTCCTTGGGGAGATATGCGAGATATCACTTTTTCTGATGCCCCCACAGGAAATATCCCTTCATCCTTGTGACTGGCTGGAGGAAGACATGAAGCATTTGGTTTTGGAAATTGAAGAAATTAAGAGAAGACTCCTTCTGGAGACAGAAGAGAAAAGGAGTGAAATTAACTTAATGGCAGAGAGAAAGAAGGAACTTATCTCTGCCTTAGGGGAGATGGAGGAAGAAAAGGAAGGTATTTGGATATCTGAGAGAAATTTGCATGTGAAGGCTTCTTTACTTCAGAAAGAACTCTTAGGATTATCTGTACGGTATGAAGAACAAGTTAAGGAATTTTCGGAAGTAGCAGATGCCATACGGATAAAAATGGAAGAACTAGATGAATATATACAGGATACTGATGCTTGCACTGAAATACTTTCAGTTAAGGTTGTTAAAAAAACAACAATTATCGAAGGAAAAAGACTTCTTAGTAGGCTAGTACAAAGACAGGATGAAATAAAGGCAGAAACACAAAGGAAAATAGAGAGTACTAAGGAGATGCTTTTTAAGCTGGGAATTAGCTTGAGTGAATCTACGGGTGAGAATCTGCTGGTGGATCTATCAAATCTGGAGGAGCACTTGGATTTAATATCCTGTGAGGTGCAGTCGTATAATTATACTGTAAATAAGATAGAAATAACTCCAGAAAATAGCTCCAATGGTACCCCCTTAAAAGATGCAAAGAATATCCTTTCAGAAGGAAGGTGCAAAGTGCCTCAGGTGACAGTTAATTTAAAGGGAATTAATGAAATATTTTCAGACCCTTCAGTGATTAATAATCCCTTCATGTGCAAATATAAGATAAAAATGAAATCTGAAGAGATTGAAATATTTTCATCGTTGAATGATCTGTCATTTTCAGCTGCAAAGAAGATAGAAATGAAGGTCAGCAGGATATCGCAGTCTGCCCAGGAGTTGTACGCTTTATTGGAGATGCGCCTGGGCTTCCTTTCAAATAAAGTGGAAATCTCAAAGACAGAAATTCCCCAGGATATTTCCGTAATAGAAAGAATATTTGTGCTGAAGAAGTGGATTGAGCAGATTGAGCAAGAGTATAAGCAAAGGATCCATGATATTTTCACACAGAAAAAGGAAGAATTCCAAGTGGTCATAAAAAAGCTCCTGGAAATAAAGAAGAAAGACACTCCACGGGTACTACACCCGGATACAATCACAGATCTACGGTTCACACAGCAGGAGCAGATTCTGAACTCTCTGGAGGAAGAAATTGCAGCTGCAGAAAGTGAATATGAAATACTCAGAAATATCCAGGCATTTGCGCAAGAGAGAAGAGAACTTCTTTTGAAGATGTCTGCCTTTGAGGAGCAAGCAAGTGATCCACTCAGACTCTTCAGAAGTTCATTCCAGTTGAACTCTGAGGAGAAGTTCCGGAAAATGGCAGTCCCTACACTCCTGCGGGTTGAAAAGGAAATATTCGCCTTAGCAGAGCAATATGCAGAGAAGTTCTCTAATAAGCCCATTGTAATCGAAGAGAAAGAGATAATTTCAGAACTAAAAGATGAAATATCCAACCGAATAATCAACGCAAATACATTCATGAAAGGAAGAACCACAAAAACAAACAGATAATCAGCTTGTTAATAGACCTAAGCAAGTACTCCCACGAATAAACTGCATTCTGTCTTCATTTATTTTCACTCTTGCAAATTCTTGTTTCTTCATATTTATTGATTTATTTAATTCTGCTGTCTCTTCATACGTGCACCCGGATATTCGACTTGCATGTATTCATTATCACTTCACTCATAGTCTGGTCTTCTTCTGGGTGTTTTTATCTTATTCTGGCTAGTTACGGGTACTTTTTGTCTTTGAGAATTTTCACTTCGTATGGTTCTTTGACAGTACTCTTAGACCACACAATTTGAATATGCTGGGTACACCAGTATTTCATCGACTGCATCCCTTGCGATATCTTGTATAACCCATTAAACTATCACTTTCAAAATAATTTCTACCATAAACTAACCAAAAACCAACTCAAAACCATAGATTACTCCACTGAAACATCTTCCATTTTCACCCACTCCTTCTCCTTCACCTCCTTCCTCTTCCTGGGTACCTTTCTAAGCGTACTCAGCAGAAGAATATCTTCCAAAAAGGGTATTTCCACTTGAGACTCACAAGGCGTGCAATGCAGCGTACTAAGCCTCTTCCTATTCAGCATATGCTCATAGTCCCGCATATTATTACGTATTAAATAGTCAGTTTTAACAGGATTTATCTCCAAAATAGGATCTTCCATCTTCACACCCTGCAATAACCCGAATATTTCATGAGGTTCAGACACATTCCCATCTACCACACAGATATTAGCACGTTCTTTAAGGTGTTCCTGTACATCTTGGTCTAAATATTTCTTCTCTTCAGGCGCCTTCTTCTCCCCTTCCTCCTCTCCAGTGAAGTTAATCAAAGCCCTCTCTTCTAAATGCGTCTTTTTCAATTGGTCGCCTACACGAAGTATCTCAAGGAGTGATTCATCCTGCGGCGCTGCCTCTTTTTTTATCTGCTTCGTAATATTCAACTGATATTGCAGGAATGAAACCAATTCCTTCCTTCTGTATGAATCTTCACATCCAGTTGATTCTTGGATTATCGCTAAAAGTATCACTTCCAAAAGGTCTTTATCAATTTCTTCTTTTTCTTCTCCAATCCTATTGTATGCTTCGCATAGACCAGACCCAGAGAGAATATCTTTAACACGAAGAAGCTTCTGATTTATCTGCGAGAAGACTAAATCTATTATTATCTGTAAGGATTGCTTGCTTGTCCGTTCAAATCCCACTTGATTCAATATCTCTACAACAACTGCTTGCAGCACTTTCGAGTAAAACCTTCCCTCGTCCATTCTGCAAAATATTTCCAAGAAATTAAACATTTCCAAAAATATCCTAAATTTCAACAAAACCCAAATATATTAAACAGAGATACATATACTTATTAGATCATAAATATAGTAAAATATCTCTACTAGAAGGATATTTTTAAATTCCCCAGAATTTCCTATAAATATTTCCAATTGGATAAAATTTTACGAATGAAGTGCGCTATTTGCATAAACTCAAAGATAGAGACAGATGCAGCCAGAGACATAAGTTACTGTACATCTTGTGGTCTGGTAATTGAAGAAAGCACAATTGTCTCAGACGTACAATTTGCACAAGACACAAAAGGATCTTCAATCTTGCAAGGCCAGTACGTCTCTACTGGAGACACAAAAAAACTAGTTTCTGGGAAGTTCATTACAACAAATCACACGACAACAATAAGAAGTATAGCTAAATCTATTGGAGAAGCACTAGGAATTGGTGATTCACAGATAAATTCAGCCATGAGATGGTATAATCTATCACTCCAATTTAACTTCACAAAAGGAAGAAAGACACAAGTCCTTTTGGCTGCCTGCTTATATATTACATGTAGAGAAGAAGAAACACCCCATATGCTTGTTGATTTTGCATATATTTTAAGGATAAATGTCTTTAAGATTGGAAGTATCTTCTTAAAGTTAATTCGTCTGCTGAATATAACGATGCCTTTAGTAGATCCTTCTTTGTTTGTACCTCGTTTCTGCAGTAAATTATCACTAAATAATCAAAGTATTGGGAAGACAGCCTTAAGGTTAATTGCACGCATGGATAGAGACTGGATTGTAATTGGTAGGAAGCCAGCTGGAATATGTGGTGCTGCTATTCTTATAGCCAGCCGGATACACGGGAATGAAAGGACAGTTGAGGATGTAGCTGGTGCAGTGAGAGTCTGTGAGGCTACGATAAACAAGAGACTGGCAGAACTGAAGGAGACAGCGACTGCAAATCTATCCATAAATGAGTTTAATACGATCTGGCTGGAGAAGGAAGAAGACCCGCCTATTGTTAAGCTCAGAGGTAAAGTACTGAATGAATCATTTTGCAGGAGATTGAGTGCATCAGAGGACCATAAAGGCACTAGGGATATACTTGATAATCAGAAAAATATAACGGATAATCACAGGAATATACTTGATAGTTATAAAAACCTACAAAAAACAAAAAGTTATGAAAATCAAAATAACAGAAATATAACGGATAATTACCAAGATACACATAAGAATATACAAGATATTCAAAGGAATTCATTAGAGACCAATGAAATAGCAGCGTATAATAAACATCTGCAAGAAGTCACCTCAGACTATGAGAAATGCACAAAATTCACAGAATCAGCAGACTCAGATGACTACATAGGTACACCTGCCTCCTTGCAGACAGACCCCATAAATATCACATCTTACAACTTCCCAACTAATTACGAAAGTGACCTTTCTGATTGCAGCATAGAACTAGAGAATGACCTATTCCTGAGCCAAGAAGAAATTAAAGAAAAAGAAAGGATATGGAATGTAATGTATGGAGACTTCTTGCTGGAAAGAAAAAAGAAAGAAGGCAGAGACAAAAAAGAAAAAAAGAAAGAAAAGAAAAAAGAAAAAGAAAAAATACCGTTACAAGATGCAGTTGAATCTGCAGTTAAAACAAAGAATCTTTCCTCCAGGATAAATTATGCTGCAATTAAGAACCTCTTCCAGCAGTAATAAATATGCCATATTCTCCTGAAACATGGACAGAAAGGTAGAGAGAGAACTAGAGGATGCACAAGGTGAAATAAAAGAGGCGATCAAAGAGGAGAAGAAAAGGGGTGCATCTATATCTGAGCTGGAAAAAGAGTCAGAAAGAATGGATGACTCCCTAGGGAGCATGCAAATGGAGACGCATGCAGCAAAGAATAGGCTCCTTAGGAAGAGTATTATTTGGGTGTCACTATGCATTCTTATTGTATTGATAGTTGGGAGTGTCATATTCTTGTATATATATGAGAAGATAAAGGCACTAAGAGGTCAATAAAGTATATATTATTAATAGACTATGTTTTATAGCGGGTGTTTAACGGTTATTTGTATATGTATTATACATTTTAACTGTTTTTTGTGGGGTGTTTAACTGTTATTTGTGTATATATTATACGTTTTAACGGTTATTTGTAGGGGATTTATTGGTTTAACAGTTATCTATGAATTATTTATGTAGTATTTATTCATTCTAGTTATGACAAGACTTCTTGCACTCTTTATAAATTTACTAAATTTATTTCTTCTTTTTATAAACTTAATAAGATGCAATATACTACACCAAATAGAAGAATATCACACTAGTACACACTAACTACTACTAATTAGTCACAAAATATCTCACTAATATACTACAATATTATTAACTACTCTACTAAATATCACACTAATACACTACTACTAATTATTACTAAATACACACTAACTACTACTCAAAAATACTACTAATATCTCACTGACTACTACTAATTATTACTAACTACTAATATACTACACTACTAAATATCTCACTAGTATACTACTAATTATTACTAACTACTCTACTAAATACTACTAATACACTACTACTAACTACTCACAATACAATGCCCCAAGACTAAACACAACAATATAAGACTATATAAGACTAAATACAACAATATATCCCAATATAAAGTATCTCATGATAATTTATTCAATCACCTCCACCTTCTTTCCCTTTACCTTCACATCAAATATTCCCTCCTCAATGCGTGGTCTCTTCAGGACCTTAACCTTCTTGATGTAGCAGTTCTGGAGTGGGTATATCTTAGCACCTTCCTGTTCCATTCGGCCTCCAACCACTTCTGTCATCATTTTCTTCATGGCTTCGTTTATGTCTCCTGCGAATTCCTCTGAGACAATCTTAAATATCACCTTACGTATGCTCTTAACCTGTGATAATTTAGCATAGCAGTTCTTGCTGACTGACTTTGCCTTTCTTTTAGTGTTGCAGATAGTGAATATTCTTAGAGTATATCCATCCTGTGTCTCTACCTTGGAGCATGTCTCAATAAGAGTGTGCCACTTCTTTGGGATACTTTTTACCTTATCACTGATCAGTTCCATGGAGTGGAATGAGGAAATTGCATCTTTGCCCTTAGTCCCGTCTATTACGAATTTGAACTTTCTTGTTGAGTTAGTGTTATCTGGGAGGTCTGCCTGGTTTACTTCGAATGTTCTGCCACGTAGTGCGTCTGGGGCGAAGTAATTTCCTTGACTTTTATCAATGATTGTGGTCCCGGCTGATTTGTTGTTGAATAGGCTGGGGAGGGTTAAATTGTAGAATTCTTTTTTTGTCATTATATCTTGTGGCTTCTTGGATTTAATCTTCTTACCTTTTGTTGTCTTTGTCTTGGATGCCATTGCAGGGGATTGAAAAAATAGAAAATAAAATATTGGAAAAAGTATAAAAATATAACGGGAATAAGTCTTAGTGAAAATGACAGAATATATGGTGTGGGTGGAAAAAGTAATGACTGTGTTTGTGTTGTAAATGTGTATATAATATGGACAGAATATATAGTGTGGGTGGATTAAGTCTTGGTAATTTGAGCAGAATATATAGTACTATGTGTAAAAAGTCTTGTCTGTTTTAGGGAAGAGTGGATTAAGTCTTGTCAGTTTTAGAAGGAAGAGGATTAAGTCTTGTCGAATTTATAAAAAGTGGATTAAGTTCTGTTAAGTTTAAGAGGAAGAGGATTAAGTCTTGACAAAGTGGAAAAAGTTCTGTCCTATCCCAAATAATCTCAATATAACCATATACCCCTATAATAGCCTTCTACACCCTTCTATCCCTGTATCCATCCATATACACCCTAATATAACTCGCCCATATTCCTGCAATGTCTCATATATTCTAATAAAATGCAGCAGAATAAAAATGAAAATGGAAGCACAGAAGGGAGAAAGAACAAAAATGAACAAAAGTGAAACAATCTTCTTATTTGACGTAGATGGCACCTTAACACCTTCCCGGGAAAAGGTCACAACAGAAATGAAGGCATTCCTGACAGCCCTACGGGAAAAAGTAGTGATTGGATTTGTGGGTGGATCAGACCTGCCAAAGCAGCAGGAGCAATTAGGAAATGACTGCACGAAATTATTTGATTATTGTTTTCCTGAAAACGGCTTAACTTTCATTAAAAACGGCGAAGTAGTTAAAAAAGAGTCATATCTTGGTTTTATAGGCCAGGAAAGACACAGGCACTTAGTGCAGACCATTATGAAGCTGTTTAGTGAGCTAAAAGCAGATGAAGTCCCGGTCTTATCTGGGAATTTCATTGAATTAAGACATTCTATGGTGAATATTTCACCTGTTGGAAGGTCATGCACACGGGAAGAGAGGAAGGCCTTTAAGGAATTGGATTCTGTGAATAAAACACGAGAGAAGATTGTGAAGGCCTTGAAGGCTGAATTTGATGAACTTTCATTTTCTATTGGGGGTGAGATATCTATTGATATTTTCCCAAATGGCTGGGATAAAACCTATTCACTGAACCATCTTATCAGTGAAGGCTTTAAAAATATTTTTTTCTTTGGGGATATGACAGAAAAAGGAGGGAATGATTTTGAGATATATTCTGATGACAGGGTAACTGGGACAACTGTAAAGTCGCCTGAGGACACAATTAAAAAGGTAAGGGCGCTATTGGATACGTTGGAAATTCAATAAATGATTGAAGTTTGATGGGCTTATGCTTAATTTTACCGTTATATCAGTAATTGTTGTTGATTATGCCTATTTCATATGCATATTCACTTTTAATTAAATTATAATATGAGTATGCATATCTATACACATATATGTAACTGGGTATAACAAAAGTATGCCCTATATAGTACTATATAACCCGAATATATCACTATATAACTAAAATCCTGTTAAATTATATGTTATAAAACATAAAATAACCATAAATAACCCACATACTTAAATATACACCCTATATGCCCATATGTATATACCCACATGCCCTATATGTCCGCATATAAATTGAATTATTCATTTAGGCTGGGAACACCCCTGCACTAAAATATAATTTTGGAAAGGACAAAGGCGTTTTTACTTTTTCTTCTAAAAATTTTATATACTTCGCATGTGATAGGAAGGAACTTTTAAAATTCCATAGAAAATAATAAAACGCCTTTCCAATTTTCCACTGAAGAAAATATCCAGATTGAAATATTAAAGAGAAGCAAAGAAGTAAGAATAATTCAACAGAAATAACACATATATACAGTTTTTACATAAATATACACTAACCATATACACTTCTTACATATAAATATATCCATATAAATAACCAGAATACGCATTCTTCGCATATATACCCACATAATAATTACACAAATATACACATTCTTTACATACATATACTGCACAAATATATCTGAATAGACTACAAATATACTACATACATATCCTACAAACATACTCTCTCTCCTTCTATACCTTCTATACCCCTCTGACTGCAACTTGTTTTATTTTTATTCTTTTATTCTTTTATTCTTTTATTCTCCATGAATATTCTGGGGTCGGAGTATCTCCCAAGCAACTACAAATTCGAACTCCAAAAGACAATCCGCCAAATAACCAGAAGAAACTCTAAAAGGGTTGCAATCCAATTTCCAGAAGGAATAATCCATTTATCTACAGTTATTTCTGATATAATTAGGGCTAATACTAATGTTGAATCTGTTTATATTCTGTCTGATGTAGTATACGGGGCCTGTTGTATTGATGATATTTCTGGATATTTAATAGACTGTGACTTACTTATACACTACGGGCACTCTTGCTTATTTGAAGTCACTAAGTCACTGATTCAAGTGATGTACATATTCGTAGAAATACAGTTTGAAATTGATCACTGCATAAATATGGTACAGAAATACATGAATATTCAAGATATTTCTATCCTTGGGACCATCCAGTATAACAGTACAATCAGAAAGATAAAAAAGCAGTTGGAAATAAATAGAATGAAAGAATTAGAAATATCACAGAATATGCAGCAAGATACAGAAGTAAATAAGGCAGAGACAAACAACTCAACTAAAAATAACCGAGAAATAAATATTCCCAGAGTGCACCCACTAAGTCCAGGTGAAGTACTAGGGTGCACATCCCCTAAAGTAGATTCTGATGTGATTTTATTCATATCAGAAGGAAGATTCCATTTGGAGTCTTTGATGATTCAGAATCCACATAAAACCTACTATAAATACTGTCCATCTTCTAAGACACTCTCTTTGGAGAGACATGATTACAAGAGATTCATGGAAATTAGAAAGAATACCCATGAGAAATCACTTTTAACAGAAGAATACGTTATAATATTCGGTACCTTAGGGAGACAAGGGGGAATTGGCTTATTAAACCGTTTGGAAAATGATCTTAAAAGAAGAAACAAAAAGTACTTTACTGTATTCCTATCAGAAGTAGATGAAACATTCATTGGATCCTTACAGGATGTGACTGTAATAGAGGTAGCATGCCCTAGAATAGCAATAGATTGGGGTTCTACATTTAATATTCCAATTATAACACCATTTGAATATTTCAGTAAAGACCTAAGAGAGTACCCCATGGATTATTATGCAAAACAAGAAGAAATGAAGCCATGGCAGACACTCCATTGAATTAACCCACAAATAAGCCATATAACCAGAATATAACCAGAATAATACACTGTAGTACTTATTCTATACCCTTATATAACCGTATGCAAAATAAATAGATCATATAATTATCATATCTTCACTTGTTAAATATACTATCTTAAATATACTGTATAATTATTACTCTCTCTTAAATCACACAAAATACTCTTTCTCTCTTGAATATTCTCTCCATAAGAAATTTAAAAATCACACAAACTACTTCTATTTTAAAATAGCCCAAAACATCACTGTTCTACTTCTCTCTTGAATATACTCTAACTACAATATTATCACACCCTCTATAAATCACACAAAATATTCCTACTCTAAAATACTCTTCACTATAAATCACACAAAATATCACTCTCTTTAACCTCACTATCTAAATTCACTGTCTAACTTCACTATAATCCCACAAAATACTCTTTCTTTTTCCCTCTCTAAATATTCTCTCTGTCTCTAAATACTCTATAAATCCTCTAATATAAAAGACATTTTTTATTTGTATGTGGATGTCTATTTATTCAGCTGTGCTTATGGTGCTATCTATGGGTGTGGCATTAGTCATAGGAATATTCACTAGAAGGTTCTTTAAGAAGCCACAAGAACCAGATACAAAAATATCTGAAACAGTTTCCGATAAGATCAAACCAGCAGAAGGCTTGTTTAATTCCTTACTAAGTGAAAGTGAAGTTGTAACAAGCAGGGTCTGCACGACTGAAGACCTGGAAATTACAACAGGAGAGATAATGTACTACTTAGTCCATGGCTCTGTCGAAGTATTATACGATAATTCCATGATTCTGGAAAAAACTGAAGACTATTTCATATATAACCTGAATTGGCTAATAAATACAAAACAAAAACCCAGGATAACGTATAAAATATCAAAAAACAGTCAGTTATATCAGATTGATAAGACAAATCCAACTGTAAAATACTTCCTTCTGAATAGGTTCTTCAGGGGCACCTTATACACAGTTGTAAATTACTTGGAGGAAGGTTTCTACTTGGATATAACCAGAATTACAACAGGAAAGCAAACTCACCAGGAAATCCTACAAGAAGTAAAGAGTAAGATGGAGATTATTAAGAAAGTAGAGGCATCACAGGAAATATCCCTTACAGAGACATACGAAATACCACCAAACACACTTATTTACATTTTGGAAGGCTCTGGGCGCATAGAATACACAGAGTCTGTAAGCCAAACATACCAAAAGGGTGACTTAATTGGTTCTTTAGAAAGGATACTCCCTATAAAGTGCAGCAGAATAATCCATCCTAACGAGAAAACCCTGGGAATCAAAATCAAATTACAACCGCTCTTAGATGTGCCAATAAGTGACTTGGAGATGGTGGCAGATGAAATATTCAACAGAAGTAATTCTATGGAGCACCTGGAAATAACGGATGCCATGATAAATTGGCGAATAATCCAAGCAGGTGAAAGACTCTCTAGTGATATTCCTACGAAATCAATTAAATGCATAACAAACGGATATTTCCTAAAGAATAGTGATGTAAAGTACTTTGGGATTGCGAGTAAGAATGTTCTCTTTGAAAAGGAAGTGCTTTTAGGGCAGTCTTCTTCGTTTGAATTAACTGCTGCCAGACTCTCTGAAGTAATAGAAATCCCAAAGGAATATATAACCAGAATCACATCGAGTTATCCTGCACTGTCAAATGCCATCTACAGAAGGATATTGGAGAGAACAGGAGTAGAGACAGAATTAAAACAGCCATCAATTATAACCTTCATACCAAACGATAAAAAAGAGACACAATTAGAGATATTCACGTACTTCTTAGGGAGTGAGATGGAGAGAAGTGATTCCTGCATAATTCTGTCATCCTCAGAGTTAAATATGAAGCTGAAATCAATTCAAACAGTAAAACACACAATTCCACTTCTAAATTACATAAGTGACCTACAAAGAGAGTATTCCTACATATTAATACCCATTGTGGATGCAGTGCACAGTAAAAAGGTGAAAATCCCAGAAGAAAAGACTGAAGACTTAAAAAGAACAAAAAATAACGAAGATAAAAATTCAGAGGAAATTGAAGGGAAAGATAGAAATCCTGTTGTAAACCAGACTAAAAAACAAAAAAACTCAAATTCAAAAGTAGAAGAAAATTCAAAAAAAACTGAAGAAGAAGACCAAGTACTGCAAGATATAACACCAATTGTACTTTCTGAAATCATATTTTATGTTGTCACAAATGGAGACCACAGGAGTATAGACATAAAAAAGGACATATTCTGCAAGATAGACACTTTAATACTCCATAGAGACAACCAAATGAAAGTAGCAGGTGGCAGGTACTATGGACAAAGGCATAATGTAGAATTTCCTCTTATAGATGTCCCTGTGTCCATTATAAAAACAAGAGAATCAATTAACTACACAAATAAAAACTGTAAATTCAACGCACTAGAAGACACATGGATCCCGTACTTCCCACTGAATGACATGCACAGGTTCATAAGAACCTTAAAGGGAACAAATGTAGGACTTGTCTTAGGGGGAGGTGGTGCCAGGGGAATAGCCCACATTGGAATAATTGAAGCCCTGGAAGAAGCAAATATCCCAATTGATGCCGTAGGGGGTACGTCAATGGGTGCATTCGTAGGGGCATTGTATGCGCAAAGGGCAAATAACAAAGAAGTATTTATACAAGCAAAAAGACTGACAAATCTACTGGGGAGTGTATGGAGGGTGATCGTAGACCTAACGTACCCTATATGCTCAATGTTCACAGGAAAGAGCTTTAATTGGGCACTCCGGTTGATCTTCAAGAATAGAAGGATTGAAGATCTATGGCTACCGTATTACTGCATAACAACGGACATAGCAGACTTTGAAGAGAAGAAGCACACGGATGGAATACTTTGGAGATATGTCCGGGCAAGTATGAGTCTATCTGGGTATCTGCCACCTTTATGCGATAATGGATCATTTTTATTAGATGGCGGTTATATGAATAATGTGCCTGCTGATGCAATGCGATCAATGGGAATTCGGAATATAATTGCAGTGGATGTAGGGAGTGAAGTGGAAACTACATTTGCAGACTATGGGGACAGCATAAATGGGTTTTATATACTGATGCAGAAGATATTCAGTACGAAGAAATTCCTGTCTCTTACGGAGATACAGTACAGACTGGCGTATCTAACGAGTATGCATAAAGAGAGATCACTTAAGTCTGATGTAACAATTAAATATATACGGCCTGATATGGCAGGATATAAGACAATGAACTTTAGACAGTTTGATGAAATTGTTGCACACGGGTACCAGCATGGAAAGAAAGTCATTGCAGAGTGGAAAAATACTGGGGAATATTTAGAGCTAACCACCATGACACGGGCACCCAGAAGGATATAGTGGTTGAGTTATATCTAGTTATGAAGGGATATACTGTAAAAAGTGATTTAAATGATTTTTCAGTTGAAAACACAGAAGTCTTAAGGCAGTCCTAGCAGGAATAATGCGAGGATAACGTGGGGGTTATTGTTGTTGGAGGGCATTGTTGGAGGGCATTGTTGGAGGGCATTGTTGGAGGGCATTTAAATAAACAGATTTTATTGATTTTATCTTCATCTGGTTATATTTTAGCTGTCTCTAGGTGTACTTTGAGTGTATTTAAGATAGATTTGGTTATTTCTGAATATATTTTATCTAGTTTTAACTGTCTCTAGTTATATTTTAGCTATTTTAAGTTATATTTTGGTTATTTCTATATACTTTGGTCATTTCTCTTTATAGTGCTTATTTTTACTATACTTTATCTTTAAGTTTTAAACACGTATCTTTTCTAATATGATAATTTATCAATGAACGGGTTTGTAATCATAAAAAACAGAAAAATAAATTACACCAAGATATGCTTAAATAGATATAATAGACAGATTCTGGCTTAATCCAATGGGAATGGACTTTCTACAGATGCATATCCACAAGTTCACATAAATTTCATTTATGCCTTGTTGTATTTAGCATTTTCTTTGTTTGTTTTCTATTCGCGTATGATGCACACTGAAGATACATATGCACTTATCCCAATGGAAATCAGAAGACTATTGAAGGACTTCCTGGATAATTACACACCAAGCAGACTGTCACCTGCAAGCACTCATTCCCCAAAGAATTCAAATAATTTGGCTTCTTTCCTGCTCCCAATGGCCTTCAACAAAACAATCCCCATGCATGCCAGGATGGTCATCCTGCAGTCATACAGGTACACAATGAATATGCCATCTGTGCCACAAGAATTTGTCTCAAATGTAATAGAGTCAATTAGATCAGAGACATGCCCAAACTGGATAAATGAAGTACTCACCATATGCCTTGCATTCTGTGTTGAAACCCCACAGTCTCAGAGTAAATTTCAATGCAAGAAATTCTTCAAATCCATACAAGCCGCATATCCACTTGCACAGTACAAGGCAGGCATGCTGCTTGTCAATATTATCAACCAGGAACTATCTGAATACTTTGATAGAGACTTTTTCACAAGAGACCTTCTAGAGTCAAGTTTCGGAATAATTAAGAATAATTTAGCTGTACTAATGGCATACGCTGCAGGCTACAAGAGAATCAAAGAATCAAAAGAGAGTGAATTATCCAAACAAAAAGATGCAGGGTTATTTACAGCTGCAGAGTCAGAGATTGACTTCATTTTCATGTGGCTTGCAAGATCAGATAAATCTGCACTTGTCTTCCCTGCACTCATTTTCCTGACTGAATCCGCAACTGAAGCGATGCAATCAATGGAAAGAAAATTAACCTTCTCAATGATCATCCGGAAGGAAATGAATTTAATTGCAGCAGACCCAGAGAACTCAGTTATTTACCTTAGGCTGAACCACTTTCTAGAGAAAATGCTTAGTCTCTCAAATAAGTGCAAACACATAACTGCAGAACTAGAATACATAGATGTACTTATGCACAGGATAGAGACAGAATTAAGCCAAGAAATATTCTCAGCAGAGACATATTCTTCTCTTGCAGTTTTAAAAGTACTTGCAAGAACGCAAATAATAACCGTAAATTATCTCTCATCAAACAGAATGGAGAATTTACTTGAGAAGATCATAGTACTCGCGTATACACAATACATTGAGAACCCGTACGAAGAATTATCCCTTTGCATTAATGAATTATTTTTGTATCTAGGGAACTTAGTGGTTTACAACCAAAATTGGAAGGAAGCAGCAATAACCCGAATTATGCCCCATATAAGAAAGTACTTCTACGTTATAGAGTGCAAAGAGAGTCTATTAAAGTTCCTGCAAGATATTCTATTTGAGTGCACACCCAGTGTATCACGTGCATTATTCCCATCTATTCAGATTGATGAGATAAGAGGGAAAGCAGTCACCTTAAAGCACAAGATACTTTTCATGTCGATCCTTAAGAATCTCCTTGCGAATGCGCATAACTCAGAGAAAGTTGAAATTTTAGTGGAAAGTGCCTTGGTAGAAGTGGCTATAATAATAGACACTACAATTAAGCCAATAATCACAGCAAGTGATGAGCAAAAAGTACTTTTATCCAAGTTATGCCAGGAAATTCTTCTGATAATCGCGAATATAGTGATTATATCACCACTCCATGGAGTGAAACATGAAATAATCAAAACTGCAATTTATGTATTCAAGCAAGCAGGGACACACGATGCATTCCTGGCCTTCCTGGCGTACTTAACAAATACAGCATATATACCAAACTTACCACAAAACTCCCCAAATCACATGAAAATATCCCAGATGGAAATCACAAAGAAGTCAGCCACAGAGTGGAGTGGATTTACAAATATCCCATTAGAAACAATAAATACTATAATGGGGATCCTTAAAGAATGGATAGGAAAGGACACAGTAATTGACTTTAAAATAAAGAGTTTCCTAGGGAAAATAAGAAGCACAAAGAATAAATAACTGTAATAATATTACATTGTACTCAGTGACTAATGGAATATATATTAGAAAGTAGTTATCTAGTGTATATTTAGTCTAATTATATACAGCCATAGCATAATCTTGTATATTTTAGTATATATTTAGTCTATTCCATATTCTAGTATATATTTGGTCTAACTTTATGCAGCCATGAACTAGCTAATAAACATAAATAATTAGTCTACTCCATATACAACCATGAGCTAGTTACTTCTCTAGTATGCATAATTAGTCTACTCCATATACAGTTGTAATCTAGTTACTTCTCTAGTATATAATTAGTCTACTTCATATACAGCCTAGCATATATTTAATCTATTCCTCTACTTCTCTAGTGTGTATACAACTAATAAATATAATTTAAGTATGTGTTTATTATCTTCCCTTCTTTATCTAACCAAATTCTCTTTGTATTCCAAGTGATCTGCGAATTCTTCTGTCTCGTACCCCAGTGCCTTTCGGTTTAATATTCTGGGGGTCTGTGAGACTGGTCTTCTTTTTTCTTCTGTCCCACGGATTGGCTCACTGACTATGCACCTGGTGGTGTATGGCTTATACATAAGCATGAGTGTGTCTATGGAGTAGATCTCATCAATGTATGAATTTACGTGTGCCCCTATCTTTGAGATAAGTGCGCATGCATGGGAGCATGGGTAGTTCATTTCCTGGAATTTCATGCAAGAACACACTCTTAGTCTCAGATCCACATAGAACTTAAGGTTCCCTGAGTAGACTATCCCTTGCTTGTACTCTTCTTCATCTGTGAGTTTCCTGGGGTCAATCCAGGAAGTTCTGCAGAGTTCACCTGGAGTTCTTCCTATGTCTGTCTCGTACCCATGCGACTTAAGCAGGTTTATGTCTATGGCTCTGTTTACATTTTCACCATATCTTGCTCTGTCCGTTATTTTTTTGGTACTTAACTCTGCATGTGCAACAATTTCCTTCTTCTTCAGGGCATTGTCTGTGATTATTTTAATAATCATGCAGAGGGCATCCACAGGCGAGAGTGTCAGCATACTGCAGACCCCATCAATTTCAACAGGAATTGTATTATTTTTGTTGTAGAGTGGGAAGTCGCACAGATATTTTGCCCAAAGGTGAGTTGGCAATGAGGTCAGCAAGGAAAGCAAAGAGGGCACATTCAAGGCCTTTACCTTCTTGTAGTATAACTGGAATGTGGCCAGATCTGGACTATTGCAGAGTGACCAGACTAAGCCAATTGCAGAAGAAGACGGGTGGGTTGAAAATATTTCCTTGCAAATTGATCTGCTCCTTATGAAGAGTTTAACACGATTTGTCAAGTTCTCTTCGCATTCAATTTCTCCCATGCGGATGGACTCTCTGATGTCAAAGTGTCCACTCCATGGGGCATTAGAATTATTTTGACTGATGCTTCCTGCGTTTGCTTCATTCTTCTCTTGGATCATTCTCTCTAGTTCTTCAATTGTTGAGTGGCATCCCTCCCAGTTAATCAGAAGCACTCCTGACTTTATGACCTTCAGGAGTTCTCTCACGAAAACAATCCATCCTTCCTTCTTTGGGCAATATTCTGGCACATAGCACATACTAATGACATACGGCGTATCAAATGCATCATATCCTGTTGCCAGATATGCATATCCTGCATGTTCTCTTAGCTCATTATATCTTTCATGGACAGTTAGTTCAACAATTTGTCTGCTGTACTTGTAGATGTGTATAGACAGATTATTGGCATAGAAGAGGGTGTCTAGCTTACTGCCTGATGTATCCAAGGGTCCAATTGATTTTATCACTTGTCTTATGTATCCTGTCTCATCGACTGGCTTATTTTCCCTCCACTTCTCAATTTGCTTCTTCATATTGAAGAGTGTTGCTGTGTCATCTGGGTTTATATACCGGTTCTCTTCAACTACGCACTCTAGGCACTCTTCCTGTGCTACTTCTTCATCTATTTCATCATTCATTACGTTCTTCTTTGCCTTCCATGCAGCATAGTACCCTATCTTTATCCCTCGTCTGGAGGATATTTTGTTTATAATCTGCCCAATTCTTGTCTCTTCTACGTCCTGCATTTCTCTAATTTCATCTGCAATGTAGCGCCCGGATGACTGTATGTTTAGATTGCTTTGCTGTGGGCAGTTATGGATATTTTTTAGTTTCTTAATTACGAACATATTATCTTTTTTCCGGAGTGCTGCAGTTACTATAGCATCGCACCCGTGCGTCCTTCTCTCCTTGCACTGAATTGTATACTTCTTTGGCGTACTGTCTGTGGTCTCAAAGTTAAAGTTATTGTCGATGGCATACATCCTAATGGCATTCTGTGCTTCGTTCTTTGATTTGAATACGTCTCCGACTGCAAGCTGCATTTAAAATTTTTTACGACTCTTCATTATTACATTCATTTTTTGTGTGATATATGCAGCATATCTTGGACTTTTTTCTGTTTAAGTGTTCGTTGTCTACTGTGTTCCTGGTAAAAGTGACTCTTCTTCTGGGTGGTCCCCCTCTTAGCCGCAAAGTCAAAGTGGATTCTGTTGTAGTTGACCCGTATACTAGCATAAATTAAAATTAAAAATAGAATAAAATATGGAAGAATGCAGTGCATATGGAATATGCTGTTAGATTTGGGATGAGTTTAGAGTAGATTTGAGTGAGTTATCTGGGTAGGAGAATGTTTGTCTGAGTGTCATGTGAAAGATATTTAAGCATAATTTGTGTAGATGATAAAATATCTTGGTTTATACGGTGTGGCATGAAGGAAGAAGTATATTTTAGATGGAGTGAAATAGTATAAATAGTATATGTTTAGTTATTAGAGTATATTAAATATGTAAATATGTAAATACTCGCATGGAGTGGCTCTTTCTGGAAGATATTTCTGCTGATGGATGGAAATTTATGAAGAAATGTCTATTTATTCCTTCTGGTTATATTTGAGTCTGTGTACTAGCAGGAGTTTATGTCTTAATTCGGGTTTATATCACAGGAGTATGCAATACTCTTAGTGCTAATTTCAAATTATTTCGGGTTATATGTGGCAGAAGAATATTCTATAAGAGAGAAGAAGTTGAAAATTCGGGTTATATACAGTCATATACGAATAAAGACCTTTGAATACTGTGTATTCCATTCTAAATTAACTTCTTTTTCTTGTGTTTTCGGATATATTATATAATCTGAATATTTGGGAGATTGCCTAGTAATGAATGTGCAAGCAGGATAGACTAGTCTAGCACTCTATCCTGTCTTCTGGTTGTAGAATTCTGGTTATAGAAATTACTGTGCAGAATTTTCTCTAGACTTATTTTGGGTTATATGGTCTAGTAGAAAGCCATTTGAAAGAAATATTGAAGATAAAGGACTATGGACTATTTTAACAAGTAGAGTCATTTTGCATTGATGGAAAGAACTTCTTATATGAGAGTATATATTCCTCAAATGAAAAATAGTCAATAAATTCGGGTTATATGCCTATACTACAGTGTCTACTTAGTTGCTAGTTTAAATATTAAACAGAATTCATTGTGTGATCTACTAAGATTAAAGTTAATTAGAAGGTGTGTTTGTTTTCTTTATTATAGCATGGTAAGTAAATTTGTCTGAGTAGAATGTTTCCATTGTGCTTAATTACTGTGTTTATTTTAGAAATATATGTTTTTTTATACTTTTTCTTGTACTTTTTTTACGTGTGAAAAAACAAACCTTCCTATAAAAGATATACATTCTGAATATTAAATAGAAAGGTTTAATTCTTATCAAAAAAAAGGAAAAGGAAAGGAAAATCAGAGAAATAACATATTTCAAAGACCCAATCATCGATTGACCATATGCTAAGCAGTTTATCATGCTGAGCAAATAGGAGAAGACCAGCCTAATTCGAACAAAACACCATGCTCTAAGAGTGATTTTTAAAGGAAATTTGGGTTAAATAGTTCTATGTATTTCAAGGTTCCATGAGTGTAGAAATTTTACTGTGTATAATACTTGGTAAATTGTCTATAGAAGAGCTAGCATAAAAATAACCCGAATATATTCAAGAAAATTATTTGTTGGTGGTGTGCTGTATGAAAACAAATTAACCAGTTAAATTAAAAACTGCTTTGATTAGTAGACAATTATGCTTGCAGATAGTCTATTGGTTAGCACAAAATGATCTATTTAGAATAGAAATAACGGATGCTTAAGAATAATGAAAAGCAAGAAATTCAAACAGGCAAGAAAGAAATCTTTTTTCAGTATACAAAAAATGATCAACAAACTAATCCTAAACCTAATGATGGTACAGAGCATCATTGCAAGAGTTAGCATGGAGGCTATAAAGAAAGTGAACGAAATTCCGATTGGTGAGACGAAAGATGTATTTATTAACCCAGAAGGGCCTCTGTGCCTGCTGCGAGGATACATTGGAGACCGAAGCGGACACATGTACAACAAACGGTTTTATTCACCTGAGATACACACAGACTATGCATTGACTAAGAAAGGAATATCTGATGCAAACGAACAGGAGTATCAATTTGAAAGAAATCCAGTGAAAGACAGGGTATACAAAGACATAGCTACACAGGCCCCCAATGGGGAGTATCTTAGCACATACCATGCGCAGATGATAAAGATGTTTCCGTCTGTAGATGGAAACCTTTCAATTGAGGCAGGTAGACCAACTGCAATTACGAACTTCTTAAGAGCAGATCACGTTAAAGAAGATGCTAAGTATATCCTTGCTGCACTTCTTCTTCTCTCAGAGGGTGTTGACATTAAAATAGCAGTAGACCACACGGGAAATAAAAAGAAGCTTCTCATAAACAGCAAGACAGTCGAAGGGAAGGTATTTGCAAATATAGAGTTGTACATGGCAGGTATAGATCCAGCCAAAGATGAGTACAAAGAAAACATTCCCCAAAATGAGACAGCTGAAATTGTCAACTTCTATTTGCGCTGCAGAGACAAGAAATACCTAAGGAAAGGAGGCGATTTTGGAATGCCTGCTAATAAAGAAGAATTTGAAAGTGGAAAGTTTCTGAACAATGCAGGCTTTCTTATACAGACGTACATATACGAGTTCATTGACACAGTGGAGGCTTATACAAGCCTTGCGAATGCAGTGCACGAATTACTTGTAGACCAAATGACTGATAAAGGAAACCCAGATGAGAACACTAATAAGAAAGACAAGAAGGGAAGAATATTCGATGAGTTTTTTCTGAAAAAAGAAGCATTTGATGAAAGCAAAAAATACATTACGTCTTTCTATGATCTGGTGAGGGCCACCAACGAAGATGCTAAACTTCCCTTCTATAGTGTTAGTCAGCTGCCACAGTACACTAGAGTGCCGTCTTTAAAACTAGACAGATCTGGCTTTAATTTAGACCAAGCCTCACGCTACAGCGACTGTGTGGAGACAGGCCTTCTTGGTCTATTCTGCTGTCTGGCATACAACCCAGATGCAAGAAGGTACGAAACCAGTCACATGGGAGATAAAATAAGTAAAGAATTAAAGGCGTTCTTTAAAAAGTATCCTGAGCCAACTGAAACTGTTGACTTTAAAATGCACATGGAGTGGGCTAGAGTTGTTGCAGGCTTGGAGAGCGACAAGATTGACTACAAGAGAGAGAAAAATGAACTTCGTTCTGGGCTTATGAATATACTTCTGGTAATTGCAGAAATAACAGGAGAAGAAGAATCTATAATGGAGCTAATTCAGTATATAGAAGAATGCACTCCAGGGAATTTAAGCAGTGAAGCCACCATTGCAGTTACAGATATGATGGAGGAAATTATTACACGGTTATCGTATAATAAGGATCTAAGCGTAGAATGCGACAGAGTAGTTCTTGGGAAAAGAACAGGTGGAAAAGATGATATTTTATGTGAAATTAGAATTGCCTATATATTTGATGATGCAGAGTGTGGAATCAATCTATATATAGATAAGGGACATACGACTCTTAATCTTTTCCAAGTGGAAGTAGAAGAGTCCTTCGATGTTAGCGAAAAATACGAAGAAGTAATCGATATTTTCGGTAAAATGAATAGTTACATAGGATATATTGCTACTAGGTACGCTAATACCGAGCTATCTAATTCAGGCAAAAGCACTGAAACGATCTTTTCTGAACAGAAAGATGCCATAGAGAAAATCATAAAAACCAGTGAATTTAGTCAGATTCCCAGAATATTCTTAACACAAAGGATTACTGATTCTTGCTGTAAGGAGCATATTATGGACAAATTTATACTATACTCAATAAAACAAGAGATCTCAGAAAATGATCCTGCAACACGCTTTACTGCAAATATCTTAGGAAGTGTTCCACTGGATGACGGCAGAACAATGGAGAGACTGGTGAAAATGTTCTTCTACAGTGCAAACTGGCAGACATACTACCCAAGTCTTGGGTTTAAGCCATCTGAGAATCTACCAAAAAAGAAATACTTCATTACAGACATGGGGTTCGCATATAAGAGTATATTAAAAGAAAAATCAGTTGATCTTGCAATCAACTCCGTTATAAACTATATAACAATGGACACAGATAAAGAGTTTGATATATGCGATGTACTGACTAAGGAAAATATATTTATATCTTTATTTGGTCTCCTGCAAGACAAACAAGAAATAGAAGCACTTAAAAGGTTTAAAACCGCATTTGAGAAGTACAGAGACCCAAAGAATTCAGAATCCATTGATAACTTGTATATCTCTTGGTTTATATATACATGTTCAAATTATAGAAATAATTTGAATTTCATTCAAGTGGTTTACAACCTCATGAACTTTGATGGTTTAAATCCTGACAATGAAAAACCCAGTGCATGGTTCACTGACCGCAGTTTTGCTTTAGACACTCTAAAAGAGAAAAAAGCCCTGCTGTGCTCAGAAACTGACAAAGAAAGCATGAAAAACTACAACAAAGCAGTGGATTTCTTTACACCTACCTACTAAAATTGAACAAATACTATGAATAAACAGTGCAGTCACGTACTTTAGTCACCAAGAAATTTCAATATATTCAAAATAAACTTATATGATGATTTACGCTATATTTTAGCACCAAAATAAGACATAATTCTATTAAATCCAGATTATATCCCAATACACTCTAATACCCCAAATAAATCCTATTAAATTCCCTCTTCTCCATACATATAAATATATAAATATATAAATTCCTTTTATTTCCGTTATAACAGTCTTAAGTGCCCAGTGACTACGTCTATTTCATCTTCATACCATGGCCCAATAAATGTGACTGTGTGAGTATTTGGCTCCACCTGTGTCCTTCCTGCATCTATTATTGAAGTATATGGGATCCTAAGTTTCTTCACTTTTCTGACTATTTCCTTAAGCTCCTCTTCTGTCTCTACCTTTAAGGATGTCTTTTTGAATCCATTGTACTTCCATATGCTGTTAAGTGGATTTTCCTGTGTGGCTGCCTGGTATGCAGCATGCATGGCCTGTGCCACAATCTTGCCCTTTCCCATTTTCAAGTCATTCCGGACAACTAAGACCCCCTTCACAGGCCGTGTCCCATCTACCACTATCTTTTTCATCTTCATAACAGATGCACTCCTGCCCACCAAAATAAACACAAGAACCAAAGACAGTCCAAGGAATATGCTAAGAATAATCCATAGAGGCATAAAATATTTTAAAGGATTTTCATAGTATAAGGCAATAGACAAAGTCAATTTAAAGAGACATTACAGTCAAGGAATAGTAGTAGATAAGGATATTTATCAAAGTTGGTTTATTTTTATCACTTTATGTGAATGTCTTTGGTGACTGCATCTTGCTTATTAATACTAGATATATTTCTTACTATTATTGACATATTCTACTTCTATTAATATTCTCTATCCATCCACTAGAATAGTCTTCTAGTACTAAGAATATTTCAAAGAGTGAAAATAAGAGTGAAAATATTCTTGATGAATTTAAAGTGAAAGTCTTTTGGTCTCAGAATAACCATGAGATATTTTATCATATTACCATATACTCCAGATATATTTAGTAATCACCATTATACACGTCAAATTATTTCAGTTTTATTCATATAACCCACTATAAACTCACAAGAAATCAAGGTGAAAAATAAAATACATATGAAGCAATAATACAGTTTATTTATTCAGTTACACCAGGATATATTTCATATTCTGAAGTATGGATTTATTATATCCTCCAAGAATAAATCTGTGTCTTTATGAATCTCTTCAATATTCTCCAGCAGATACTCTTCATATGGATATGCATTTTCTATTTCTTCCGGAGTAGAAGAATCTGCGAGACTGCATGAGAATCCATTTGCAAGACCATCTGATAGATCTGCATCCAGTGCAGTCTTTATCTTCTTTGTTTTTGTATCTTGCACTACTGAATTTGTCTTGTCCTTCAATGGGATCTGCTGTCTCTCTCTCCCTGGCATTTTATTTTCTTTCATTTTAGTATTTATCCTAATAGAAGTTTTCTTTTGGGACAATGTACTCTACGCCTGTGGATGTCCTGACAGAATAATAAGATCCAATGACTTTCAAGAGTTCTACAGTCTCGCCCTTCCTTATATAAATAGTCCCATTGTATATAAAATCACATTTTGCCCTCATATGCTTATTCTCTGTGCTCACTCCAATTGGTGGCATTCTTATCTCACCACTCCCATACCTTCTGCGCACCAGGGATTTATTCCTTAATTCTCTTCTCCTTTTATTTCGCATGTACCATTTGCTGGCGTACAGGATTCCTTCGAATAAAGAACAGATTAGGTACAGTGAAACTGCAAGAATTGACTTTCCATCAAAGTCCTTCTGTATGAGGAAGAATATTCCTACGAATATGCTCATGGTAAAAGAGACAAAATACACTGACGCATTAAACATTCTCCTGAGACGGGATGGCATAGAGACAAAAAATGGCAGAAAGAAGGGTAGTAAGTGCAATATGCAAGAGATAAAGGGAAAGAGGGTTTGAATTAATTTGTAGAAGAAAGTCTTCTGACTCAAATAGAACCTCAAACTAACTAATATTGACACAATGCCAACCACTAAAGAGACTTGTGTTTCCTTTAAGTACATTCTGCTGAGTTATTCAGGGGCTAGAAAATGTTTAATTTATTCACTTACTTGGTTGGTCTTTGATTAGATTAAGAAACCGAGACGGAGTAATTCTATTTATAGCAGAAATAACTGCATTTCCTTCATCAATTGGTAATTTCCTTCTGATTTCATCCTTTAGGAATTGTTGTAGATTATTTGCGATTACTTCTAGTTCTTCAGATGGCACCTTGTTCTTATAGATTAATTTGGAAATTTCTTTCATTCTTCTGAGAATATCCAAGGGGACACCGACTCTTTTCATTGGCTCAACTGCTGTGACTTTGAATATGGGTGGCTGTAATTGGACAATATTTAGGGGGTTATTTACTGGTTGGCTTATTTTGTTGTGTTGTACTTGGTTTATATCTGGGTTATATTGAGTTTCTTTGGATTTTTCTGGTAAATTTGTCTGTTGAGTGTCTTGTCTTATATCCTGTGGGTTTATATGAGACTGGTTGTTTGTGCTTACTGGAGTGGTTGCAGTGCTGTGGTTTAATAGTTTGACTAGGTCTGGGTTTATTAGGCTGTCTTTTTTGAGTGATTTTGCCTTTTGTTTTTCCTTTATGGTCTCTTCCTTAATGGAAATCTCCTGCAGTAGCATTGATCTTACATTTACTCTTTCAATTTGACTAATTTGTCTACCAAGTATCCGGAATATTTCCAGGTCTACTTCATTTTCTTGTGAATTTGCCATAAGATATCCAGTGTAAAAGTAATTTACGAATAATCTAAAGGTAATATTTAGGTTAAAGAAGGCATTCATGGCAATTCTGTTGGAAATAAGGAACTTTGCCTTCTCACTGCTAGATGGTTGTTCTAGTCTTTGGATTTCTTCTATTTTAATGTTCTTTAGTAATACTTCTCCAAATATTTTGTAGAATATTTTGTGCTCTGACTCGTTAATATTCTTATATGTATTTTGCAGTTGAATATTCTTCTTAATTGCATTTGATAGTTCTTCCTTACTTATCATTCGTCTACTCTTTATCACTTCTTGAATTGACTTTAAATCTTCTTCCTCCAAGGACGACAATTTGTGCACTTTCTTCTCATGAAGTATTATTTCCAAGCCTGTAGGAAGAATCTGTGATGTGTCAATTTCATTGAGATCAATTATTTCTGTTGCAGTTGATATTTTCATGTACTTCCTGTCCACTGCCACCAAAGACCTTTTCTCATCCAATTTACACTCAAAGACCTTCATGGAAAATAAAAATATTCTATTATAATTACTTCATTGTAAGTATACTGGAATATAGTGTAATGGAATGAAGTTTAATGAAATGGAGTATTTAACGGATTTTATTCGGGTTATATTCAAGTTATTTTCAGGTTATTCGGGTTATATTAGGGTTATATTTGGACTTTATTAAGATTTTAACGTATTTTATTCAAGTTATATTCAAGTTTTAACAGATTTCATTAAGATTTTAACAGATTTCATTAAGATTTCAACATATTTTAACAGATTTCATTAAGATTTCAACGGTTTTTATTAAGATTTCAATGGGTTTCAACATATTTCATTAAGACAATAAACATTCAGGATATAAATACGTTAAAGATACGTTAATGAATTCTTCTTTATTCAGTGGTAGTCTGCAGACTATTTCGCAGGCTCTGGTAAAGATGGAATAATTTCCCTGTCTGATGCTTTTCCTTCTTCTAAATCTACTTCTATCTTGCCATTTTCTATTTTTACGGACTTAATCCTTCTGTTAGGATTAATTGTAAAACAGACACATCCTTCTTCTTGGCTGCATTCCTTATAGGAGTCTTCGTCTACTTTCTTCTCTTTTTTATATTGTATTTTTACTTCTCCACCCTCTCCTCGTTTAATTTCCGTTATTTTCACATCACTAGGGGAAATGTCCTTTGGCAAACACATCTTATAGTTCATTTGCTCCTGGCCCTGGACTGCTTGATTCTGCGGGTCATTTGTGCAGACTTTTGTGCAGTCACCAGGTGGACATGGGCTGCTCATACCAGCAGACCCTGTGCTATTGCAGTTATTATTATTGTTGTTGTTGCAGTTATTATTATTGCAGTTGTTATTGTTACAGTTATTAACCATATTTCATTTAATTTTGGTTATATTTATAGATTAATTGACCAATAACTGTCTGTTTCATGCCCCTTAGAATGGACTAATTAACCCCAGGGGTTATATAACACATAGGACAATGTAGCATAAATATCACATGAAACTACATAATATTATGACACATTTCATCATTAATTCTCGTTGTATTTTGGATGAAAGTGTCCAAAATGTAGTAATATTTCAGACAAAATAGTAATTTATAACCGTAGATAGGACTATTTACTGTGTATGTTATATTTATCACTTTATGTGAATATCTTTAGTGACTGTATTCCTTCTTATTAATACTGTATATATTTCTTACTTTTGTCATATTCTACTTCTTTTAATATTTTTTCATAACTAGTAGAATAGTCTTCTAGTACGGAGAATATTTCAGAGTGAAATTAAGAGTGAAAATATTCTTAATGAATTTTTGGGATTGAGATATTTTACCATATTAGCATATATCCCAGATATATCACACATTCTTAGTCTAGTAATATGAATATTTCTGTCTGTTTATTCTTGCACTTTTGTTGAGTGCTGTGGTATTTTGTATTTCATGAAAATCACTCATGAATGGACTACAAGGGGATGAATTAAAATAAAAATAAATATTCCAGATATAATCTTAATTGTGGTAATATGAATTTATTATTGCAATCCACCAAGAGAATTCTATTCGTCTGGGTTTACTAGATTGTCCTTCTGCCTGTGGGCTTTGACTTTTCTGCCTGGATTGCCTTGTCCTGGAGTCTTTCAAAATAACTCATGAGACAATCGTCTTTTTCGCTTAACTTCTTGTTCATTCTACTAAGGGTGTACAGTACCCTCTTATAATTATCCTTTGTTACCTTTGAATTTATAGTTTCCTTTGGGATTTCTTTAATAAGGTCGTATGAAATTCTGATTCTTTTTGGGCAGGGTGGATTACTTTCGCATGCCAGCACAAAGAAGTCCATCAGAATGTTTTCTAATTCATTTGATGCTTTTGGTAAATATTTCTTAAATATTTCAATGAAATTATTTGCGTACAGTGCTTTTTTATATTTAAATAAACAGATGTACAGGTTTAGATTGCTAAATCTTGGATAAAATGGAGAATATTTTGTCATATAACAGAAAGTATCAAAGCATATCAAAAATACCTTTGGATCTTCAGTTAGTGCATAATTAAAGATTGACTGCATTGATTGGGAGAGAAGTACTTCCTGGTAGTACGTGTCAATTGCAGATTTATCCGTGTCTGTTGTATAGTTGAAAATATTCGAGTTTTGGTCTTTTAAGTTTAGTGCGTAAATTATAGGTACTATAAGTGCCTTGCACCGCATCCTCCAGTTCTGCAGTTCAGTGCTTGCAAGTAAATTTATACCCAACTGTATTAAAATATGACCAGGAGCAAGATCCTTCTTAATTCCCTGCATAAATATGAAGATAATCAGGTCTATCTTATAATTAACCTGATTAATCCTGGATAGTTTGAATAATTTGTTAATTTCCGTTATAGTTGGTTTTTTTATAATTGATTCTATACTAGAGGTAAAATTAACTGGAGAAGACCTATGTTCCTCAATGATTCTATCAATGAAGTCTTGGCATAAGTGATTTATGAAGTAATTCTGGCCCCTCAGAGAATTCTTTATCTTAAAGTATTTCTTCATTGTCTGGCTTACAAAAGGGTCTTTGTATGCAGTGAAAATATATGTGAAAATTCTTGGCTTCTTACAGGCTGTCTGAAATTTGGAAATCTTCGGGTTAATTGTAAACTCAATGGAAACTGCCCCAAAAATATCCAAATTATCACGAGTATCTTTATACTGCAGATCATCAAAAAATATTCTTACTCCATCAAAATTATCCGTTAAATTATACAGTAAATCCTGAATGCATGAATTAATTACAAGAGGGTCTTCGTCTTCACCCTTATGGAATTTAGTTATAATTTCCGTTAGACCAAACCTCTTCTTAATTTGCAGCAAGTCACACACCATATTAAGACACCCTAGTATACCTGTACTAACTAAATTTAAATTATAGTTGGAAATTGCCTCAGTGATTGCTTCGTACCATGCATGTCTGCATTCATCCTCATGGAGTACCCTAGGGACCTTATAAATAGAGAAGAATTTCTTAATTATTTCAGGTGCATTTTTTATCTTTTCAGTTGAATATCTTTCTGTTTTCAAATCATAAGATATCCAGGCAATTAGACCCAAAATGGAATCCAACTGATTTTCATCTTTGTATGCTAGATTGAACTTTTCTTCACTACAGGAAGAGAACCTAGAACTATCACTTCTGCAAGAATCTTCAGAGACTTCAAAGACTTCTTCATCTTGCACAGTAAGAGAAGACTCCAAGGCACCTGCATAAGAGAACCCTTCTGGTCTATTGTATTCAACAAAGAATCTATTAAGTATCTTAGGAAATTCTTCTTTCAGCTTAAACTTACACGAAGTCTTAATATTCGAATATGTCTGAAGTAAGTCATAGACGGCTTGGAAGAATAGTTTTGCAGAGTGCATATCTAAATATGCATAGAGAAATGACTGTATTAAGAATCTGGGGTTCTCCATGAATGACCCATCTGCGGTTGTATTTTCCGTTAAATTATTTGAAAAAAACTGTTTCTCTGTAAATGCAGAAATAATGTCATCTAGTACACTGTAGTACGAGAAACATTTCTGATCTTTTATAAAGCACAAATCAAGTTTGAAGAATTTCTTAGTTCCATCGATCGAGGCTAAGGTCAATAACTCAATTGTATCATGGGGTTCCCTGCCTTCTAAATATATTTTTGTATTTTTGTCTTTGTGCCGTATTAAGTGTGTCCCTAGGCCAACAGGAATTCCTTCTGACATAAGAAGGAGGGAGGCAAGTATGTGGTAGGAGTGCTTTTTTACACTAGGTAGTTGAAGGAATTGACAGAATGTTGCCTTCCACCGTGCAGATTCATTAATAATTTCTAGTGATTTATTGTGAGACGGGAAAAATCTAAGAAGTGCTTTGTAGTATTTATATCTGGCAGTTATATTTTTACTACTAGAGGGCCTTGGGTGGTCTAAGGATGAGGCCCAAGTGAAGCTAAAGGACGGGAAATTTTCGTCTTTCAGAAAAAGAATTTCCATTTGGAAGTCCAGGAGAATTCCAGGGGAAAAGAATCTTTTGTTATGGATGTACCCCATATAGTGGTGAATATAGCCATGTACTAAGTTTAATGGACCAGAAGGATTAATTCTAACAGGAATTTCATTAGACCCATTAATGCAGTGGTCTTCTAGTGCTTTCAAATTTGAAAGTGTCATTTGAGTCTTGCAAAGTGCAATGGAAAGGAACAAGAACCCCATGCACAGCAAGCTATCTATCTGTCTCTTTTGAATTTTCATAATTTTTCAAAAAATTTTCATCTAAAAGTAAATTTTAATTATAGATAAGATAGATTCCCATTAAGTCTTATCTTATATGGAATTTAATCTATTAATCTATTAATGCAGTCTATTCAATCGTGTATTTCATGCTTTTTATTATATCTCAGTTATTCCTGTGTGGATGAATTTGAAATTTGCATCTGTGTGTGATCCAGCACAATATTTCATTTCAGACTGGGAGATTCTACTATGCACTATAGACAGTAGTATACACCATATTATTCTCAGCACACACATTGGTGCATGGTATATTGAAATTTTCAAAGATAAAAACCGTTAAAATTCTTATAAAAACCATTAAGAACCCCAGGAATAACTATAAAAGTAGCACTTTGCCAGGATAACCAAGGCACACACGATGAACTGCATGGTACAGTATATTTTAAATAAAGTTTCTTCATGGATTGGTCCTGTCCTAACAAGAATCGCATTAAGAATAGTAAAATTACTGACTTCCACTCTCCCATTACCCTCAGTATAAGAGATCAGACCAAGAATCCTGTATAATTTAATCACACCGTATACAATCCGTGACTTAAGAAATTTACTTTCCAAAGAGACAACAGAAGGCACAATTAAGGCATCAGATGACTCAGTATAAATAACAGAAGGCATCCTGTGCCTGGGACATGGAATTATCTTCATAAGCTGTGGCATACTAAAGACAAAGTTAAATAACTGTGGGAATAGAAATAAAAAAAGAGTCTTAATGAATCCACCGAATAAACCAATACAAAGCAATGAAGACCCAGAGAAATAACAAAATACATCCCCAACAAAGCACCTAGCAGGATACTTATTCCATAAGAAAAGACCAAAACTAGACATAAATAATGAAAATCCCATTAAACCACTCAAAAGACTCTTTTCATCAGAGAATAAACACCTATCCAAGGAGATCATCCCACTAAGAACAAGAACCTGACCGCATTCCACTCCATTTATTCCACTCAGAATATTAATTGCATTAGTGAAGTAAACCCCCAAGGCAAAGAGAAAAACATAAAGAAGCCAGCCTAAATTAACTATCCCATACAAAGGTATACACATATACGTACTCCCAGTGTATGTTATAAATAAAGGAAGAATTGACAGAGCAGGAAACAGAAATTTGCAAGACCAACTTAATTCTACTGTGTCATCAACGTACCCTAATAGAGTATTTAGAATGACAGTATTAGAGAAAATAAGAAGACTTTCTTTGTGATTGGGAAAAAACAAAGAGAATAAGAAGATCCCAAAGACAAAGGAAATTGCAGATGCTAACCCAATTGACTCTGGTAATTTAACTTTCTCTTTTTTATGGAAGTCTACACCAAAGGATTTACTAAGTTGCATAAAGTACTTTGAAAGTTTATAAGAAAGTACCCCACACAGTACAGGAATACAATACACTAATACACTGTATATTATCCTATTTAATGGATTCCTGGCTATTATTACAGTATCTTGGTCAGGTTCACTTTTTGATGAATTTTTATCTATATGAGAACTTTCACCAGAATATACTATAAATTCCCTCTGTATAACCCGACTATCCAGTAAATTATCACATTCTACTGGATAACTGGTCCCTTGTACGATGAAAATAATAAGGAGGCAGAAGACTGCTTGAATTACGTGCCGTCCAACCATTAGAGAATTTCACTCTCCAATTAAATTTTTTACTAAAATATTCATATTCAATAATAATTGTTATTTTCTTATCTATGGAGTCTATTGAGACAAAAGGACTTTTCAAAGAAGTAAATGCATTAATTGCACGGCCAGACCAAGAAAGAATGCTTAAGTATTTTAAGCTTGATGGGTACATCCGGGTTAATACATATTTTATTTCTCCTTTCTCTTTAATTAGCATAAAGAGAGGACTACAGAACTTTCTTGTCTCTTGGGAAATGTCAGAGACCGGATGGAAGTTTTTATTCAAGAACAATGCCTGGGTGTACTTTAAAGGATCATTTACCAGCCAGATGAAGGATGGCCAGATAGTTCATATAAAGATAGATTGTCCTAAGCCAGAATATAACTCAGAGATGCATTATGCCATACTCATACGGTACTTCAAGTGCCTGGATACTTTCTACTTTATGGTTTCTGGTTTTGATGAAGACTTTGAGATTCTGACAAATCCACTGGGGAGTTTCACTAGATGGAGTCCCATACAGAAGTAGACTTGGATTATAGTCTTAAATGTGCAGATTACGTTGTAAAATAAGTCTATCCTTGGTTCATGGCTAATTTACTTTTCATTTGGAGGTTGAAAGAGAAATTTTAGTGAAAGAAAAAAGAGAGAGAAAGTGCACTAATCGATGGGATCACAGAATATGCCAGGACAATGAAAGAATAAATCATATAACCTACAATATACGTTAGAGTGGTATATTCTTGCTACTATTTTATTGAAGTATTTTGTGATATAATTATAGTAGAATTTAATTTGTAGAATAATACCATATTCTAATTAACTATTCCTTTGGGTTATATAATACTATACTGTAGCATAATTTATATACATTTTAGTATATAAAATAGACACTTATTAAATCTCTTAAATATTCTTTATAATTATGGAAATATACCCCATATATTGTACTCCTGATCACAAACATACTTAAAGCACACGACTTCCCAGTAATATACTCTATTTTTGTAAAACAGAAATATTCTATTTATAAGAATTCTAGTTATATTTATATATGACACAACAAGATATACGAATATATTATAAGATAAGCAATATACACTCTATCCCTGGAATATCTACTCTTCTTGTTATTTCTTTCTCTCCAGGAATTTCTCACTATTCATATTATATTTTTCTTTAAATTATCTTGTAATTTTCTTTGTTTAGCATGGAGTATTATGAGAAAGGTAAACAGCTATTACTGGATTTAATAGAGAATGGACCCAGGACAATATTTGAGAGACTATTCGGCAAGAACACACACATTGTATTTCTGGGCATTGATAATGCAGGCAAAACAACCCTCCTTCTGAGGCTTAAAACTGACACAGTTCATACAGTAGCACCAACACAGTCAGTCCGTGAGGAAACCCTGCAAATTGGAAATATGAAGGTAACAATAAAAGACCTAGGAGGACACGAGGCAGCCAGACTAGGATGGAACACGTACTTCATGCAGTCTGAAGGAATAATATTCCTAATTGATATCACAGACTTTGACAGATACGAAATAGTAGCAAAGACATACGCACGACTCTTCTACGACATGGAGATGTCCGGGAAGAAGTCACTCCCTGTGGCTGTCCTGTTCAACAAGACAGACATGTGGAAGAAAGTATGGGCCATGAGACACCCGCACGAACCAGCTCCAGTCCTGGATGAAGCCTATCTAAATTATATGTGTGGCCTACTGGGCATAACAGTGGGTGAGGGCGAGAATGGCAGGAGAGTATCTGCTAGTTATTGTTGTGTAGTTACAGATTCCATTTCCACCCCAAATAATGGGTTTATGCTTGCCTTTAAGTGGCTGGATATGATGATTAGAGCTGAAAAATAAACTATCCATGGGAACATGCTTTCTGTTATGTCTTCAGAATGTGTTTACAAATTAATTGGTTAATATGTTTCATACTTCATAATTACCCATTCCCTGGCACCAATTATTTCTTTTTTTTCCTGCACAGCCACAAGAAATCCAAAAGTGTTTCAAATTTCAAAAGCCTATTCGCAGGAACAGATACAAGATCATACTGGAAAGGATTTAAATAAAATTCAAGAGAATTTACATGAAAGTGTCCTTAATTATTGGATTATGCCTATCTTATATAACAGCAGCATATTACGGTGAGTCTTGGAGAACAGACCCAGCACACCCATTCTCTGTGTCTTCGCCATATTTCAACTCAGTGGATTATTATAGAAGAAGGGGTGCCTGGAGTAGATTTGGAAATCCACTTATAACACCATATTCCAGGTTATATGGGTCTGCATATCACGCAGCCAAGTTAAATGCATCTTACAGCCCACATGCATACGGACCATGTGGTCAAGCATATGCAGCTGGGGCATCAGATTCAGCCAGGGCAGCAGCTGCTGCATCCAGTGGGTATTCCAGGTATTCCAGGTCTATTTCAGGACTAGCCCCATCATATTGCGATGAACCCATGCTTTCTCCATTTTCAGATCCACCTTTATACTAGGACACTGGGTCATGGATCTTAAATAAATAAATTGTACAGATTTCAGTTATAGATATATTATGGCAGGTTTCGGGCTATTCGGGTTATATCTTGTCTCTTTGACTTTTTGTCGTTGTGTTTTGTTTTTTGTTGTTTTTTGTCGTTGTTATTGTCGTTGTTTGTTGTTGTTTTTTGTCGTTTTGACTTTTTCATTTTTTTCTTCATTGTATACTAGAGAGTATAGTAGTGCAGTAGTATAGTAGTATAGTATAGTAGTATAGTAGTGTAGTGTAGTATACGGGAGAGTGAAATTTTATTAGTCTATATATTAGTCTATATTGCAGTCTATTAGTCTATATTACAGTAGATTACACTAGAGTACGTTAGGTTTTAATTATATTACACTAGAATGCACTAGAATACGTTATATTTTGGTTATATTGGTCTATATTTCACTACATTACAATAGAATATACTAGAATGCACTACATTACAGTCTATTAGTCTAAAACCCACTATATATCCACACTAACACTTCACTACTTCTACATGAATACACTTCACCTTAATTGGTCTAGACTAATTTATGCCTTATACTAGGATATTCTGGCTAGTTCATTAATATGCAGTGTATGAATCCGTTTGATTTTCAAATTAATTTATTACTGGAATTACCCGAATATTCTGAATTACCTGAATATTTGTGCTTGATAATGCACTGGTATTTCTGAATATTTGTTGCCTTGAAGTAATCTAAGTCATTTGTCACCTGAGGATACGCAATTATTAAAAAGCTAATTTATGTATGATGTTTTCGCGTATGGGAAATGATAGACCCACTGAAGGAATGAGTAAAAAACAGAAGAATCTTACAATGAGGGCACTTCATCAAGTAGAAAATAGATTCATTTCCAGAAAGAATAGTGAAAATTCCTTAGGAACCAGAGTGACTGTAAAACAATTGAAGCTAAAATACTCTAAAGTAAGTGGATTTTTTGAAGCTATATGAAAATAAACAAACGAGGAGTAATTGAAGAGAGAAGAAAACAAAAAAAAGCAACAGCAAAAGACTATATCTTGCAAGGTGGATCTACAGCACTAATTCTAGCAGTCTCTGATATACTAGGTCAGCTAGTACTAGGCGGAATTACTTCGTACGTTCAAACCCCTCTTCTCATGGGATTTTATGGCTTTATGACTGGAAATCTGAGTTTTTTAATGTACACCAGAATGGACAGTTACAGCTCAGAGAGATTTGACAGGATTAAAGGACTAAGTGCCATAAGGATAAAGATAGCCCTGTATAAAATGCTATTTGACCAGCTTGTTTGGTCACCATTCGGTACATTTATGTTTATTTTTGTGGCTAGCCTTGTGGATAGTTCAGATTTCAGCATAAAAAAGGTTCTAAAAGACTATTTTAGAATACTTTTTGACAGTTATAAAATATGGCCTATCTTGCAAATGATTAACTTTTTATTTGTTCCGTTAGAAATGCGTGTAGTTTTTATTAGTATGGCTTCTTTACTGTGGAATACGTATGTGAAAATAGCCAGGCAAGGATAGACAGAATAAATTAGTCATGAAATAAACGAGATTTTAATGAAATAAATTTGTAAAAATACGTATGACAGCAGACGGGTTAGTGCTTCATAAGGACTGGGTATCTTTGTGTAACAGACTTTTAAAGAACCCAAAGACCCATCTTAAGGAAATATCCAGGATGCTTGGTAGATCACAGAAATTCATGGCTGCAATTTCTGGCTCTGGTGAATCTCCTGCTTATGCCTCTTATGCAGACACTCTAAGAGAGACAGTGGAAAGAATTCTTTCTGTTTTAATTTCGAATTGTACAGATGCAGATTCACATCCTGGGATATTTTATATTATATCCAGCTACAAGAATGCTTTTGTCTGTGACTTTACACCAATTATCCAGATATTTCTAGTGGAAAGTTCATCTTTTTATATTCTACGGATTATTGAGCGAATTTGCAGTCATCCGGAAATTATTGAAAAATTAGAAGAGACAGAAGTACAAATATTAATGAAATTAGGGGCATATACCACTGACCCAGAATATTCAACAGGAGAATTTGCAGTCCGTGGGATATTTAGTCTATATAAAAGGAAGAAAGGAAGGCATCTATTTCTTTCAGTTTTATCAAAATCTTTCCAAATAAGATATCTAGATCTTTTTGTATCAAAAATATTCCCAGAGATAATTGCCTCTGAAGACTCTAGATTTGTAATTTCAATGATAGAAATTCTCTCAAAAATCAAAGAAATTCCCATCCTACTAATCTCACAGAATGCAAAGAGAGAGACTCTCCTGGCATTCCCCAGTGTATTACAAGAAAGAATTTGGAGTAGACTAGAAAGTGAGAAATTACCACAAGAGTACATAGCAGGAATTAGTCTAGCAGCCAAAGTACCAGAACTATTCAATATAAATAGACTAATTAGACTCCTTGTCAACCACAAAGATGAAAATATATTATACTCCCAGGGAGATGCCTTAATACACTGTCTTAATACACTGAATATCTCAAATTACCACATAACAGAAGAAGATAACAGGATTATTGCAGAAGAACCAGAAGAACCAGAAGATAATTCAAACAAGAGAATAATCTCTATAGATAAGCACTTGCTAACTGAATTCCTAAAAAGACTGTTATTTCACTCAGATGGAACCAGAATAGAATATTGCAGAATACTTTTCACAGTGAAAATTCCCTCTCAAAAGGAATCTATCCTAACCTTATTAAGGAATAAAAATATTCGAGTCAAATGGAATGCACTCAGAACCCTGACAGTATACACCCTCACAGACCCAGAAATAACAAAAATAATCACTCTCTTGACAACATCTCAAAATGAGAAAATTAAGATGTGGTGTCTAAAGATACTTGAAGTAAACAAAAGGAAAATAAACCCAAATTTATTTCAAATGAAAGAGTCACAATATAAATCAGAGATGGAAGAAATATTGAAAAGAATAAATAATTGAATATTTTCTTTTTTATGGCAGTAAGCAAGAGAAGAATCTCTCAGAAATGCAGAAAAACAGAAGACACTGATATCCCATCAGATAATGAAGAAGAAGGCATAAGATTTGATCCAAATAAAAAAGTACTCAGAGCCAGAAGGAGAAATGAAAGGGGACCTACTGCGAAAGTGAGTTTAATTGGGAGTGAACCACCAAGGTACTCAATGGACCAGAAGCTAAAGGGTTTAAATCACTCATTCATTCAGTCTGTGACCCTGGCATACAACAAGGATAACACGTATAATTTCTCAAGTATTTCCAGTCAATATACGAAGTACAGGGAAGAAATAGTTGAAAGAGAAGGAGTACATGGGACAAGCCTACTAAATACAACGCAGAGACAGAATATGGCAGATATTCTAAGGGCAGGCTTAGGGCAAACCACTCCATCAAAGCCACCCATGGACCAGGACCAAATGAAAAAGGCAGAATTCATCCTAGGGCAGCACGGGTCAATTGGAGCCGGATTATTCGGGGCAGCAGCCTTGAACAGACAAAAGGAAGAGGAAAGAGCAGCCTTAGACGTATCTCAAACAGAAAAGAAGCAAGAGACTGCAAAAAGATCAGAGAGTATGCCTAGCTCACCAAAGAAGGTGGCCCAGAAGGAAGACACCCACAAGGCAGAGTCAGCAGATGAAGTAAACTTGAGGGAACCAAAGGAGACGAGAGAATCAAAGGGAGAGACAAAGGGAGAGACAGTCTCAGAACCAACTGAACTGGCACCAGGAAAGAGCGAGAAGCAGAAGACACCTAGCTCACCAAAGAAGGACGTACACCAGAAGGAAGCTCACAAGGAAGAAGTGAAGGAGTTAAAAAGTGCAAAGTCAAAGGAAGCTCATACTAAAGAAGTCAACAAAGATTCTCACCATAAGGAAGCCCATAAGGATACAACAAAAGGCGTAAACTCAAAGGAAACAACAAAAGATTCCCACAGTAAGGAAGTCAGTAAGGAAACAACAAAAGATTCAAAAGAGACAAAAAACTCCCACAGTAAAGACCCCCACCAGAAAGAAGTCAAAACCAAAGACTCCCACAGTAAAGAAGTCAGTAATGAATCGGTGAAATCTGGCGACAAGACCAAGTCAAACTCTTTATTTGACATGACCTGCAAGGTGTTTGTCAGAAATACATCACGCTTTGAGGATTTAGGGTTTCACCGGGTTGCAGTCAAGGAGGTGCAAGGTAAAAGAACAATTATTGTGTATGATAATAAGAAGAAGAAGGAGACTGAGATGATTTCTGTCTCTTTGGATAAAACTTCAATTCAGTCAGACAGATCCCGTAAGGAACTTGCTTTTGTTGAACCATCCAGCACCCTGCTGTACAAGATAAAACTGGCTACCTTGGAAGATGCAACTGCCTTAAGACGTGCCTGCAATTCTGAAAATACTTCAAGTACAAAATAAATTAACAGGTTTAACGGATTTAACGGAAAATATTCTAAATAACTGTAGAATAAGTTAACGGATTTAACGGATTCAATGGAAATATTTCAGACTACTACAGGATATACGGATTTGACTGAAAATATTTCAGACTACTGCAGAACAATGAGGTATTTCAGACTACTACAAAATAAATTAACAGGTTCAATGGGGATTTTAAATAGCTGTAGAACAAATGAACAGGTTCTTAACTGAAAATATTTCAAACTACTACAGAATAAGTTAACAGATTTAACTGAAATATTTCAGACTACTACAGAATATATTAACAGATTTAACTGAAAATATTCCAGACTACTACAGAACAATAAGGTACTTCAGACTACTGCAGAATATATTAATAGATTTAACTGAAAATATTTTAAATAACTGCAAAGTATACATATTTAACTGAAAATATTCAAAATAACTACAAAACAATGAGGTATATTCATGTTCTCCACATATTCATATCCATATTTATTCTCTCTCCAAATATGTTTTATATTTTGCACCTAAATATTCAGAAATTCGAAACACTTCAACAAAGATGCAGATGCAGAAGTACTTAGAGAAGGAAGAACTTGTAGAACATGAAATCCTGTTGCATGGGACTGCTAAGTCACTTAATGATGCAACCTTGCAACTCTCAGAAATTAACTCAGTTGTAACTGCACAAGGAGAAGTACTTGCTAAAATACAACGGAAAATAAACCAGACTGAAGACATGTTAAAGAAGGCCAGCAAGAAGCTCTCTTTGCTCCTGCAGAAATCAAAGAAAAGAAGGGTTTTCTCATTCTGTTTACTCTGCTTGACAACCCTCGTTGTATTTAGTATGTTCGTCTATGCATACAAATAAACATGACAATGAACAAAATAAGCCAGACACTGAACAGTCTACCAAAGCAAATAACTAAGTCAATTGAGAGTATACCAATTAACTATAATATCATGGTTATGGGGGAAAGTAGCACAGGAAAAAGTTCGTTAATTAGGGATATATTTGGACTAGATACAGCAGAAGGAATTTCAGTTGAATGGGATGATGACTTACTCCATGAAATTGGTGACATGGCATGCACTGCAAACCCACTGGCCCAACTAATAAGCATTCATCCTTCAAATTTGGAGAAAAACAAGACTACAATCACAGCCACCAGATATACCCTGAAGGAGCATGAAATTAAAATGAAATTAACCGTATATGAAGTGGGTGGAATTGGAGATGCAGTGAATAATCTATTCGATTGGGTACCTGCAAAGAATTTAATCATGAACAGATACGAAGAATATCACATGGAAGAAGACAAAGGCATACTAGATAATGATAAAAGGATTCATGTATGCTTATATCTTGTTAAACCAACTGATGTACTACGGGAGATAGACATAGTTACAATGCAAGTACTAGGGGAAATAGTCAATGTTATACCAATTATATCTAAGGCAGATATGTTATCAGATGAAAAGTACATAGAAATGAAGGAATATATGCTTTCTACACTTATCTCCAATAAAGTCCGTTTATTTGACTCAATATTAGTTGATGAGTGCAAAAAAGTCGTTGAGATTAATTTCATGCCTTTAAGGTATTCTTCGCCTAATAGGGCATATTCATATGGGGAATCAGTAGGTCAGGGTGTCAGTGACATAAAAACATTGCAGAATCTTTTGATATCGCAGCATCTTGTGGATTTAATCGAAGTAACTGACAAATACTACGAGACATACTACAGGGAGAAGATGATAATTGATATTTTCAGACAGAAAAATTCAAAGATAAGTGAAGACTTCCAACGGATGCTTGGCCTAGAAGAGAGCAAAATAAAGAAGATTTCAAAGAGAATAGAGCAAAAACAAGCAAGTTATCAGATGCTTATAGCACAGCATATAAGTACACTCCCAAAAGAGCTTTTATAAGCACATGAATAAATTCAGGTTCATGAAGGTTTTACTTTTACTCTTTTACTTTTATACCATATAGAGTTTATTATAGATTTTATAACGGGAAATTATACACTGTAGATTTTACTATAGTAGGAGTTATAATAGTAGGATTTATAACAGTGGGATTTATAACTGACTTTATAGTAGAATTAGTATAGTAGTAGAATTTACAAAAATAAATTTATAATAGTAGAGTAGTACAGTAGTAGAATTTATAAAAAAAGAAATTCACAATGAAATTTACACTAGAGTATTATAGTAGAATTTATTACAAAAGAAATTTACAATAGAGTATTACTACAAAAGAAATTCACAATGAAATTACAATAATATAAACCATAAGTATATTCTAATGAATAATCCTCTTATATGTATATATGTATGCTTATACTACTGTACGTACAGTATATCTCGTTTAAATTAGTCTGGGATACATGAAACCAGAAAGTATGAAATTAATTTATATTATTACACTAACTAGAAGTAATAAGCACAGGATATATACAAAGACACCTCCAGTTGACTGCAAATAATTACCCTTACTCTTCTTAGACTACTAATACACTATACTTCCAATAAGAAAATCACCAAATAACATAATTTCATCAATATTCTACAGACCCAATTATACCCCACTAAATAACTCCCTTATATACGAATATTCCATCTACTCTAGTACTTCCAAATAGAAGAAATAATATATTTTCAAAAAGTTCTTTTTCATACAAGCACAAAACAGAAATAATATTCCAGTCAATTAATAGTAGTATAAGACTAGATATAGATACTTATCAAAAGTGCTCTATTTTTATCACTTTTTTGTTTTAGTCTCTCTACTACTACTAAATAATTCTACTAGTAGTAATTTTAAAGAAATTTTCATCTTGAATTTTCTTGTCGACAACAGTACAACAGTACTAGTATTCAAATAACCTTTTGTCTTTCTATTACTTGTGAATATTTCTTACTATTGACACTCTCTCATTATATTACTATTTTCATACAATTATTAGTCTTCTAGTATACGAAGAATATTTCAGAATGAAATTTAGAGTGAAAGTCTCTTGAGTCTCATAATAACCATGATATATTTTACCATTAATGCCTTTTATTTAACTTAATTAGTCATTTTTACATCTATATATATCTATGCCTATATACGCCTATATACGCCTATATACGCCTATATACGTCCACCAATTACCACACCTATTTAACCCCCAAAAAAATTATTATTTCTCATTTCATTATGCCAAGAAAGGAAGGGAGCGTAGCACAGTGGGTTTTATTCCCAGCTGGAGCAGGATATTCAATATGCATGGCCCTAAAGGGTAAACTAGGTCTAAATGAGAATATTCTCAAACAGATATTCATGCCATGCAATTACGCAGTGTCTTGTATAATTATTTTGGCTCTAATTTTAGTCACTGACAAAAAGTCAGTTAGTAAACTGAAAAAGATATACAGTAGTATATTTGTGCTGTCTGCAGTATATATCATGGTAGCCAGATTATTCCCAGATAGTTTCATTAATAGATGTGCTACAATTGCACAGCACTATATAACAGTCTATTTCATCTGTGGTTCTATTTTCGCATGGGAAAGACTGCCACTTATTTCAATGCTTTCAAAGGAGATTTCTCCTAATACGCACTGGGACTTCAAGGTAGGATATGCCGTGTTGAATGTAGCCATATACTCTACTCATACGTATTCTTTACACTTTTTCAACAGTCAATTAGATCTATCCATCTGTGACTATGGATATTTCGGGTGTATGTCTGTCTTCTACATGGCAAATACACTCATTGGTCCATATGCTGAGAGAAATAGAGCAACAAAAAAGACAACTATTTTTCTGACTTTGGCTTCATCCTTTGTCTATACACTATTCTTGGTGATTCGTGTTTTAAGCAAAGGTTCTGTCCCAATGATCCCTATATATGCCCTGTTTGCTGTTTATCTTGTCTTACTTTCTGCTATTTTTCCGTTATATGATGTTCTTGTTTTGAACCATTTAGAAAAAGAATATAAAGAGATGGAACTGGCTGAGAGGAAGGAAATATTCACTCGTATTAGACTATGGGCATCGATTGGTCATGCTATCTCAGGCATGGTTATTTCATATCTTTATAAGACACTTGTTGCTAACCCTACTGCTATCTCCAAGAAAGATGTACCATTTGAGCTTTTTGTTGTTCTGATTGTTGTCGTTGTATGCAGTGCTGTTTGTTTTGCAGGAATTGTCCATAGATCCCTTGAGGAGAAAACGGATATTTCAACGAGTTTATTTAAGAAAAAAACCGTTGTAAAAGATGTCACTACGCAGGCTGTAGAGGTATCTGAAGAAGTGAAGAAACCTCAGAACCTTCTGAGGGACCCAAATTTCCTCTTTTTGATCTTTGTCATCACTGCAATTGGAGTCACAAGAGGGATTTCTTCTCACTATTTAGTCACTTACCTCTCAGTTTACTTTGAAGTTGAATTTTCCAAAGTCACTTCTATCTTGTGCATCAGAACTTTCAGTGAAATGTGCATTCTTTACTACAGCAAGCACCTTCTTAGGTTCTTTGGTTACCATTGGCTGCTTCTTTTTTCTCTTTTGGCTGCTACCTTGAGAGACTTTAATTACGCCTTGCTTCCAAACAGGTATACAATACTTTTTGCAACAATTAATGAAATGTTTAAGGGAATTAGCTCATCCTGCCTTATATTTAGTGCTGTAAATATAGTAGATGAACTTGCTGATAACAGCAACAAAGCCGTTGCTCAGACATTTTACAGTGGATTTTATAATGGAATATCCATTATGGTTTCTTCTCTTCTGAGTATTGGAATTATCAGGTGGTTTAAAGACTTTAGGTCACTTTTCCATGCATCATCCACAATTGGGTTTATATGCAGCTCCATTGTCATTATAAAATACGGTTTCATCGATAGAAAACTGCAGCTCAGAAAGAGAGAAAATATTAAGTGAAATTGAATTTACTTGCACATATATTCCTGGAGTCACTGAAGCTGGAATGTGCCTTCATATGGCTTATTATTAAATGAATATTTATGCTAATTCTTGTTCTTTCTTGTAGCTGTTTACTGTGGTTTCTGTTTAGTTTGGTTTTCTTTGGTTTCTTGTGGTTTTTTGTGTTTATTTCTTATGAATGGTTTGGTCTCTGGTCTGATGAATTTGGATTGTTTTAATATGTCTGTATTTGTGCTTATTTATGGCTTTGTTCATTCGAATATTCTATTTCCTGCAATTTGTCTTATTCTGGCATTATTCCTTTGGCTTTCAAATTCCTCCATTTTTGGTAATTTTATGTCTATAAATAGGCGTGAAAATGCGAAAATATGTGATCACATCGCCAAGGAGGAATTGTCTGGTTGGAGTACTATATATCCTGAAGGGAGATGACTGTGATGCAACGAGTAAAAATGCATTAAGGTATCTTGTGCAGAGGTTGAATATCAGCACTCTTGAAGGAACTTTCCGAAAAAAAGAAGTTCTTTATGGATTAATATAAGCAATTATCCAATCTATGCCATCAAAATGATCTCCTGATGGTTTCTTCCTTGGCTTCTGCTGTGGAAATTCTCGGATTGAGACATTACGATGCATTTTTCAATTGTATTTATATATGAAATATTGAATGACTTTTTAGTGTCTCTGAGGTAGACTATGTAGATGGTCTACCTGGGGTAGGTCCCCTTTCTATTTAAACTCTTCTTTGAGCCTGAATTTAAAATTGAAATTATTCAGTATATTAAGACTGTTCTATTATGGCCCTTGGATGGAAATATTTCAACAGGAAATGGTCTATTCCATTGTATACTCCATGTACTTCAGATAATTAAAGCACTTATTAATGAAATAGAAGAAATTAGTAGTAATTTAGTCAGAAATTCATGCTATAAGAGTATCTTCATAAGGAATGGGCTTATATGTGCACTAGGCACATGAATATTCCAGTTATATTTTGACTATATCCCACCTTACTTCCAATACAGAGACTCTTTTAATATTAATATTCTTAAAATATGCTAAAAACAATGTCTTAATTCATTTCCTGCACAAAAATACTCCTATTTCATTGGTTATTTATATATTTACTCCTATAAATACATATAATTTACAATCCAAATGATTTCTTATTTTAGTTAAAATATCCCAGAATAATTTCACTCCATGAAGAGAATCTAAAATGTCTTCCAGAAAGAAATTAAAAAATAAATAAAAGAGTTTTAAATAGGAATATTAAAGAACCAATAAAACACCCACTATAATAACCCAAAATTAACCAGAATATAAACCAATAAAACTACAATATAGACTAATAATTAGCTAAATAATCAGCCAATCAAACCCTACATATAATATCCAAATATATCTACAAATTATAACCAGATATAACCCGACAGTGTAAGATATCAACACCTCTAATTTTAATCAGAAATATTTCAGTCTTGTGGTAAAAATACCACTTTCATTATTCTGAAGCCACAAGAGTCCATCAATGAGAAATTCAACTTCTGGAAGAATTCCTCGTATACCAGAGACTAACTATATAATAGTAAGAAATACATCCAGTAAAAATACAAAAAATGACAGTTACCAACCGAAAAAATACAAAAATATAACACTCTGAATAACTACTCCTATTAGAGTCTAAAATACTACTATCTCCAGACTATCTCGTCACCCTCTTTGTACACTTCAAGTCTAAACATACAGTAACATCAATAATACCGGTATATTACATATTTTCCGTTATATGCAAATATTTTACATTTCCATCTAATTACCACGGGGTAAATCATATATATTCTCAAATTTTTTTTGCTGGAAAATGAGCGCAGTAATTACAGAAGTAGTCACTCACGTTGGACAAGTATTAACAACCAGTGCAGATGCAGGAAAAGTATTCGGGTTATTTGGGAATGGGATTGGGTGCATAGTCACTAGTAGCACGGCAATTAGTGTTGCCACAGCAGCAGTAGGTGTCTTAGTGCATGTGGCCATGATGTGGTTTGATATTTCCCAGACAGCAACCCCAAAGAATCCAAATGTAGTCATAAGCCTAGCAGACCTAACACGTGAAAGATTCTCAGATATTTTACAAATCGCAAATAATACCGTTATTTCATTATCTTTATTGCAGAATATAGGAATAATGATAATTTCCGTTATTTCTGCAATATTCATCCATGTTATGGTTACTTTCTCTCTGATAGAGACCTCATTGGCTGCAGGAAAAGTAGTTGGAAGGGTAGCTTCAGTGGCAGGAATGAAAGATGCAGTAGAGTACCCAGAAGAAGGGGCTGGTTTCATGAGGGAAGATGTAGATGGTGATACTCCTGGATATTTTTCAATTAAAGTATCCCGGGTGGGTAGATTTGTCAGTATATTTTCATTCTCAAAGTACGAGATTCTTATGATGGCACTGAGGTCTTCATGTCTTGTTGTAATTGGGTTTGTTGTTATGTGGCTTGGTTCTGTCTCATTAGGATATCTACTACCTAGTCTATTTGGTACTATACTAAGACCAAATTTAGTTGGGTTAAGTTCTTGGTCACTCATGGGCTTAGATGCTCTAACAGGCACTGAGTCTATGGGTCTTGTATCTGCCTTATTCTCTGGATTAATTGATTGGGCTACAACGGTCTATCTGCTATTTATTGTTTTCTTTAAGAATACGCAATATTTAACGAATATTATTCTATCCTTCATTACTACTCTATTTGTAATACCTGCATTCTACTCTCTTGCACGCCTTAGACCAAAGGAGTCTATAAAGAGTACTGCTGACTCTGCTATATATGTTGCTTGTGTTTTACTGTCAATTTTCCTGGGGATGGCTACTCTTATTGTTATGTTGTACCCTATTCGTGTAATTTCACTTGTATTTCCGTTAATTCAAAGAATTTTGGAATATCCATTGAGAGTCATTGCATGCACCTCCAGTAAAGCACTTGATCAAATTGATGCTGTAAGAATAATTTCATCAGGGAATGTGCCTGTGTAAGTGCTAGTATTCACTCACTCTTCATATCTTTAGATAAAATATCTGATTATTTTGATGGAATATTTAAAACCCTTCAGATATTTAAATACATCACAATAAAATTATCTACAGTATAGAAATTTTAAAAAGATGTGTTAGAAATAATTTAAATTATAGATCAATTAAGACACTTCTACCGTTATTCAAATATAATAAACACTCACTCATAATGCATTCTACATATTCTAGACTAAAATATACTCTCTCATATGCAGATATACCTATTTTTATGTCAATAAAATAATACTAAAGTGTTTCTGTCCCTTCCCCCATACTGCAACATAGTTCAAGCACAGGTATAGTTTAGTCAATGAAATATTTCCCACATACTACCCCATATATCCTATGTCTATCTATGGTATTTGATATTTTATCCACTAAATATATCTGCAATATAATTAGTATGTTATTTCTATCTATATTACCATATATCTAGGTGAATTCTATAAATATTCTTTTCTATCCTTCTAGTACTCTAGTACTTTTTTAATATTTTCTTTCAAAAAAAATCTTCTAGTAGAGAAGTCCTTTGGCTTCTTGAATACTCAGTGCGTCTGGATATACTAATAGAATTAAATTTAATTTGTTTAATTTGCAGCCTAATAGAGTCTAGTCAGCCTAAGATACGAATACTTTCCTGACTATTCAGTCTATTTCTTTAAGTTTCTTGCATAATCAGACTGTGAAATATAAAATGCAGTGAATTTGCAAGAATATTTATGTAACCAGTTTATTTCTCTTCTGGAATTCCTTCAGGAACCTCACGGGAATCAGCCAAATCACGCTCTCTACCAGAAATAATGGCAGATCTCTTCCTGCCAAAGCGTGCATTGATGGTTTTCCCATAGAAGTTTTGATTGTTCAGTCTCTCCAAGGCAACATCTCTGTCCTGTCTGCATATGAACTCCAATAGTCCATCTCCAGATGGAAGTATTCTTAGATATACTGGCCGTGCACCACTCATTAGAATGAATGACCTAAGTTCTGCCCAGTCCAAGTCCTTTGGAAGGTTCTCCAAGATAAGTCTAGAGACCCGTCTGGGTGCTGGTCTTTTTTGCTTGTACATGTACCTCCTTCCAAACTCTCCTATACTGCCTCTCTGGCCCTTTGCAGTCTCAATTACTATCTTGTTTCCGTTCATTTCATGGGTGTCTTCAAGGATCTTGTTACCAATATCCTCATCTACTGTAGCAAACCCATATGAACTGTATAGTTTAAGTGCTTGTACCCTTCCATACTGTGAGAGATAGTCCTCTATCTCTTTCTCTTGTGAAAATTCTTTTAATCCGCCGATATACAGTTGCATTGCTATGTGTTTATTGTAAATAAAAAATAAATAAATACATGAGATAGTAATCTAAAACATCGATAAGACCAATGTTTATTTGTTGTTCTCTTGAAGGAAAAAGGAATTGAGACTTTTCAGGCTTTTTTGCACAACTCAAAATCAAAGAATGAAATTGTAGAAGATCCTTAAATAGAGCTATCCATGTACTCTTATAGGATTTTTGTAATAATTCTTATGGAAGTTCTATTGAAATATTATCTTAGATTTCATTGAAATTTCACAAACAAATGAATATTTTATAATTAAATTTAGAAGAATTCTTTATGGTCTCGGTCTTATTATGGATCTATTTGTACATTTACTATTGTGCTTAGTCTATTCGGGTTATTGCGTATTTCTTGGGTATTTGTATTTCTAGGATATTTTTGGTTTTAAATGGATATTCGGGTATATTAGTAGTGAGTGTCTTCCTGGAGGGTTTATATTTATAGAAATACACCGTGGTGTAAATATAGTCAGGAATACACCATGGAGTATTTCTTGTTCTGCATAAATTACATACGAAGAGACAGAATATTCAGGTGGAAATTTCACTAAATGTATATAGATACACTTGAGCACTTGGTTTCATGAGGGTTATAGTTTATGCAGTGAAATTTACTGTGGTTTATGAAATTTACTGTAATTTATGGTGTAAAATACGTTTTGATGTGAAATTTACTGTAAAATACGTTATAAAATATACTGTAAAATATACTGTAATTTACACTATGTGCTATGCTATGAACACACCGCCCTTTCTTGCTATACTCATTGAATTATGTGAGTGCCTGTTTTCATGTTATTTCCATGTTATTCTTTGGGTGATTTTCCATCATTTATTTAAATATTAACCATACATTTTGTAACTGTAAAAAAACAAATCTGAACACTTTCAAGTTATTTTAAAATAATCTATAAAAGATACGGGTTAAATTTCAAGGGAAAAAGACTATTTATCTGTCTGATGGTTTATTTGGACTTCCCAGAAACAGTCTTGCTCTTCTCGCGTATGCGACCATATAAATATCTAATCCCTGGGATGTATGTCACAAGGCCAATTAGAGTCAAGATACTTCGCATATAAACCATCAAGAAAATCTCACAGAAAATTCCAACTGGATACAAGATCAAAGAAGAGATGTATCTGGGCTTCTTAAGAAGGTGACAACCGTAGTATAAAAAGCGAATCATATCAGAGACACCCCATATAAGAGCCATTAGCCCTGTGATAATTCTATTGTTATGCGTACAAGCACATCTGGAAATAAATACGCGAGAACCTATCTGCATAGCAGATGTCACAAAGCACTGCGAAGTTATTCCGAATACAGAAAGAATCAGCTCAAACATATACAATTCCTGCGCTATGACAAGAGTGTTTTGATATGTCTTCCGGGAATATCCACTAAGAAAGAAGAGATACTCCCGGGGAATAAATAAATCAAATGACTCAGAAAGAAGATCTAACCCAATAGAGATAACCAACCAAGATACAGCCATTCCAAATAGGTTGAAAAAAACTCTCACTAAATAAAGAGAAAAGGCCTTCTTAAGGACAGACACTCCCATTAAAAATAGTAAAACTTTTTTGAAATAATTAAATTCATGGAAGAATTAATGAGTAGAATTTCGGGGAAAATAATCTCATACCCAGACTGCATAGAAGACATCCAGGAAATAATACTAAAGACAGACCAAGAGAGCTATCACTATTGCATTGTCTATTTGCTTCTGTTGAAGGAGCAGATCATAAAAATACCAGAAACAGAAAAAGACAAAGATGTCTTCAATGATTACTTTGAGAGACTGAAGGCACATGCCAGGAAAGTATCAGGCACAGAGTGGTTGCAGATGATTGAAAATGCAGAATATTCAGTCTACAAGGAAGAGAAAGAAGAAGAGAATAGACTGGATCTTTTGATAAATTTCGTGATGGAAACCCTAATAAGAACAAGTACAGCAGATATGGAGAGACTAGTAGATGGATATTTGCAGGAGGAAATGAATGACCCAAGGACAGAGACTAAGACACAAATAAATGTGTCTCTTGTGGTAATTGAAGAAGTACTAGATAACTTAGCAAAACTACCAGAGAAAGAGGCCAGGGAGAGTGCAAAAACAGTCTCTATTCTACTGACAGAAGAACACGTTCCTCTTCTCCTGAAGTACTTAGGGAAACTTTCAAAAATAATTCTTATTTCTTTGTACTTGAATAACAGACTTGTCTATGATGCACTCCACAGGGAATTTATTAAGACGCAGTCACTAGAGGAAATGACACTGTTAGTAGACTTCCCAGAGATAGATATAGATGAAGTCATTGTATATTTATATAAGAACAGTGGAATATTGAAGGTTTTAGATGCGATTATTAAAACTCGTTTGATTCACCGTGAAAAAATAGTAAATGCCGTTATAGAATATATAAAGACTGGGTCTAGAACAAAAACTATCGGGTTTATACGGGAGAACCTTGGGTGCTTCCTTGAGATAATTGAGAAGATTGGGCTAGGATGTGAAGAAGTTCTCTTTTTAGCAGAGAAAGAAAGTTCGTTATTAAGGTACGCATTCCAGATGATGGCTGAAATTAAGTCAGAAATGACAGATAAGAAAAAAAAACCGTTAAATTTGCAAAAAAAAGAAAAAAGACTTTCAAACCTTATCTCTGCACTTTCAACTGAATTAAGCAATGGATCAGATGAAGAAACAAAGGAATTTATCATGCAGTCACATGAGATAGACCCAGATCTTCTGAGTAAAGTATGCATTGGTCTATTCCGGGCAAAACAACCATCAGATGAAATTAGAAGTGCTTTATCAAAATTAGTCACAAAAAAAACCTCAACGTCTTTTGTTTTCACAGCCATGCCGTATCTGAAGGATATACAGAAATACGACTTAATGGAAGAGTACTTAGTAGATGACGTATCACTCACTCTATTCACAAGAATTATTAAAAAGCCAGAAGAAATTCTCATGCAAGCGCACAAATTAAATATTCAGCCAGGAAAGAGAATAATTCACTTGTGCTTTGCAAGACCAGAGATATTCACAGATAGAATACTCTCCATGGCCATTGAAGAAATCACAAAGATGGATGTACTGCCTGCTTTGTTCATGGAGACAGTAAAGAATTCACTGAAATTATTTTCGAATATGAAGCCATTCTTGGCTACCCTCATAAAGAGAGAATGGACTAAATTATTCACAAATAATCAGGCAGAACTACTTGCCCTGTTAGAATCCGTTGGTCAGGCTGCCCCAGAGATACTTTTGACAGTAGATGAGTCTGAACTGACAAAAATAATCAGTAAATCCAATCTCTTACAGAAAAGAGTCAAGGAATATCTGATAAAACAGCCAGCCTACATACAGAACAAGTATAAATCACTGTTAAACCCATAGAATATTTAGTATATTCTATTGAGTTAATATTTCATGCTATTAAAAATCCATTTGTATCATTAGATTTCTCTCTTTATATTCTATACAAAAAAGTATCTCTTTCAGTTATATTCAATATATATGCATATTATTATGATTTATCACATCCTATCTAACCATTTCATCAGATATCCATTTATACCAACTAATTCATCTTAGTATTATTCCATCCATAGAAACACTCTTAAACAATAATAAAAACACCAGTAATTTCACCTGTACACCCCTATACACTACTATATACTACCTGTCTATTCTACATAAATATTACACATATTCAGTATACCCTATATTCTCAGTGATTTCTCTCTCTCCCGAATATTCTCAATATTTTTCTCAAATATTTTCACTTTTTCTCTCTTTATAATTTTCATGACAGAAGACTACAAGAGTTTCCTTTCCGGAATATTTGTCGGATTTTTGACACTTTTATTCCTGCAGGTGTCTGCAGTTGCATTTGGTCTTAAGAAAGTCCTGACTAAAAAGCAGTACCCTGACAGTTACCACAGAGACCTTTTCAATGACCCACCAAATGAACTGATTAGTCTACTAAGCATAGCCACCAAGGAGTGTACAGATCTAGCCTGGTTGAATATAACCATCCAAAGATTCTTCTATGAATTAACAAAATCAAGCACATTCCATGAGAAAGTAAAGGCAACCTTAATCAAGAAGATGTCAATTGCCTTTTCCACAGGAATCTTAAAAAGAGTCCGTTTCAAGGATATTTCATTTGGAAGTGAAGCCCCTTACATTAAAAGCATCAGGGCCCTTTCCAAAGAAGAAATAAATAATTTGCCAGGGAACAAAGAGGTTCCTTTAAATAAGCCAGCTTCATTTAAGCAAGTTTATTTATTAATTAGTATGGATTACACTGCAGGAGATAACTGCATATTCATAGATGCAGATTTAATTAAGGGATATTCTATACCAATTAGGGTTAAATTGCAGCCCTTCAAAGGAGAACTTCTTCTAAGGATGCCAGCAAATAATTATTCAACAAGATTTGAGATTTCATTCATTAGGAACCCTGGGTTTAATTTCACTGTAGATGCTTCCTTCTCAAAGAATGATTCTGCCTTCTTTTCGAATACGCTTAGTCATTTGATCAAGAAACTATGTGAATATACGGCTAAAATGTATATATTCCCTAATTGGTACTACTATTACTTACCAATTGTAGTGTACAGGGCAAAGACAATCTCATATTCTTACTATCCTATTAAGAATGGGTCTACTGATGGTCTAATGCAACAGATCCGGGAGGTTCAGAATCTATTTAGTTTAGATTTCGGGATTGTCAAGAAATGGGAGAATGTGATATTTAGGAAGACTAAGAGTACAGTTAACTCATCAAATACAGTCTTGGAGAAGGCTGAGATTGAGTTGATTAATAAGCCTAGTATTCTTGTTGAATTATTTAGTCAGGGTTCTGTTGAAATATTCTCTGATGTAATTAGTGACTACGAAGGGGCTGAAGTATTAGAGTCATTTGGGCCTGGTGTGGAACTGGTTCAGATTGTGATTTCAAATCAAATATATGAATTTATACGTATAATAATTGATGGGTTAATTATATATCAACGGACAGACCCGGAAGAACCTCAGTTTATTGCCTTCAAACGGGAAGTCTCTGGGTCTATAACACTCCTGCAGTACGTGAATGTATCAGAGGCATTTTATCTTGGGCAATTTAGGATAAAGAAATTAGCGAAGAAGTTGGAGAGACAGGAGATGAAGGTCCTTGGGTCTGCAAAATTATTCAGGTTCATTGATTTTTCCGTTAAACAAGCAAAAAAAACAAAAGAAATTTTCAAAACAAAATCAGAAGAGAAGATGGATAAGGCCTTAGATAAGGCTAAAATGGAAATATCCAAGGAAGAAGTCCTTCAGAGAGACTCCTTCAAGGAGAAGTATGTCTCAGAGGGGTACACTCCAATTAATTCTGCAATTCCATCTGAAAATCCATCAGAAGTAAGCATAATTGAGTCTCATTTCATTGAGATCCAGAAGGACTTAAATGACTCAGAGAGAAGACCTGATCAGGTAATTATCCTACCGTACAAAAAAGAAGATTTGAAAAAAGTTTTTGAAAGTTCGTTAATTAGGGCATCCATTTTAGGTAGTTTTACGATCATGGAAGATATCTTGCTGACCGAGAAAATCAGAAATATCTCTATGGCGCAGCCATCTGGACAGTATGTTCAGCTGCTAAGCTACTTTGATGAAGATGAAAATCTTCTGATTGAAAGAATTCTTCTCTCAGAGGAGCACAAGGGTGTAACAGCAGCAGTTCGGGTGAGTGATGAAAGATTGGAAATATTCCTGTTTGGAGGGCGCAGTTTATATCTGGGGAATTTTAAGCAACTGATTATTCCATATCTGGAAGGCAGCAAGATTTTAAATCTCCCGAAGATGGAAATCCCAAAGAAGCACGTGGAAACACTAATTGATTCTTCTGGTTTTATTATTTCCTCAGAGGTTCCTACAGTCTGCCAGGTGAAGGTTGAAGTGGATAACGTGGTATTCTTTAAGGTAGACGTAAATATAAAGAACCCGTTTATTTTCAGGTTTAAAAACAAAAAAAACCTGTCCATGATAGTTTCAGTTAAAAATAAGAAAAATACACCTTTGGAAATGGCAATAATCCCAATCTCAAATAAGATAAAAATAAACCCTTCAGAAAAAAAATCCAAAGATATCTTAACTGAAGGGTTTGTATCTTCAGATCAGACAATTTCTGACATGGAAGAAGTGAGTTTCTCTGCGAACAGCACAGAGACAAATGAAAGCCAAGAAGAAGGCAGAGAAGAGAATACTCCAGAAGAAAAGGCAAATTACATCCAAATAGAAGGAGATCTTGTTCTGCAGAAGAAAAGCAAAGTACCAATTCTTTCTGGAAGGGGTCTTCTTTACTGGAATATTCCCTGGTCGCCTGCAGAGAAAGTAAAGACAGAAGAGGTAGACTCTCTTCTCATAAATGGATCCGGGTACGCACTGGCTGAAACCCCAGTTCAAATGTATTGTAAAAATGCAGAGAATAAAACAGTTACAAAAAGCATCAAGGTTGGCATAATATATAACCCAGACGTAACTGATACACAATAAAACCTGAATATTAATCCGTTACATCTGCAGATTGTATAATAAATTAATACCTGAAATTTAAAAATACTCATCAAACTGTCATATAACTGCCATAAAAGCCATAAAATACTCATTAAACTGTCATGATTTTTGGTTTTCATGTGAATTTCCCTAGCAAGACTGCATTCTTAGTGCCACTTGAAGCCTGATGGACATAAAATATTCACGTATTTGCCTGTTGAATTTGCCTGCTGTGAAGGTATATTCCACCAAGTGCTATATATCTTCTATACGCTAAATTTAATTAATTATAATTAATTATTTATTCGGGTTTATATCTCTTCATTTTGATTTTGTTTTGTTTTGTTTTGTTTTTTAACTAAATCATATCTCTTCATTTCAATCTACAGTTTATTTTTTTAATAGTTACGTATTATTGCTAAATAGAAATAACCCTAATATCTCAGAAAAATAAACTCAGATAGTAGAAATTCTGTTATATTAGGCTACTATTCCCATGGTATACCACTGCATCTTCTATTTTTATGCTAAAATACCTTCTCCTTGTATTCTCTAAATTTCTCTACAATAAATTTACAGTTAAAACCAGAAGAAAATAACTGAAATTAATTTTCATTTCAGAACCTGAAAAAGTGATGACCACATGATAGAGAAGATAAAAAGATAAATCTATGAGTATATACGTATATTCTGAATGGTTTAAGTGAAATTATCACAGTTTATTCTTTATTTTAAAAAGTCTTTTATTACATGCTTGTATTAGCACACTAATACTCCGGGTATGATGCAGTGTAATTTCACTGTGAAATTTTAATGAATTTAATGGTTGGTCTATTAGTAGGCCTAAATTCCTGTTAGGTTTGCAGTGTACAAGGGTATTTGTACATATATTCCGGGTTATTGAATATTTCCACCTCTTTATACCGGGTTATATCAAATTTAGTCGCGTAACAGACATCTTTCCCCATAATTAAATCAAACAATTCAGATATTCTTTCTGTGCCTTTGTCTTCTTCAATGTAATAGTCAATTATTATGCAATCCGTAATATATAATCCAATTGAACTAGCGTACTTGTATAGAGTATATTCAGGGAATGTATTTTTTTTTATCTCGAATATCTCAGATTTCAAAGTCTTCATTTCTTGATTTTTTCTGTCAATTTTTATTATTGGTTTTCCCAACTGAAGATGTCCCATTTCATCATTCCATAAATGAAGGGTTATATTATGCGCCTGTCTCTTATATGCGTAATAAACCTCAATGCCATTATATATATTTAAGCCATTATATGAATCCTCATTGGAAATTAGTCGTGATAACCTTACGAATACTTTTCTTGTCTCTTCGTCTGAAGGACTTTTATACCAGTCGACTAAGGACTTGCTAGATTTGCAGTTCCTGGAAAGAGAAGCAAATAATTCTGCTGCATATTCTTCTACTTTTTCTGCAAAACTGTCAGTTGAAGAAATTCCTGAAGAGAGTGCACCACTTTTCACCCAAATCCGGAATCTGTCAATTTTCTTCTTTTCTTGTACTTTGTACCTTCCTGTGAGTTTTAGGATTACAGTGAGAATTTCAAGAATTCTGTCACTTTCAATTACTCCGTAACCATCCAAAGAACTATTCTCGTAGGAAGAACTGTTTTCATTGAAATAACCATCAGAATTTAAAGAATCACTTGAATTCACATCTATCCCTTGGTCTGAAGAAATATCCAAATCTGAAGATCTGTCTAGTTCTATGTAATTATTTTCTTCTGCAAAATTTTCTGAAAATTCGTTATAATTTAAGTAGGTAGAACTAATTTCTTCAAGTATTTCCTTCCATCTTTTGTAGATTTCTTCTGGTATTTTTTCTCCTGGCACCAGACTCCTTCTTTTTAATGTTTTTCCATCAACTGACTTTTTTTCAACTGATTTTTCTTCAATTTCACAACTTTCATTAAGAATAACCGTTAAGTCATCTGATTCCATGGCAAAAAGACCCTTTACTTCTTCTGACATAAATGGAATATGGTCAATATTATACGTATTAGTGTCTGGGTCATAGGCAAAACAGCAGAATAAACCAAGTAGTGCAGATTCAATATCTGGTGAAAATATTTCTTTTTTTAACTGTGCTAACCCGTATAAGTGTATTTTTCCTTTTGTTTTAATTGGCAGTTGACTATTTTCCATAAAGGGAAGGAGTTGAATTTGTTCTTGTGCTGTGATAATTTCTTCAAATTTATTCACTTTCTCCCAAGAGTCAAGTACGTCTGACTGTGTATTTTTATCCATAAAGCACTTATTAAAGAACTTTAATGCAATTATTTTTTGATCTTGCAAAGAAAACCTTTCACATTCTTTTATGTACGAATCTACTATTCTGAAGACTTCTAAATTAAATTTAATTACTTCATTTTTTGTTTCTAAATAGAAATATATGTACGACTGAATGAGCCACCTTAGATCTAGTTTATTCTCATTATCCCAGTCTTCGTACGAATATTCTTTATTAAAAGTCGTTTTTTCAGTTTCAAATTGACTTTCTGCATGAAATTCAGTAAAAGTATGGATAATTTGCTCTGTAGTCCGTTGATAATGTGCCTTTCTCTTTGAACTATATCTATCTCTAGTGCCTTCTGATGAAATAATCATTTTAACCGATAGAAATATTTCTCTTTGAGATGGACTCTTCCATTGAAGTGTCGGGTAATTTAAGAAATATTTCTTGAATTTCAGTGGTACATCGATTCCTTCTGAGAGAAGAAGAAGTGCTATAAGGATTCTATGAGAATATACCTTGATAGAGTCACTTTGTAAGAAGAGAGTGAAAGAGTCTTTACAATTATCCTTAGGGTAGATGCTTATCTCTCCGTCTGGTGAAGGAAACATGTTAATTAGTGCATTATAACGGTTTTCTACATTTTTTGGTTCATCATCTTCAATGTAGTTCTTGCTGACTGTGTCACTGGATCGGTCAAATACCAGGCGCACTGTACCTGTTAAATCTAACGGACAAAATCCATGTTTCACTATATAATCTGAATTAAACCTCTTTTTATGAAGGATATCTACCTTTCTGCATAAATATAGCATAATTGGACTAAGTGGTCCACTTGGATTGACTAAATACTCTACTCCTTCGTTTGTTCTTATTATTTCCTTCTGAATATCCAATATTTCATTTCTTTTTATTAATGCGAATGCATGGCCTGCTAGAAATATACTTATAAGAAGGACTTCTACTAGTATCTTAATGGATATCTGTCCGTTATTTCTTTTGTGTAAATATTCTTGTATTTTGTCTTTCATGTTCATTTCTGCACTGTCGCACTGAAGTCTTCAAATATTTTCGTATTTATGAACTTTAGATTGAAATATTTTGATAGATAGATTATTCCATGGTACTATCCATGTAGTCTGAATATACGGGTTATATCGGGGTATTTCGGGTTATCTAGTGTATTTATGAAATTTGAGCCAGAATACTCTTATAACCAGAAGAGACCATGGAGTGAATGAAAAAAGTCAACTTCTGAAGTGGCCTGGAACACTTGCAGTCACATGGAAATAAAATGCACTTGCAAATGGACATTATAAAGCACTATTTATATGAAACTAGTACCTTTTATGACCGTGTAACAAGAATTAATGAAGTAATTTAATTCATGTTCATTTATGAAAGTGCACTCTCACTGCCTGCCAGACAAGTATATTACCCAACCCATAAGTATATTCATACAGATCCACTGAAAGAAGCAGAGTCCTTTGCAGCTGCAAGAGAATATTGAAGTGCAAGAAATCCAATAATTAAGCATGCTAAATTACAAGAGCACAAACAACATGGTTGCACACATTCATTAAACAAGTACTATAAATAATTCTACTCCACCAAACAGCTCTAATACCATCCTATACGATACGTTCATTTAGCATAAATTATTATATATCTTGTAAGAACCCATTATTCCACCATAAGAGATCCTATAAATTACCATACCCCATGGAAATACAAAATCCAATTAATTCCTTAATTCTCACCCCCAGAAACCCATTAAACCCTACCTCTTCCCATATAAATATTTCACCTTACAATACATCCCTACTATAGTTTATTTTATTTATATAAATAATCTCTTCTTACTCATTCTCTTCTCCCTTTTCTTATATCTCTCTATTATTATATCAATCTCTTCATAATTTATTTTTTCTTCAATTTTTTTATGTTTTTCTGCTGAAATATGCTCATTGTAGTTCTCGTACCCAGCTACGCATAATTCACAAAGACCCGTCCTTTTATTTTTATTTTTTTCTTTTTCTTTCTTATATTCTTTATAAAATGGTTTATTCTTTCCCTTAATATCTTCTATTAAGATATAAGGGCTATTAAAGACGAAATATTCCATGAAATAAAAAATAAAAAAGACTAAAATAAGGAAAAGGGCGGGAATTTATATTATAACCAAAAGTACCCATATTATACATAAGAATATACCAGATTAAGGAATATTTATGAGTTTAGTCTATGGAATATACTGTAGAAATATCAGGTTATATAATAATACTTCTTATTCCACTGTAATACATAATGTATATATACTATGTTTTTTTTATTTTTATGGAAGACATGGACAAACACACGAACACCTTCTCAGAAGAAGGAAGAATTCATCAAGTAGAATATGCTATAAAGAGTATATCTTCAGCTGGTCCTGCTATTGGCATAAAATGCATTGATGGAGTAGTTTTATTAGGGAAAACCACAGATGATGACCTTTCTTTAACACAAGATGAGAAAATCTACCAGATAAACGATAATACAGTTGCAATAGTCAGTGGGTTATACGCAGACAGTAATCTTCTAGTGAATTATGCCCGTGTTGTAGCCCAGGAATATCTCATGAAATACGACGTAGATATGAGTCCAAGACAAATAGCCATGGCTCTATGTAAGATTAAGCAGAAATATACTCAGGGTGGTGGAATGAGACCATTTGGTGTCTCATTTTTATTTGCAGGGTGGAATGAAAAGGGTGAATATGGCTTATATTCAACTGATCCCAGTGGAACACTCTTTGACTACACTGCTTGTGCCTTTGGGGAAGGTGACAAGTTAATACTACCTGTCTTAAATGAACATAAAGAAGAGTCTTCTATAAGTGAAGGAATTCAACTGGCATTTAAGGGAATTGCAACTGTAGCAGAAGGAAGGAAGGTTCTACCCCATACGATTACTTGTGCTGTTGTCACAAAAGTAAATGGAAAGAACACAATTAAACTGATTTCTCAGAAGGATATTACAGAATGCTTAGATAACACAAGAGAAGTACCTAAGTAGATCTATTTTTACGGTTGGAAATATGCACTGTTAATAAATACTGTATATAAGTAGGTATACTTAGTGTCTTATCTATGGATTTTGATAGAATTCTGTATGATTATACGGGTTCTTTAAATTTTATTTTTATGAACACCCAGAGAGAGCAGATTGAGAAGTTACTTTCTGAGGAATCAATAGAAACAGTACGGAATGCCTTAAGGGAACCAGATATATATGGTCCATTAAAGGATATATACAGTGTACTATTAGAAGATGACCCGAATAATATGGAAATATTGCAGGTTTTGGAGAGACACAGTAGTACACACATTGTATACCTAGTGTATGGTGACTACTTAGCCAGAAAGAATAGAATAGAAGAGGCAATTGACCAATATAAGACTGCTGCTAAACTCACAGCAGATATAACTGAGACAATTTCAATTCTTAAGAGACTAATATTCGGATACTTGCAGATCCGTGATATACCAGGGGCATTTTACACAGGATGGACACTTATTGAGATGAATCTAGTAGGGTATAATATGCGGTTACTCAGATTTATATGTGGTTTAGTCACAAAAGAGAAATTTGCTGGTCAGAGTATCCTTGGGGAAGCAGAGAGAACAGAAAGACTCATTAGTGAAAATATCAAAATAACAGAAGAAAAGACAGTAAAGAATGGAGGACTAGAGAGAGTAGTAGTACAAGACCTGGAGATAATAGGGAATTCTGGGATGGGTGACTTCCTTAAGGAGCACAAGATAGATATCTCTAAAGAATTTGAAGTTGGTATTATAACGGATACTTTACCATATTTAAATATCCTGGAGACAGTAGGATTTAGTGCCTTCATACAGGAATATCACAATAAAGTCATCCCAGAAGACAGAAAGACAGAATTAGGCATGGATAGAGATGTTATATTGTACTTTATAATGACAGAAGATATCCTTATGCTGTATAAATTAGCAGAGTACTTCTATAGTAGAAATAACTACTTCAGTGCCTTAGTCTTATTTAGGTCTGTAATAGAACTATTCACTAGGATAGATACGGATAGGACTAAGTTCATGCAGTTAGCTACAACAATTGGTAGTAATATGTTCTATGATGTGTATTTTAACTCACCCACTGACTATGATAAGTTTATAATTTCCGTTAAGAAATTTAATCTTTCACTTTTCATAGTAAAACAAGGAAAGTCACAGGAGCACCCTTTAGATAAAGTGTTTTATGAGCACTTTAAAGATAAAATCTCACTTGACCAGTATACCATCCCGAATGTGTACAAGAATAAATAGAAGTACATATATAGATTGTGATTCTAAGAATATTTTATTTTTGTGCTTTTGAATTTCTGTTGAATTCTTGTTCTCTCTGTACTCTCTGTACTCTTCTCTCTTGTACTCTTGTACTCTCTGTACTCTTGTAAATTATTTTTGAAATATTTTTATGTAAAATAATTTGGTTCCTTATGGTAGAAGGGGTGGTTCTGTTGTAGATTGTCTTATAACCAGTGTGATCCACCTTAAGAAATGACTATTGTGATTTTTGTGAGTATGGTTTGGGTGGTCTTTTTTTTCATTTATGACTTTAATGATTCTAGTCATATAGTACTGTGTAGACCCATTTAATGTTAAAATCTTAATAAGAATGGGTATATTAATAGTACTTAGCTGGTTATTGAATAATTCTAGGTCAAAATAATCGTTATTATTTAGTAAATTCTCTTGAAAATTAATTATTAACTTGATTATTATATCTGCATGTGTTTTATACGATGGTAGTACTGTGGTATTTGCTAGTTCTATTACTTTCCCTAGTGTATTTATAAAGTATAATGGTTCTTGGTATGCATTTTTATCTATAGTTATATTTGGGTGGTAATTTTCTGTTGAATTAAGACTATGTACCATGAATATAGCATCTTTATCATTGATTAAATGCATATTCTTCACAATATTATCAGCCAGATAGACAAGAGGGTGCGTATTTCTGATATTTTTATCCGTTACATACAGAAATATTTCCCATAGAATTTCTATTTTATGCTTTGGAGTGCAAATTAAAGGACTAAGCAAGAGAGTATGAATATTCTTACAGCATTTAGTGTAGTCAAATATGAATTCTCGGGTTATATTTGGGTTAGAAATCTCATTATTTCTTTCTCTTGGTCTAATTATTTCTATTTTTTCATTTAGACATAAATTAAATTCATTTATAATAGAAGTATTTTCTTCCTCTGAAGGAAATTCTTTTCTAAAAATTCTAAAACTAGGTGTCCATTTTAATTCTTTTTTATCACAAGAATTCAATGGGAACAGATTAAATTCATAGAAATAAGGATGGATTAAATTCTTATCTTTTTCCGTTAGATTATTCCTGTCATAATCTATTTTTAGTCTTTCAAATATATCACAGAATCCTTTTTTTTGTGTTTTTACTTCACAGAACTCTATATTAATACTATTATATAGTGCAATATTCTTAATTACCTTAGTTAGGTAGTTTCTTATGTCATTTCCTAGTATTATTTTAAGTGTTTTTCCTTGGACAAAATAACTTTTTATATACGCCTGTGTACTTTTCTTATTGTTTTCTTTCATTATATTCTCTAATGTTTGTATTTCTAGCTTTATTATGGCTGCCTCTACATTTTCTGCATTTTTCAGTCTATTCTCAAGGAGTATTTTTTTCTTCATTTCTATACTTTTAATTATATTTATGATATTTTTCTCAATGAAGACCTTTTCTTTTTTGGAGATTTCTGGACTGGCTGAAATTTCTTTGTAAAGAGTGATTTCTTCTGTCATATCATAATTATTTATCTGATTGATTCTTTCTTTAATCTTATCTATTTCTTTTTTTTTACCTATTCCTGTTATTTCTTTGATAACGTACAGTATATTTACTAGGCCTGGCATAAGTTGGGTTTTATTCTGCTGGGTATAGCGTATATTTGGGTTATCTAAGTTGCAGAGTACCTTTTTCCAGTCATTTAGTACTCCCTGGGTGACTGCTCCGTACATATTTTTGTGTTTCTTGAAAAAGTTCTTTAGTTCTTCTGAGGGTGTCTTTATGTGGTCTATTGTGTATATATTCTTCTCTTTGTTATATACAGCCCAGCAGAACATCCCTAGTAGTGCTATTTCCGTGTAGTCAGTGAATTTCACTTGATTTTTCAGATTTTCTTCAGAAATAACTGCTTTTTCAGTTGGTTCAAAATACAGAAGATTTTCCTGGTGCTTTATAAAGTCATTGTAAAGCATTCTTGCTGGGTATATTATGTCTTTGCCCTGGGAATCTGTAGATTCCTTCTTGATATTTACAAAACAACTGTTGAAAATGGCTAATTTTTCCATGTACATGAGATCTTCTAGATTAGCATCTTCCTGCTCCATGCAGCCACCCTTCAGATTACGCCATAACTGCTTGGTTTTGCTGCCTTCAATAATTTCCTCTTCATAACCTATATATTCACTCAGGAGACTGTAGACTTTTTTCTCAAATAAAACCATTTCTTCTGTGCTTTCTATAGAGTGGCATATATACGTCTGTATGAGGAATCCTGGCCCATCAACAAATCTTCTCTTTTCAAGCAGATTATCACACGCAGCCATCCCTAAAGTACGCTTTCTTTCTTTAATAATCCGTTTTTTTCTGTTTTTTATAAAGAAATTTACTACACTAACTGCATTTCTTTCGTACATGATTTTTTGCATATTTGGGAACCATGTGCCTTCTTTATTCGCTTTATCAAATGTATTTATGCTTACCCTGAAGTAATCTTCCTTATTATCTGCCTTTTTCAGCACCAGACTAACTCTATTCCTGGTTTTCTTGAATTTCAGTGGCACATTTACGCCATTTGCAAGCAGAAATAGACAACCAAGTATATCATACTTGTGCTCTTTCACGTCCTCTTTATTAATGAATGCGTAGAAAGAGTCATTTCTATCTGTCCATATAGAAGCATATCCATCAAGTGAAGGAAACATCTCAAGAAGCGTGGTAAAATAGTCTTGCTTGTAATTGAGCAAGCCATCTTCATATGGCAATTTATCACGCACTTTGTCCTTTGTGAAGTCTCGTGCGTGCATATATATGGGACTCTTTGAAGTAAATTTCGAATTATTTTTCAAAGTTTCTGCTTCTTTAGAAATATCCTTGAGAACGGCTATAGAGTGGGATAACTGGATTTCTGGTGAGAGAAATCTTTTCCTATGAATAATTCCAATATTCCAGGCTTCTTCCCTTAGTATCAAGTGTATACGCCTTTCTGAACTGTCTTTTTTCTTTCTTCCATCACTTGGAGCTGCAACTATCTGGATACTTCTTAGTCTGTCTTCTACTAGAATTTTTTCCCATATTTTGCACAGTGAAAGTAGCCAAATAAGCATGGTTATTTTTACTCTGCAAATAGTTCTTACTTTTTCTTGTTGTTTTATTCGACATATCTCTAAGTCTCTTGCTATTATTCCTTTATGCATTGGCATCTGACTATTTCTCTTCAAAGGACTGCACTTCGTCGCACTCAACATCTTATCATTTATTTTTTCGAAATATTTATAGAAGATAATTTGCAATTTATGTGTATATATGCGTATTAATGAGCATATTCTAGTTTTAATTAGAAATATTGCATTGTGTTAAGCTAAAAGTTAATTAATTTAAAAAGCTGGGATACTTGCATTATATTAGTCTACAACTACTATTACTGCATGTGTATACTCTCTACTGCAGAACTGCCTCTTCTTGTGAACTTCCTTTGTACTCTGAGACATGTAAAATGCAGAAATTAGTGCAAAACTGTCTGAAGCTAAGAAATACAGCTTGGCCATGAAGCAGAATATCCTAGGGAATAGAAAAGAATGAACTTGTAGTATGGCTAGGTGCCAAGTGCATTTTCAAGAGATTAATAAAAGTTCTTTATAGAATTAGACTATCCTGCCTTGAAGGGAAGAGGGTTCTTTGTTGGGTTAGGAGTATTCTATGTGTGTCTCCTTTATCTTGTGCTAAATTAAGCTAAATTATGGGAAATTTACCATTTCTTTAGAAATTTCTTGTGCTCAACTTCTTTCTCTCTTACTGGAGACTGCGGCTGCTCTTTGCACAGACCCTCTTAAACATTTCTAAAGTATATTACATTATAATAGGTAATTTTCTTGCAGCCTTTGATATCTTTATTCTATATACATCTATTTCTTTACCTCAGATACACTATATCTCTATATGTGCCCTGCTGTTTGTGCATTCTGCATGTTTTCTCGTTATATTTTTCTTTATTTTTTATCTTTTTTTTCTTTATAAACAAACCTATCACTCTATAAATTTATATTTCAATGTGTACGCATCTTTTTCAAAGAGAGGAAAATACACAAAAACTGCAAATATCAAAGAACCCCATATAAAAGAACCTCAGAAGAAACAAAAGCACAAAAACCCATGAGCATTGCTAGGGCTATACAAAGAGAACAGAATTTTACAAGAAAATCACACATATAAGTAAGAATCATTAGAAAAAAGAAGAGTTAAACAAATATGCAGACATAACAAGCCACAATGCGATACAATAGACATCTTTATTTAGTTCCTGAAAGTCCCACACATTTTTATATTCATTTCCGAATAAAACACAAAAAATATCAAACACCCTATTTCCCAGAAATAGTTGCACTTCAGGCAGTAGAAACAAGGATAGATCAAAATGCATTTCAGAAAATCCAAAAGATAAGGTTTTCATACACTGCATACTATAAATACCCAGACTATTAATAAGCAACAAGAAGCTAGCTAAAAGCAAGTGATACACCACCCCAGAATATTTAATATACATATAATAGAAAAAGATCAATGAAACTAAGCATATAACCAACTAAAACACCAAATAAGCTTATTTTATCCCATGCACAGAAGAATCTACCATCTAATACTTTATGCTCTACTGTACGGCCAGATTTCCTTCGAATTATTTTTAATTTCCATGCAGACAAACAAGTCATTTGAAGAACTATTTAACTTTGTGGAGAATGCACCCAGTGTCATGTCCGCAGCAAACTTATTCACAGACGAAGACTGGTCCCTGGGGTGGCAAGATAACCCAGAAGGCTATGACATAAAGAGCGAGTTTGACATGCTGACAGAACTCCATAAAAGACTCTAAATTGTCTGAAAGAAAGTGCTATTTGTGCATTTTATTTTTTATGTGTATGGATAGAAAGTCATTCTCCAGATTATTCCTCTTTAATACTACCTTCTCACAGAGTCCCTCCATCTCCACATCAGACCTAACACACAAGCTAGACTGGGGCGCAGAAATAGATGGGCAACTAGCTAGCTTACAGCAGGAAATATTTCAATAAAAATGGCTAGAGTGCAATGTAATCCAGGTCATCATTTGTCTTTACTTTCTCAGTTATTTCAGGCACTTTTTCCATCTCTTCATGGGAGAAGGTACCTTCCCCTAATAAAATTATGTTTTCACCCCGTAGAAGAACAGACTCACTCTCAATGGACGAGTACTCAGTAGAGGATGTAGTGTATTCTGTGCTGTCTTCCAGGAGAATATTGTAGTATTGGTCGTATGACCGAAGGGTACCCACCATGTACTTCCCATCCCGCATGACCACAAAAATAGATTTATCCAGATATTCTTCCATTAGACGGGTTCCTTTAGAGCCAGTGACAGCAGAGTTCATAAAGGAAGAAAAAAGTAAAGAATAAATTGCAGAGAAAAGCACAAGGGCAGCCTACTAGGCAGAAAGTGGAAATAATTAGTCAGTTGAAAAGTGTGCAAATTATCAAGTAATTTATGTATTACAACAAGAATATTGAATATTTCAAGAATTTAGAATAACTGTATCTGCGGGTTATAAGTATTTAAGGGAAGTGTACCAGATATAACCCAAAATAATTCACTTTAATTTTGAAGTCCATTATAATAGACTAATTTCCACTGGAATTTAAATAACTGAAATATTTAGTGCTTTATTATCTACCTTTCATCTTATTGAAAATATTCATTATTTATGACTACCCTCAGTACAGAAATATTCTCGACAGAAATAAAAAAATATTCTGAAGAGAAACAAAAAATACTTAGAATAAAACCACTAATTCAATAAAATATTCCTACAAGTAAAACCAACAGAAACAAAAGACACTAGATAGACTCATCTATTACCTGGGATTATAAATATTTCTAGATTGTTTTGTATACAGACTGCCAATATGAAACAATACTTAAACATTTTGGGTTTGTTATTCTTATGAGTGCCACCATGGAAGAGAGAATAAAAAGAAGCCACAGCTATAAAGTATATACTCTATACTTTAGAAGTAGACTTGTCATGTTCATGCTGTCTTTATTCGTATTTCACATAATAATCGTATCGTATGAAATATTCTTCCTTTTATACTGCAAGGTTAAATTAGACGAGAGAATGCTTCCTGAGCAAAACCCAGCCCTGTTTGAACTAATGAAAGGTACAAGGCAAATAAATGTCTTTAAAATGCAGGCGAAACTATCACTAAAATGGGCCATCAGAAGGGCACAAGGCATATTCTCAAAGCTAATAGATTATATCTTAATTATCGTGTTTTTTTCCCATAAAATCAGACAAGGCATAATGAAATACACCAACAGATATAAAGGCCTTGTACAAATACGTTCATCTCATATGCCTGTGAAAGATGCTAATTTCATTTGTCTTATATTCCTGGCTATGGGAATAAAATCAGTTATTGGGGAGTGGATTACAAAATCAAGAAGTGATGTAACGGACTTACTCGTAGGAACACTAATTCAGTTGGTGAAGTACCTGATATTTTGCCCTATTTTTATATGGTTATTTAGCTCAGTCTACAACAAGACAAGAAATGGCCTGATATTTGCCTCGTACATTGCAATAGTCGTGCTTATCCTTGTGGCTAACTGTACTACAATAATTTCAGAGCCACTTGATGGCCTTGAGAAAATTCCAGCAAAAGAGCTTGGGCCAGAACTCTACAGGGAGCTAGTGAGAATGAACCTGGATGAAAAAATATTCTGGGACCAAGCAGCAGAAGGGGAGAATGCAGCTCTTGTTAGGACAGGAGCAGCCAGGTACATTATTGTAATGGGAAACCTGTTAAAATACGGTCAAAAGGAGTTTGCCTCTTTCATAGCACACGAGGTAGGGCATGCAGATGATTCCAGTACAGAAAAAAAACTACTTGCAACGGTAATTGGTCTAGGCTTATCATGTGGTTTAATGGTTGCAATCCTAAGGATTATCACACCGAAATTTGAGCAGCATGATGTCCCCAGGTTCTCTGTTGTTCTTTTTTTGCTGCTAGCAAATATTCACATATTTTCAGGTTTAACGAACATGTTCTACAACAACCTATCGATTCTATCAGAAGTAAATGCAGATTTATATGCGAAAAATCTGGGATTTGGAGAGACATTAGCAAGTGGATTGTATAAGTTAGTCGTAGACAGTGGGAATCTTCTGTTCCATTCCACAATATACACTTACTATGCGCAAGACCATCCTGTAGTGGCTGCTAGAATTGCGTATTTAAATAAATAGAAAAGATCTCAGATTAAAAAGTGTTAAATTCACGGGTCTCTGGTAGTTTTAAAAGAGATATTCAATGCAGGCATACAATCAAGCATACAGTAAAAATATCCTGCAGTAAGACATGTGTATCACAGTAGTACGAGACTGATTATTTTATAGTTTTAAATATTCTATTTAAATATCACAGGAAATAGCACTTTATGCAATAAATTCAATGAAGACACAACGTACCATGCATAAAAGCACTCTAATAGAAAGTCTCCCTAAATAATATTCTATCACATAAAATTCAAAATATTCCACCTAAAATAATCTCAGAACATGCCACTTCCCAGGATACCATATAAAATCACAAGATAACCCAATTTATTACCAGAATAACAAATAATCCCAAAGAAATCCCACTAATACACCTTCCTACCACAGTAAATTAAACATATAAAACCAAACAAATAAAATATTTTAATATGGACTCAGGAAGAAATGTAAATGCATACGGAACAGATGGAAGAATCCACCAATTAGAATACGCAATGAAGGCAGCATCACTAGGTACGACTACAATAGGTGTAAAGGTAGACACAGGAGTGGTTGTCGTCTCAGAAAAGAAGATTGTCACAGGACTACAGATCCCAGAAAGTGTAAAAAAGCATCACTTAGTCTACGAGCACTGTGGATTTGCATTCTCAGGGCTAAGTGGTGATGCCCGTACGATTATTTCTAAGGCCAGGGATAATGCAATTAACCACAAATTCATATACAATGAAAAAATACCAGTAGAAGGCGTAGCACAGTTTCTTTCTTCAATTGCCTTAAACTTCTCATCAGATAACTCAGCAAACAAGATATTCAGTAGACCATTCGGTATATCTATTTTAGTCCCAGGGTACGACGCAGAACCAAGACTATTTTCACTAGATGCCTCCGGGTCATACAGAGACTACAAGGCAAAGGCAATTGGGTCAGCCGCAGAGGCAGTCACAACAGAACTAGAGAATACGTATAATAAAGAGAAGTCCATTGAGGAGACAATTTGCAGTACCCTTCTTCTGCTAAAATCAGTTATGAAGGATCCAATTAACAAATACAACTGTGAGGTAATGGTATGCAGGAAGGAAGGTGTAGAATTACTGGACACAGACAGAATTGAAGAGTACCTGAATAAATAAGAATATGTTATAGATCTATACAGATTATATTTGACCGTTAGAGATAAGGTGTAATATACTACAGAGAGATAAAAATGAAATATTAAAATACGTTATTTTACTGCAGAATATCAGGATAGTAGACAGATTTATTATAGAAGGAACTGTCTAGACTAAACTGAATATACTAGACAGTTACTAGATAAAAGTAGCTAGACACTAGATAGTATAGACAGATATAGTTTAGACTAACCAGTTACTAGATAAAAATATACTAAACTGAATATATTAACCAGTTACTAAACCGAAATATACTAAACTAAAATATAATTTAGACTAACTAATACTGTCTAAAACCAACCAAAAATATACTAAACTGAATGGACTAGTTTAAATTCCTTGTAAATTTACTTCATAACTATGCATACGAGTATATCTTATCCCCTAATCTGTTGATTATTTTAATGGCAATCCCTGTCCTTTGAGTATTCACTTCTTCATTATCCATGGCTACTACACCAACACCAAGTGCATTTATTTTTCCATAACCATATATTCCAACTATATCCCCAACTGAAACAGCAGGATATGTGGATGTAGAGTGTAATAAGCCAGGAGCCATAAGATCAGCCCCATTTATCAAGTACTTTATGGCACCTGCATCTACAACTACCTTAGGCAATATATCTGGTACAATATGAACACATTTCAACAAGGGAATGTATGCAGTCCCAGACACTTTAAATATAGGCGTATTATTACGTAATATAAACTGCTCCTTCTCTTCTGTCTTTATTGTCTCCAGGACATCTTCTTTTCCTAATAGTATAGATAAGTCTGTTGTAAATTGTCCTTTAATTTGTTTTGCTAGTGCCTTAGAGAGTCTATTCTTTGTTGTAGGAAGAAACATAAGAGTGAAAAAATATTCATATTTCATTTTCGCCTAAAAAGACTCATTCTACTGAGCATACCAGAGATACCTGCTGTTGCAATGGGTTCTTCTTGGGGCATATTAATATAAAGTGATGCCACGTCGTATGAGACAGGGTGGAATAGAAGGGAACTGTCTTGTGGTATATATGATATCTCTTGGTTAACCGTATGCAAGTACTCTTCATCCAAATAATTAGCTGCAAATAAGTCTACTGCTTGTGTGTATATTTGGTTCCATTGGGACATGTACCTGGGAAGTGTTTTTTTGGAGATTTTATCGTTTCTTTCCTCTAAGGAATGAAGGCCTTTTTTAAATTCTTCTACTTTTGAGACTGCCAGGATGATCAGAGAGTCAAAGTCTGTCTTACTTCTTAGTTTTCTTATGACATTTTTATAGTTCTTTGAGATAAACTCATTTTTAAGGGTCTCTTCATGGAAGATTAAAGGTATCCCTTGGAATACATGTGTGTATTCTGCTGTTGGCTCTGTGTGTGTTAGTAGTATATTTCTAACTGACTTAATTGAGACACAATTTACAATTGAATTCATTTCTTTAATTAAGTCTCTGTCTGTTTTTACACTTGCATAGGAGATATATGCTTGTGTCCTTAGATTAATGAATTTTATGAAATCTTCGTTATTTTTGCATTCACTCTCTGCAATGTACAATGCACGCCTTATCAAGGGCTTCTTTAATTTTCCAGTCTTCAGATACCTCTCTCTGGCCTTTAAGAATTCCCATTCAATTCGCATAAAAGTAAAAAGGTCTTTGTTCTCTGACTGCTTCATCATTCCACGAAGTATTTCCAGGGCACGTGTATTCCTTATTTCCAGCTGACTGGGTGAACCCACTACTAAGCCAAGCACGCCTTGCAGCTTGCATCTCTTCAAGACTGTCCCAAAGCATTTAAATTCAACCATGAAAAATATAAAAAATACCGAATTATATCCTGCAGAGGGAAATCAGTGAGGTCATACTGAAATACTGTGGGATGCAATTATATTCAGGATATTAGCATATTCATGTAAGTACAGTAGTCTGGTTGATCTATACATTAAGAGACTATTGAAATAGAGTGTTTTAAATGAAATTAAGTTTACTTAATCGAATGCTGCACTACTACTGTACGGTACAATAGTTAAATTAGAGGACAAGTTATTTCTAGTGGATATACAATCTGGTTAAAAAATGATACATTAGTCTAAAATATACTGGGTATCTGTCAAGGATCAATGTACATAAGAGAAAATAATATTTCAAGCAGATGGCACTAGTCTAAAACTAGATCTAGATAGAAGTATTTTTTCAAAGGCACCTTATTTTTGTCATCCTGTGAGTGTCTATATTGAGTATATTTTTTTGTATTTTTGTCATTTAGTCATGTTCTATGTCTATATTGACTGTTTCCTTGTGAAGTGCTTTTCTTCTTTTAATATTTTTATAAAATTCTAGTAGTAGTCTTCTAGTACGAAAGAATCTTTTCAAAATATTTTTATAAAATTCTAGTAGTAGACTAGTACAACCAAAATATAACTAAAAATTCAGTTAATTATTAATGGACTCTTTTGGCTTCAGAATATTTATGTGTGATGATAAATTACTATAATTTATAACGGATAAATAATTTTGATTAAATATAACACACTGTAAGCTAAATTATGGTGAATTCCCATGGAAAATGAATTAATTAAGGGTTAAACTTGGGTTATATCAGGTTATATCAGGAATTTATTGTAGATTCATTCTTGTATTTAATTTGGTTCATTCTGGTGCAGTAATTTCTTCATTATAGGAGTATTTTTAGTCATAAATTTATACAGAATTATTCATTTTGCGCATAGAACAGTATATAGACAGGCTTATTCAGAAGGTCAACCAAAGAAACACGAATTATTTCTTCATCATTTGTGAGGTACCATTGACTATTACGCCTAGTATATGCTATGTAGTGGCCTGAATCCATCTCTCCACTGTGCATGATCACTGAGAAAAGCGTAAATGTCTTTCCTGCTACTTCAAGTACTTCTGGGTACGTTATAATTGTGTCTATTTTTGAAACAGTTTTATTATGCACCTGGTACCTCTTTAGGTGCAGGCACAGTACGCTTGGTACCTCTGATATTTCCACTTTTTTAACGTATTTTTCAGAATTACCGCATGAACATTCCTTGCGTATACTGACTGCCTCTTCCTGAAAGTACCTTTCCAGTGTACTTTCTAATGAACTTCCAAAAATATTCATGCTTATCGAGGTAAATGGCTCTTTTGTCTCTTCCTTCCTTGAGCAGGTGCATTTTATCGTTGACAAAAAAGTTCCCCCAAATGTCCCATGAATTGCGCACTTTTCTAATCCTGGAGTACACTTTACACTCCCATGGATCTGTGAGCTCAAAAACATAAAGAATTCTTGTACGTCTTGGTACTCACTCTTAGCAAAAGCAGGCGTATTATTCCAGAATATTTTAAGAAGCTCAGAAATATCAACGTAACCGTCAGAATTATTGTACATCTGAAGGAGAATCCTGTTAAGAGCACAAAGAATACACTCTTTCTTCTTGCAGTTCTGTAGTACATGAGATATCTCTAATAAGTTCTTTATAAATGGCTTTAAGGAAAGTATTGACTGCAATAAACTACTCATGTAGCAGGTTCTTTTTAGGTTCAGGAATCCCTTTACCCAATTAAGGTTTAAACCCTGCATATTTTCAGGTAATTTTTGTGAATTTTTAACTGTCATTCTTCTTATATCCGGAATAACAACATACTCTGCACATTCCTCACAAGATACAGATATAAATTGAGGTACAAAATAGCTTTTATGCCAGCTCTCTTTCCAGTGCATTTCCACGTGTCCTCCTGCCCTGCAAAAGACAGAATTGCAGTCAATGCAGACCTCCTGGGAAAAAGTACTTTTACAGATTGTGCATCCTAATTGCATTCCTGTTCTTTCTGCTTCTTCTATTTTATTTATTATCCCAGATGACTTTTCAATTGTTTCTTCTACGTCCAGGTGGGTACATGTCATCTTCTCTTTTTTTTCTTCTTCTACGAGAAATTCAATAAAAATTACCAAATGAAAGAAGAAGACAGAGAGAAGACAAGAAATCACAAGGAAAAATGGAATAATTTAGGACTAAGAACTGGGCTGTCAGTTATTTTAATAGGTGGTTTTGCAGTTCTTGTGAAAATGGGAAGATCCTTCCTTATTGGATTCATTATTCTTCTGAGTGGGATAGTGTTTTATGAAGTTTTAAGGGTTTTTATGCAAATTAGGAGTATATGGAGTATTAAGAGGATATTTTCAACAGGTAGTGAGGAGACAAAGAAAGGAGGCAATCTACCAATTGGTTTCTTTTGGGGTTGCTTTTTTTTGATTTCTTTAATGAATTACAGCAAGGTTTTATTTCCAGGAAGGTACAGGGTGGTTTACCACGTGATGATGTGGCTGCAATTTGCATGGATATTGTGGTTTGTGCATTTATTAAGGGGTGGTTCTTATCGGATGAAAATATTTCACCTGTCAATGGTGCTAATGACAATTTTAGGCTTAATGAAATGCACAGAAGCAGCAATTAATAACGTAAACAGAGGCATCAGGTGGTTTGTCTATCCGTGCCTGCTTGTTGCCATAAATGACACATTTGCGTACCTTGTGGGAAAGCACCTTGGGCAAACACCGTTGACAAAACTAAGCCCAAAAAAGACGGTTGAAGGCTTCCTAGGGGGAGGCATTGCTACTGTACTTTTGGCTATTCCAACGGCAAGAATGGTTCAGCTAGGGATGTGCTATAAAAGAAGGATGGAGCCATTTGATGCGCTGTCACTGGCTGTTTTGGCTTCTGTTATAGCGCCAATTGGAGGGATACTCGCAAGTGGATACAAAAGAGCCTTTAATGCAAAGCACTTCAGCCGGATACTTCCTGGCCACGGGGGAATATCTGACAGAATAGATTGCCAATTAATTATGCAGTTAGTAAGTAATATGTACCTGGCTGGAATATCAAGAAAACAAACACTGAAGGGTTTTGTTCAGGAAATAAACATAAATCTATCACAGAGTGAGAAATTAGAGTTAGTTAAGCTATTGGTCATCTCATACAGCAAGGAATGAATATTCAGTGGGATACGCCCAGAGAATAAACATACTGAAGTATCCCCCTGGGAGAATAGGCATATGCTTACTTTAGAATTGTAAGAGTCCCAAAAAACACCATAAGAACCCACAGAATTAACATAAAATACAGGAATATGCGTAAAATACGCATATCATCAATATAATCATCTATTATTATATAAATCTCCATGAAACAGAACAACTTTAATCTGTAATAATAAAATATTTTATTCACCAGAAAATCTAAAATGTCCCCAGAAGACACCCAGAAAGCAGCAGAAGACTGCGGATGCGCAGATGACACACCATGCACAAGTGAATATTTGCAGGCATACGAGTGCTTTTTGAAGAACCCAAAAAATCCCTCAAGTGACTGCATGGCAAAAATATCCGCCATGAAGGAGTGCTACATAAAAAGAGAAAAACAAGAGAGCATCTGGTCAGTCAGAAATATATTCAGAAGATTCCTAAATAAATAAGCCAATAACTGCCTGAATCGCAAAGTAGACACATAATAAGGAGATATATGGGGAAAGTCTCTCACCAACTACTGTTCCTATTGAAATAATTCGTACAAAAAACGATGCATCATCCTTTGCAGCAAGGGATTTCTTAAATTCCTGTGGGAAGTATGGCTTAAGGTACGTTGTAGTGCATGCAAATAGCACAAGAACCTTAACCATTGCACTAAAGTTCAATAAAGCCGTCATAAATAAATAAAAGCAGAAAATAAATGAATAATAACCCAAATTAAGCCAGAATATACTAGAAGAGACAAGAGAGTGGAAATATTGTGGGTTTATGGGAATTTGGGATATTTCGAGTTATATGAGCTGAAATATGACTGAAATTACTTAAATTATGCTTAAAACTTCTTAAATTATACTTAAATTATACCATATACTACTTAAAATACGCTTAAAACTACTTAAAATCCATCCAAAATCAGTTAAAACTACTTAAATTATACCATATACTACTTGAAATTACTTAAAATATACCATATACTAATTAAAATCACTTTAAACTACTTAAATTATACCATATACTAATTAAAACCATTTAAAATCACTTAAACTATGACTAAACTATGACTAAAACCACTTAAAATATACCATATACTAAGTAAACCCCCATTTATTTGAACTTCTTAATAATATATCCATATACTAAGTGAGTAGGTATATACGTAGTTGCTTCTTTGTTCTCCAGTGTAATATATTGCATGGTCATTCTGGTTATTTTTCCAGTTGAATTATTTATGGAGACTGAGTCACCCACTGAAACTGGCAAATTAAACAGAACAGAAGAAGACTTAGCCATATCCAGAAGGACAGGCTTATAAGAATTAAGAATACCAGATCTCCCATCTAGCAAGGATATCCCTGCTACAGCAGAGAGTATAGGCATTTTAGCACTAAAGGAACCAAAGAGATTTTTCATGGAAGAATTCAAAAAAGAAATTAAAAGAGCACTTTCCAACAGAGAGACACAGAAGAGAGAAATAAGACAGGCAGAAATACTTAGAATAGTCAGGGAAAGGACAAAGTACGTATATAATCAGTTTAAAAGGCAAGAAATAACAGAGAAACAGATGGGTGAAATTGCAAGAACAGAAGGTGCATACTTCCCTTTAATAAAGAGATGGAAAGAGTCAGAAGAAAAAGGAGAAAATAGATTGATTTGTTGCCTTCTTTGCATAAGAAATGGGAAAAGATGCATATGCAGGCGGGTACCAGGGATACCCTGCATAAATTGTTTGTGCTCTGGGGAGTGCATGGTTAAGCATGGGAATACCACGGATGAACATGGGAAATAGTAGAGTTCTAAGGGGGGAGTATTGTAAAGAGAATTATTTCTAGAGGGAAAAGTTATTTATCTGTAAAGATACACAAAACGTATAAAAATCAGTTAGTTTTATCTGTAAAACACAGGCAAAATCCGTTATCTCTAGTCATAAAACATAGGTAAAATCAATTATTCCTAACCATAAAATATATAAAAAACCCGTTATTTCTAACCATAAAACACAGGTAAAACCCGTTATTTCTCTCTAAAATATATAAAACCCGTTATCTCTAACCATGAAATATATAAAACCCGTTAGTTTTAGTCATAAAACACATATAAAACCCGTTACTTCTAACCACAAAATATATAAAACCGTTACTTCTCTCTAACTACAAAATATACAAACTCGTTATTTATTTACTCTAAATAATCAACTAAATAAGACCAAATAAACGAATTCTTCACTCTAAATATCTCAAGGCACCTACATATCCATAATAGCCTTGAATAGATTCCCAGAGAAGTCAAACCTGTAAGAGAAAGAGACAAATTCCTTCTTTTTCTCACTATCTAGTCTATCTGCACTAAGATATTCCCGTCCTACAACAGCTGCATCTTTCCTTCTGTCTGCCTTTGCAGTAACTGACTTATCCTTTATGTTGTACTTTATAATATGCACACAACTAGAGATAGTATCTTCATCATCCCTTAGTACTAACCAATTCACACCCATTTTAGGCAAAGTACTAGTATACTTTCCTTCTACCTTTATTGTACGCCCGCCTTGATAGTGCAATCTAGGCGTATCAATTGCCTTATCAATAGGATCATCACACAAGAATATCCTGGCAACCGTAGATATAATAGCAGTAGGAATTCTTATACCCCCAGACCCCCCAATAATATATAAGTCATTATCCCGTTTGATAATTGAGGGCATAGCAGATGAAAGTGGCTGTTTATATGGTTTTATTTGATTTACAGTACTTCCTGTTAGTTTTATACCACTGTACGTTGCAAAGTCAGAGAAAGTGAAATCATCAATTTGATTGTTCAGAATGATTCCAGTGACAGGATCCATTAAACCAGAACCCCAGTACTGATTAATAGTAGATGTCAGTGCAACTATCATTCCGTCTTTATCAATTATATTTATATGGGTTGTCCCATGGTCTTCTACTACACTATTCTTATTAGGAGAGAAAGGACTACTTCCAATGATACTCTGAAGGAGAGTGTCTGCTACTGTTCTATTTTGGAGGTGAATTTGAAGACTATTTGTGTTTGCTTGTTCATCCTGGAGATCTTCTAATTCTGTCCTAATAGAATATAGTTCGTTATATATCCTGATTAAGTAGCTTTGCAGGAGTTCTTCTGATGGAGTACTTGTTGTCTTTATGTGTTCTAGTATATATGCTGCTAGTCTAAGCATATATCCTGTGGTAGGTAGTGTTGTCGTATATATTTCTGTCTTATTTACTATTTCTGGGAATACTTCCTTCCTAGTGACTTGCTGCTGGCTTAATTCTTCCGGCAGGATGACTGTTCCTTCTGAGTTAATGAATTCCAGGAGACTCTTGGAGATTTCACCTGTGAAGAAGCTACTTGGATCTCTACTTATTTCCTTCAAGGTTCTTGCTAAATTACGCCTTTGCAATAAGTCATTTTCCTGAAGTATTTTTCCATTTCTTGTATATGCTTCATATAGTCCTCTGTCATTTAGTATTTTTCCCTGAAATTCTTTTAATTTCTGTGCTAGTACTCTGGGTACAAGAAAGCCATCTTCCAGGATCTTAATTATTTCTGGGAAAAGATCTTCCCATGGGAGAATACCAAAGTCCGTATGTACTGCAATTAGTCCCATTAGTTCACTAGGTACTGCAATTGACTTCCTGCCTGCACTGGAGTCTTCTTTGTTTTTGTAATTATTTGCATTAGCAGAGGCTGGTGCCCTCTCCCGGAAATTGTACTCAAAGCACTTTCCATCTGGGATTTTCACTAAAAGGAAACCACCTCCCCCTAGGCCAGATGCAAATGCATTCATAGCCCCTACAGCAATTGCTGTTGTAACGGCTGCATCTACTGCATTACCACCTTTCTCCATAATTTTATATCCACATTCTGCAGCCAGTTTTAAATCTGAGGTTACAACAGGCAGAGTGTATTTTCCCAGATACCCACTCATAAATAGACTAAAATAGATATAAAATACCCCTGTCTGGAATATCTTTCCCTTCACTCCCTTCCACTTCATTTTATTTATTTTTTATTTATTATTATTATGGAAAAGCCTTCAGAGATTTAGTGCGAAATATTTTTTAATTTTATGGCAGAGCTGCTTAAACCAGGAGCAACCCAAGAGAAAGCAGATGAAGCAAGAACTTCCTTCTTAGTAGGTGCAATTACAGTGTCAAATATGGTTAAAAGTACACTAGGTCCCAGGGGTATGTTGAAATTATTGTACTCCCAGAATGGCCAGCCTATTATAACGAATGACGGTGCTACTGTCTTGAAGAATATTCTACCTTCTGGGGCATCTTCAAAGATCCTCATAAATTCAGCAAAGGAGCATGGGGAGAAGGAAGGAGATGGGACTACTACACTGACAGTTCTAACGGGAGGATTATTGCATGAAGCAGACAAGCTTATTTTCAATGGGTATCACCCGTATAAGATAATGGGAGAGTACAGGAGTGCACACAAACAAGCCATAGACCTTCTGAGGAGTTTGACTCTGAAGGAAAATCAGGCAGATAGATTATCTCTTGCTAAGACAACACTTTCTTCAAAGTTCTCACCGATTGAGCTGGAGGCACTGAGTAACTTGGCTATTTCTGCGGCTAGCAAGATAGAAGGGTCCTTGGAGATGCTTAATATCATAAAGGTAGAAGGCGGTGAGGTGGGTGATTCTTATGTGCACCCAGGCCTATTATTAGAGTGTGATGTAGGACCAGGCCAGAAAGAGTCTTTTGATGAGCCGCGTGTGCTTATAATTAATACAAGCCTGGACACGGACAAGGTTAAAATATTCGGGGCAAAGGCATCTGTCTCTTCGCCTGCTGAGCTGGAGAAGTTGGAGGCAGCAGAGACCCTAAGGATGCGAAACAAGGTGGAGAGCATTGCCAGATATGCAGATGTAATTGTAAACAGACAGATTATATACGACTATCCCACACAGGAATTTACAAGACATGGTAAAATATCAATAGAAAGGGCTGATTTCACAGGTGTAGAGATGCTTGCTAAGGTACTCCATGGGAGAATTCTTAGTACGTTTGATAATGTATCTGATGGGGATATTGGCAGGTGCAGCAGATTTGAGAAAGTGAAGATCCAAGGGAGGTCATTTTGTTCCTTTACGGGTGGTCTGAAGGATGGAGCATGCACCGTGGTAATTAGGGGGTCATCCCAGGAGATACAGGAGGAGTGCGAGAGGTCCCTGGTGGGGGCGATAAAGGTCCTGGTGAAAACCAAAGATGAGTACGTGTGCGGGGGAGGCAGTGCAGAAGCTGCAGTTGCACAGATGCTGCAGCCAAAGACAGAAGGAGAGAGAGCATATGCCAGAGCCCTTTTGGACGTGACACGGGCCCTGGCTGAGAATGCAGGTATCCCAGCGGATGACTTGCTTGATGCGCTGGCTGTGAAGAATGCCCAGGGCGTGCACACATTTGGTGTGGGGCCAGATGGGGCAGTGTGTATGGAAGCAGCAGGTGTCCGGGAGTCCTTGCGTCTTAAGGAGATCGTATGGAGCAAAGCCGCAGAGACAGCAGAGGTACTTTTAAGGTGCGATGGAAACATAAAGTGCAGGCCCCGGGAAAGAGTCCATGAGTAGTGGGCTTACTATTAATTATAAGAGCAATTAAATTAGTCAAGAAATACTTATTATCTACAGATTTTCTGCTATATTTTATCTTGCCTGAAGACACTTGGATATTCTGCCTGCAGATCTGCAATTAAAGAGGGATATGTATCTGGGGGAGTGCCAGGCATATGCTGATTTATACGGGTAGAGACACCAGGAGAAAAAAGATTGAAATAGTATTGCAGATGGCATATCTAGAAAAAAACATGTCCCTGTGATATTTTGATAAAATTTATCAGATATACGCATAAATATCTAAAAAATGCAAACCTACCGTGGAAAATCAGAGATCCATCGAAAATGAGTAACCACCTTAAAATATCTTTATTTACTGTCTAGATGCATTATACTGTGCAGTTTGCAAGTATATTTATAAATATATAGGTATTATCCCATTGTATGCGATAAATATATGGTCTTTCTTCTTTCTATGTCATTTTCAGTGGAAATATGGGCTTCTGTGAGTCATTACCTCATGTAGACCCAGAATAACCAAATACCCTACCCAACTGTCTCAATATACCCCTATATAGTATCTAAAACATCACCTATTTATACAAGTTTTTTACAAATTTCAACTACTCCTGCTTTCTTTGCTATCTTCAGATAAATTGCTTGAAGTATTTTCATATTATTCCTATTAGCTCTGGCTCTTTTAACATACTCATAATTGGTTTCTTCATCTTTCCTTGGTGTTTTATCTTAGAGCATGTGTGACCCAGACAACCCCAGACATGTAAATAACGACTAAAAATAGTATTATAAAGCATCTTAGCTTCACCGCATCCTCACGAGACGCCATTATATGCAGATTATTCAATGTATTACTTATAAATAGTCTAATTATCAAGTAGATCATAGCGAATTAATTGAATTCAACTTATAGTGAGATATATCGTGTGATATCGTGTGATATAGGGATATAACCGTATGCAGATGGCGTTGGGATGAAGTGTATTATATTTTGTCGGTTTAGGATAATGTGGATTAAGTCCTGGCATTTTTATAAAAAGTGTATTAAGTCTTGTCACTCTTCCATAAGTCTTGACAAAGTGGCATAAGTTCTGTCATTTTTATAAAAAGTGCATTAAGTCTTGTCACTCTTCCATAAGTCCTGACAAAGTGTATTAAGTCTTGTCACTCTGCCATAAGTCTTGGCAAAGTGCATTAAGTCTTGTTTTGTCTAATTTTCCCAATAATTACATGTATAAGTCTACATATACCTTATACACGCCCATATATCCTCTTAAATAAATTCCCTTTGTCTAATATACAATATATACGTATTCTTCCTTAAATATACTAATTCTGCACTAAAGTATCTGGAAATTAATTAGTCAGAATTATCACGTATGATTAATAAATATATTCTGGAAATATACCATAAATAAATGTGATATCCTTGTGGTATATAAATACAGACAAAAAATAAACCACAGGGATAGAAATATCCCTCACAAAAAAATGAAAAAACTAAAAAATGAACATAACGGTCAATTAGAAAACAAAAACAAGAAAACAAATCAAAACTAAAAACAAAAACCAACCGCATTTTAATTAATTAATAAAAATAACGACATTTTAATAAAAATCACTCTTTAACTATTTTCACACGCTTCACAACAGAATGAGAATAAGCCTTAATAGTACTAAGCACAACAAGAATGAATATGCAACAAAATAATACAGAAATAATTCTATTCTTAATATGCGACCCAAATACAGATATTTCACCTATTTCAGCAACGCACTTATTAGAGCCCGTTGTAATATAGTCCATTGCCACATCCAGCCTATCAATCTTATCAGATTGTGAAATTACAACGGTTTTTAGTTCTCTAATTAATTCTGTTATAATATGCACAGATTTATATACGGCATCAATTCCCGTTGTATCTTTATGCATCTGTATATGCTTAGTCTGTATTTTTTCAATTTCCTGCAGAGATATATGCATTCTTTTAATTAAGGTGTCAATTTTATACTGGAAATGTATGGAAATTGACTCTACTAGGCCGTGATTTATGGATTTATGGAATTTCTGTGAGAAATAGTCTAAGGCTGCCCTGGCCTTAGTCAGGATTACTGTTATATTCTGCTTATTTTCTTCAATTTTATCAATTATCTGTGACTTAGATGTGAATCTGGGGATGGAATATTTTATGCACTCTTTTTCAACGGAAATTATTAATTCTTCCAGTTGTATTAGGCTATTTGAGATCCTGCTGAACAAAAATTGCACTTCTGTTTTCTCTTTTATCTTGATTTTCTCGTATAAAATTACCCTTTTCTTCTTTAATTCTTCACTTCTGTTGCGCATTCTTGGGTGTTTGTTTGTTTCGTGCATGTTTTGTGGTTGTTTTGTGTTTTATGGTTGATTTTTGGTTGTTATTGAGGGTTTCAGGTAATATATTTTGACAGCATATTACCATACTAGGAAATAAGATTCCATATTAGGAAATTCCACATTAGGAAATAATACGTTATATTTTATTTTTATTCATTAATAATACGTTATAATTAGTCTATACATATATACTTATTATTTATCACTTGCTTAGTATATTTTATATACAGGATAGTCTACATTATATACGTGATATACATATTAGTATATTTTATATACAGGATAGTCTACATTATATACAGGATATATTGCTTAGTCTACATTATATACGTGATATACATATTAGTCAGGTTTATATACAGGATAGTCTACATTATATACAGCATGCACTCCCTTAGTCTATTTTATATACACAAATATATCTCTCCAATGGTCCCCCCTTGTATCCTCTATATTCCCAATACCTCCAATGGTCCCCCCTTACATCCCTCTCATAAATATAATATAAGGGGGTACCCTTACAGACCCTCTTTTTCCCGTATATATTTACTATTTATTTATAATTTTCTTCTATAAAACTATTATAATATTCATCATATGATGTGATTGTAATATGTTTATCATCTGTATCTGGCTGTATATTTATATTTATATCTGTCTTATTTTGTCTTAATCTCTTATCTTTTGCTCTTTTATTTTGGAACCATATTTGGACTGTTCTAATTGGAATATTAAAGTCCTTTGAGATTTCCTTACGCAGGATATTATTTGGCTTTTGGTTTTGTTCGTATACGGCGGACAGGAATTTAGTTTGCGTTGTAGTTAGTCTGGGTCTTTTTATTTTTTTGTCCATCCTGTGGGAATCTCTTAATTATTTATTTATAGGCTGGGGATCATAGTGATTTCACCTGGATTTAATAGAGTGCTCACAGTATTATGTATATATTAAGGAGGCCAGGAAATATGTGAAAAATAGGTTAATTATAATAGGATTATAGCATGGTACAGGACTTAATCCACTTTGTCAGGACTTATGGCAGAGTGACAAGACTTAATCCACTCTATCCTAAACTTGACAAGACTTAATCCACTTATAAACTCACCAAGACTTATTACATATACACCATAAGTTATGTCATATATTACACTATTTAATCCACTAGCACCATAAGTCCTGCATAACCCCACTAACTACACCATAAACACATTACTTATTCCACTATGTCCATAAGTCCTGCACATGTTTTAATTATTTATTACACCCATGGAATAAGTCTTGTCTGTGCATTACTTACGGCCTCAGTGGAATAAGTAATAGTAAAATTGTCAGAATATATGGACAAAGTGTAATATATCCTGCAATATATGACTAATTACAATACAATTCCATTATTTATTACACCATGTCCATAATTCTTGTCAATTTCACCATTAATTATTCCACTAGTATCATAAGTTGTGGATTTGTGTTGTAATTAGTCAGGAAATCCACAATATATTACACCCACTCCATAATTCTTGTCAATTTCATCATTACTTATTCCACTAGTATCATAAGTCCTGCAATATAAGACTAACTCTAACACAAATTCACAATATATTACACTATATCCATATATCCTGCAATATAAGACTAATTACAACACAAATCCACAATATATTACACTATACATAATATATTCTGTCTCTCCCGTATATATTTTATACTAATTTTAAACTATAATTTCATTTATTATCTTGTTGATCCAAAGCCAATTAGTGTCACCCCCTGCTTCTTCAGTGAATACAATACATCTTGGCAGGAAACTGTCTTTCTCTTTCCGTGATTGCAATATGTCACTGCGCATCTGATGATTCCTTCAAGATACGTCTTAGCCATGTTGTTTATCTCACTGTATACTCCTGCACTAACTCTCTTTACTCCTCCTCTTCTGGCAAGGCGTCTGATTGCTGGCTTGGATATTCCCATTGTCTGTTGTGTTGTCTTTCTGTGTCTTTTTGCTGATCCTTTTCCTAATCCTTTTCCTCCCTTTCCTCTTCCTGCGACTGTCATAATTTTAAAAAACAAAAAATTATTTATAGTTTTATTTGGCGGGAAAAAAGGGCGGGAACGGGAATGGGCGGGGGTTATCCCGCCGGAAATTGCAAGAATTATGAGTTTATAGGGGAATATGGGGTTATTATAGGGAGTGGATTAAGTTTTGTCAGGTTTTGAGAAAGTGGAATAAGTCTTGGCATGTTTATAAAAAGTGGAAAAAGTCTTATTAGTGTGGAATAAATTATGGCAATGTGGAAAAAGTCTTGTAGGAGTGGAATAAGTCCTGGCAGGTTTGGGGAGAGAAGGAAAAAGTTCTGCCATATTTATAAAAAATGGAATAAGTCTTGTTTAGTGTGAAATAAGTTGTGACAAAGTGGAATAAGTTGTGTAATATGTGCCATAAGTCTTGTTAGTGCGGAATAAATTGTGACATTTATTAGAAGGTGTGGAAAAAGTCTTGGTGGTTTAGGGGAGAGTAGGAAAAGTCCTGTCATTTTTAGGATGATGTGGAAAAAGTCTTGTTTACCCCATAATAAAGTGGATTAAGTCTTGTTTGCCTCATAATAAAGTGGAATAAGTCTTACACTCTATGTAATAAGTTCTGACAAAGTGGATTAAGTCCTGTTCACCTCACAATAAAGTGGATTAAGTTCTATCATATTTAGAATAAGGTGGATTAAATTATGTCATATTTAGGATAAGGTGTAAAAAGTCCTGTCATTTTCTCAATAAGGTGGAATAAGTCCTGTCACATTAATTTGCATTACTTATTCCGCAGGTATAAAAAGTCATGTCCATTCTATCATTATTTATTCCGCAGGTATAAAAAGTCCTACCCATATTATATATATATTTACAACACAATCCCTTTCATTACTTTTTCCATCTACTCCAAAAGTCCCGCCATAATTTACAAGACTTAATCCACTCATACCATAAGTCTTGTCACAAATAAATAACAAATTATACCACAATCCCCTCCATTACTTATTCCACTCACACCAAAAGTCCTGTCAATATCACCATTACTTAATCGACCCTACCAAAAGTCCTGCACCAAGACACACCCTATTTTCACCAAACAAAAAGTACCCCCACACAAAATATAAAATATTTTCTACTTTCCCGCCTTTTTCCCCCCGCCCATTTCCCCCGCCTTTTTGCCTATAAATAAAACAAGAATTTTCACAGCATGGCAAGAACCAAGCAGACAGCAAGAAAGAGCACAGGAGGAAAAGCACCAAGAAAGCAATTAGCCACAAAGGCAGCAAAGAAAAGCACAGTAGCCACAAAAAGACCACACAGATTCAAGGCAGGCACAGTGGCCCTAAGGGAAATAAGAAAGTACCAAAAGACAACGGATTTATTAATCAGAAAATTACCATTCCAGAGACTAGTCAGGGAAGTAGCCTCAGAGTTTAAGGCGGAGGTTCGATTCCAGTCATCTTCAATTCTTGCAATCCAGGAAAGTCTGGAGAATTATCTCACAGGATTATTTGAAGACAGCAACAGATGCGCAATTCATGCGAAGAGAGTCACATTAATGGCACGGGACTTGCATTTGGTGCACAAGATAAAATCAATATAATAAAATGTTTAAATTTAATTAGTAATTATATACGGGAAAAAGAGGGTCTGTAAGGGTGTCCCCTTGGATTATATTTATGAGAGGGATGTAAGGGTACCCCCTTAGAAGTGTTTATTATTTTAGTGGATGCAAGGGGGGAGTATTGGATTATATATTTATAAGAGGGATGTAAGGGAGGAGTATTGGAGGTATTGAGAAATGGACGGAGTTTATGATAAATTAGTAGGAAATGACAAGACTTAATCCACTTTGACAGAACTTATTACGCGAGGTGCAAGACTTAATCCACCTTATCCCAAAAATGACAGAACTTAATCCACTTTGACAAAACTTAATCCACTCTATCCTAAAACCAACAAGACTTAATCCACCTTATCCTAAAACCTACAAGACTTAATCCGCAAACTAATATATTCAATCTATCCTAAAGTACCCACAATAAGTACACGCAAGAAACAGACAATCTCCCTAAATACCCATTCACACTATAAATACCACAAAACACCCAAATATATATATATGCGTTTCCTACTGTGTGGAAGATGAAAAAATTTAAAGACCATCAGATTGAAGGGGTAGAGTGGATGTGGGAGAGAGTTAGGAATCGGAAGGGCGTTGTATTGAGTGATGAAATGGGGACAGGGAAGACCCTTCAGTCTTTGGAGATAATTCAGAGAGTCTGGAACTCCATTGGAAAGTCAGTTCTTATTGTCGCACCGTGCACCCTCCTGCACAACTGGGAGAAGGAAATGGAGAAGTTTCAGTTTCCAATTCCTGCCCGAATTGTTAGATCTAGTGACACGAATG